ATAATTACTACTTATTGCAAAATTTATATTAGTATTTAAAACTTACGATAAGTGTCGACTCACGCTAGATATGGAAACGACCCTAGCTAATTTTTTCATAAGTTAGCAATAAATTTATATAAATAATAAATTTACCTATATTGTATGTTTTAGTAATGCCTAAAAAAAAATTATCAAGGTGACATCACCATTTTGACTGTCAAAATACCCCAAAATAAATACCATTATTATTTAATTTACATGTACTTAAGGTGGTCTAAAAAAATTTTAACTTGATATTTGTATCCGCCATATGGAAGGTTGTCTATATACCAAATTTCAGAATGATACCTCATTTCCATAAAATATTGCTATTTAATGACAAAAATGCTTTTTGCAAAAAATGCTGAGTCAGCAAATATATATGAAAATTGAAACCTGAATATCTCAAGAACCGTAAGGGGTTGGAGGTTCCAAATTACAGATTTTCTTAATTTTCATAAACCCTATAAAATATTAAAAAAATTAGTAAAATCCCATACATGGGGTGGCGTGGCCTGGATGATTTGACATGGAATTACCCATAAGAGGTATTTATCAATTTGAAATAATGAAAATTAATTGTTTCTCAAACTTAAACTAAAAAAAAAAAAAAATTGTGTTTTCAAATTATTTATTATTAATTCATTTTGAGTATAAAAAAAAATAATTTAAAAAAAAAACATTCATGAAGATTGCCGGGGGGAGGGGATTTGATCAGAGGCCCCCCGGCCTTCCCTTAGCCATGACTATAAATGTCCTAAACTAGTCAATAAATAACACTATTTGATGTTTTGATCAAATAAATGTTTTAAAAAACTTTTCAATTGCTTTCGTTACAAAATTTAAATTTTTTTAAAGACACAATTTTTAAACGCAAATTTTGATCAAATATTAGAGAGACAATTGATGAATCTAATTTTTTTCAGCAGACCTTAGATAAAATAATTATATACATTTAACTCAGAATTTTGGGCCACAGTCTTCATTTTACCTCCAAAAATCATGAATTTACAAGTCAATAATTTTGAACAAAATTGAATAAACGAGGCATTTCCTGAGACAATCAAGTCTTGAGGGTGCTATTTTTGGATTCCTCAAGTAAAAATCTATTGGGGTACCAAGTTTTGGGAAATTTCTCCAACCATTATGAAGATACTATATGTCAAAGTTGCTTTGTTGTAGCTTCAGATAATCACTAAAATGCTGAGTCAGCATTATTTCAACTGACGATATCTCTGGAACCCATGTGTATTTTTAACTAAAATTTTCGCAGTTATTATTTTTTTAATATGGACTGCAAGTGAGGTAAAAATGAACTAATTCTGAGGTGTAAGGGTGTCATGGTCTGGATGATTTCATATGGAATGACCCAAGTATCTCTATCATGACATATGCACAACAAATTTCTCCCAGTGATTCAATGTTTTTAAAAGTTTTAAAAATTTACTCCCTGTCGTTTGTTATAGTATATGATATCTTTATATTATGTATATAATAAATTTCAAAAATGTTTTATTTTGTCTTTTAAAATATCCAAAAAGAAAAAAATAATAATAATAATGGTCAAGTAGTAGTATTTGAACCACAGCAATGCACTTCAGAAACTTTGCAAGCCACTTCGGCCACTAAGGCGTATTGTCCTTAACAAAAAAAAAAAATTTAATTAACAAAAGACTTAATAAAATTGCAAACAAGCTTTTTTAAAAATTCTCTCCCACTCATTTCTTATAGTATATCTTTATATATATTATGTATATAATATCTATAGAATTTTAAAATTGTTGTATTTTGTATTTTAAAAAATCAAAAAAGATTATAAAAAAAAAAGGTATGGCAGGTGGGATTTGAACCATGTGGCTTTGGATCAGAAATGCTGCGACCTAACCTTTTTGGTCATTTAGGTGTATTATACTACACACGTTTTAATAGTAAATTACAAACAAAAGACTTAAAATGGCAAATAAATGCTATAAATCAAAAGTAAGAATATATTGCCGCAATGCCCTTTTTAAGTAAAAGTTTCACTGTAAAATTTTATATATGTTTTAACATTACATAGTTTAAAGTTTACATAAGTTGGATATTTCGTTAGATATTTTGTTAGCACTTTCGTTCACATTTTTATATTTAAAAAAGTGCTGCGATTCTTTCTTGCCATTATTTCAGTTGCAATGGCTGCTGTGAGTACTGTGTTAATCACTCATGATTGAGCATTGACATGTTGCTCAATATATTCAAAAATATTTAGTTTTATGTTTTATTTCTTCTCTGGCTCATCTTTAATTTATTTTATAATTTCTCTTTTCAGTTTTTTAGATTTCTCTTTAAATTAGTTTGGTTTTTTCAGCACATTTTTTAAAATATGCGAATTATTAGTATTTGCTAAAAACCGTGACCAAGTCATAAAAAAAGGACTGTTGTAACATTTAATACTAAGCTATTAAAAATGAACCAAAAATAGAAATGACTTGAAAATGACTTGTATTTAGCACATATTGATATTATTATATGCTGAGTTTCATAGTTTTTACTTAAGGTTTTACAAGCATTTTTATGTTTTTTTTGTCATGACAACCATGACAGTTGTAACAATTATATTTAAAATTATTAAAAAAACAACAAATAAAACAACCCAATCAATGATGTCAGTGGCCCGGGGCTATAGTCCCCCCTAGACCCCCCCCCTCCTGATCCGGCACTGAATGATGTAAGAAAAAAAGTATAAATGATCATTTAAATCCATGTAAAGTATGTTAAAAAAAAATGCATTATAACATTATTAAAGTTCTCAATTATGGTTTTATGATACAATTTTTAATGCTTAAAAATCAAACAACAGAACTGTAAATAAACAACAAACCACGTTTTTACAACCCTTCACTTTTTAAACCATGTTATGGTATGATAAAATGATTTTTTATATAACTTTTTTGTTTAAAAGTATTTTTAAATTGTTAAAAAAAAAGTTAAGTATGTGTATGGCTAAACGAACACATTACTTAAGGTTTGAATAATATAACTAAAATAAAAAAAGCAAAACAAATGTTTAAAAGAATAGTCTTTCAAGCAACTTTTTTGTCATTACTAAAAAAACAATGAAGTGTTCATTTTTGTGGCCGGTCTTATATTATCAAGAATGATATTGACTTGAGATCACAGTTTTGTTTTTTTACTGTTTGATCTTAGAATATGATGAATTTTTAAAGTTGTAAATAATTATGGAAATTTAGGACAAGGAGCGTATAACAGTATAATTCTTTTGTAGTTACATTTTAATTGTTGACTCTACTCCTGATATTTTGCATGTGAATCGGCTGACTTTTTTGATAAGATATTTTACTTAACTGGTGATGTAAAGGAAAGATTTTAGAAATTTTTTTCATAGATGAACACATATTATATTTGGAGCTAGAAGTTTTTAAAATATTTAATAAAGTCATTAATAATTTTTTTATTTTCATCATAAAATATTTTTCTCATTTGTTGTCTGTTCTTGTGATTTATTCTCTTCCAATGTGAGTCAATCCAATGTAAATCATGGGAAGAAAACAAATTAAGAAAATAAAAAAGTTGATCAGGACTTAACAATAAAACAAAATTCTATAATAAACTTCTTTCGTGTTAAATGTAATAACTTTATAATTCTAAGAGGCAGGGGCAGATCCAGCAATTTTTGATGTTTGAGATCATAAATATAAAGTTAAGAACATTTTAAAAAATAGTTTTATCAACTAGTAGCTCTCACGTTTGGGGCAAGGGGAGCAAAAATTTTGCAGCATTTTTGTTTCCATGGTTTCAATAATCACAAACCATCCTGATTTGACATTTGTATAAACATATCAATATTTTGAATTTGATCCATGTTTGGAAGTTAGCTATCTCAAATACCAAAAAATGCTGGATTTGCCCTTGCTAAGAGGTCAATTGTGACATTGATGTCGATATATTTGAAATTAAAGAGTTTTTAAAGGAAATGACCTATATAACCTAGATAACCTGAAAATTAGTTTATATTTAAGCATAAACAGTACATTTTAAAAAATATTTAAAAGATATTTAGTGCTTTCATTTTTCCTTTAATATGTTTTTTCTAAAAGATCCATTCCATTTAGATTTCTTGTTATACTAGTGTATTTCTTGTTATACTGGTGAAACATAAAAACTATAGGAGACAAAATTCACACATTTACAATTAACTTGCCACTATAGTTATTGTCTCCACAATAATTAGTTTGTCAATTAAAAATTTTTGCTTCTTGTTATTTGGTTTTCCTCTGATAAACCTAAGCTTAAAATTTATCAAATGTGAACTGCTAAACCAGATAAATACACAAATGAACAGCAACTGGACATAAAGCTAATGTTGCACATCTGCATGTGTGTATATTTACATACATATATATGCATGGGTGTATATATATACATATATATGCATTTTGATTGGGAAAACAGTATTACTAGGTTTTTGTCTAGTATTTATAATATAGTATTGCTACTCCAAGTTTTATGTGTTTTCACAATTTCAGGAAATTATTAAAAAATCAGTAAAATTAGTAATTTAGTTAATTAGTAAAAATTTAATTTTGCTAGCAAAATAAGCAAAGCAAAGTTATTAATTTTCACTACTTATTTGATAGTTAGGAAAGCACACAAAAACTTTCAGTAACAAAATTTTATCTTAACAGTAAGTAATTTTTTAAGTTAACAGTAATACATAGTTTTATAAAATCTATTTTAAATCTTGTTTTATTATTAACACATTTAGAGGATTGATAAAATTTTTTATTTTTAAATAATATTTATATATATTTTGTTTCTATGTATATATGTATATATATATATATATATATATATATATATATATATATATATATATATATATATATATATATATGTGTATATATATATATATATATATATATATATATATATATATATATATATATATATATATATATATATATATATATATATTTCAGAGACTCAATATTTGGACATTGAGAATAATCAACATCAATATCGTTGTGAAATTTTTGAACAAAGAGCAAACAAAGAGCAATTAAAAAATGAGGAAGCACTCTACGAAAGGGAGAATGCAAGTAGAAGAGAAGAGCAATTAAAAAATGAAGAAGCACTCTACGAAAGGGAGAATGCAAGTAGAAGAGAAGAGCAATTAAAAAATGAAGAAGCACTCTACGAAAGGGAGAATGCAAGTAGAAGAGAAGAGCAATTAAAAAATGAAGAAGCACTCTACGAAAGGGAGAATGCAAGTAGCTTAGAGCAAGATTTAAGTAATCAAATGATTGAAAAATTTACAGATTTGTTTGGCTTTCATCCTTCTGTTCTTGTATCTTCCTCTAAAAACACATTTGAAAAACTACAACATGAAGTTAAAAATATAAAATTTTGTAGCATTGATGACATCAAAGGTTCATTAAAAGAATTTTCAAAGTATTTTGATATTCAGTTTGCAATAAAGAATGTGCAAACATTTTTTCAACAGTTAACAGATAATAATATTCAAGATAAAAATATTGATAACATTAATCCATTATTAGATCAGTTGGATCTTGAAACAAAAGTGGAGTACAATGATAACTCCTTTTCAACAGAGTCTCCTAATAGAGGAGACGCAGAATGTGAACAAAATGCAGAATATGGACAAAATACTAATTGTGACCAAGATACTAAATGTGTACAAGCTGCTGAATGTATAAGAAATGATGAATGTGGACAAAATACTGAATGTGGAAAATATGCTAAATGCAGAGATTCACAAGTAAAACATGTTGTTTTGTTGTTTAATTTATTGTTTATTTTTAAGAACTGCTTCACGTCTTTATTTTTTATGAACTGCTTTATGTCTTTGTTTTTATGAACTGCTTCATGTCTTTATTTTTTATGAACTTCTTTATAATATCTTTAATAATACAAAAGTTTGTTTATTAATTAAACAAAACAATGTTTAATAATCAAAAAGTCTAAATCACTCCTTCACCCTGATTTGTGTTTTTATCTCTGATGCATGGTCATGTTTAATTTATCTTGCTTCTTGCTATGGTTTTGATCGATCTAAAACAGCAATATAACCCAGCCAACCTAGCATGGATTACCATAATTGTACAAACTTGTTTGTTTTTTTGATTAAATTTTAAAAATAGCTACACACTACCTTACTACCAAAGAGAAGGTTTGTTTCTTTTTATCACCTTTCAACTCCAATCTCATAATGCTTAAAGCTGCTTCACAGAAATAAAACTTGATCGCTGTGCAACAAAGAAATTTAAACTCTTAACTTGTTAGAAAAACATTGTTTGTGGGAGTAGTGATATAGATTTGAAAATATTTTTAAAGTTACAAACAAATAGTATAAATGTTATGATACCAACAAATGTTGCAGTACAAACAAATGCTGCAGTACAAACAAATGGTATAAATGTTACGGTATAAACAAATGTTATAATACAAACAAATGTTATATTACAAACAAATATTACAGTATAAACAAATATTGCAGGACATACAAATGTTGCAGTACAAACAAATGTTGCAGTACAAACAAATGTTATAAATGTTACATTATAAACAAATGTTACAGTACAAACAAATGTTACAGTACAAACAAATGTTGCAGTACAAACAAATGTAATCAAATTTCTGTTCAAATTATTGCTAAATCAGATGCATATCTATTTTTGCTGTTCTTGATAACTGTATCATTACAAGATGTTTTTTTAATCATTCACGTTTGTGCAAAAGTAATAATATTTTGAAGTTTCCATAATCAATTGTCATTTAATTTATATGCAGCATAATTTTTTGATAGATAGACTTAAGGTCACATTTTCAGAATATCAATTACTTTCAGTAGCGTGATATTTACTGTTTTTAAATTATTGATGCACATATTTTTAAGAATTTATTCCATTAGTGAAGGAGCTCATATTGCAGTCATTCGATTTTATAAGCTTACTGTGTGCAGTAACTTCTTTAAGGTATGACACTCGATTCCAATTGGTATCATATGTAATGCTCATTTTAACTGGTAAATCAGTTTTACTCTTTTTACTTGGTTGTACTAGGTGAAATTTAAAAAATGATTTTAAAGTATTCTGTTTAAGTTGTTTGAAATAGTAACTGATGCTTTTATCATTGATATCTGATGTTTCTGAAGATTTTTATGGCACGCTGTTTTGGTAGATTTTTATGGCACGCTATTTTGGTAGATTTTTATGGTACGCTACTTTGGTAGATTTTAATGGCACACTATTTTGGTAGTGATCTTTAATATTACCACACTGTGGCTCATTCTGGTAACCCTTTTGGTGTCCATGCAACCCAGTCTACCATTTGGTCATAAGTAATCTTATAATTTTTGAAAACCGTGAAAAACTATTGTTACTTTCAAGCTTTTCATATTATGCTTCACTTTCACTTTACTCAATTTTCTTTTTGTTAGAGTTCTGTTATATTTGTCACTTTTCAACTTGTAATGAATATATAAGAACGTTTTTTTTTCAACATAATTCTTTTTGATGACTATAGTTCTTAGATAAACTTTGCCTTGAAAAAAATAGATGTTTTGAAAAATTTTGATTTACAGATGCAATTAAATTGTGACATGGCTGTTGAAAAAGATCTCTTCCTAAATAACGTTCAACCAGAAGGCAAGTATGAAAAAGCTCTTCATCAAATGGAGGCTATGGGATTTGATATTGAGGATGAAGCGTTAAAGCAACTTCTTATCAGAAATGATTGCAACATTGCAAAAGTATTTGACGCAATGAATCCTTTATAATTTTATTTGGAATTAAATTGAACATTTTTTAACCATCGAATTTTAAATTCAAATTGTTTTTCAAAACCATTTTTTGACTTGCCTTGAAAATTTTATATTGTACAATTATTTTTTTTTTTATTATTCTTTTTAAATATTTTTATTCTTATTTTAAAATTATTGTAATTAATTATATAATTATGTTATTTATTTAACTGTTATTAGTTTACAGTTTTTCTTAAAAATACAAATTTTATTTATTACAAACATAAAATTTTTGACTAAAGAGAACTGTCATGTTTTAAGGCGAGTTTCCACTCATCCGTTTTTTTCACGGGAACGGGAAAAGGACGGGAAAAATAATCATGTAAGCATGCGTAGTATAAGTTTTAATATGTCCAAAGGAAAACTACGCATACTCACGTGATTATTTTTCCCTTCCCTATCCCGTTCCCGTGAAAAAACGGATGAGTGGAAACGCACCTTTATTTTAAGCTTATTTTGTTATTTTGATTAGTAGGACAAAACTAATCCTCAGGACTGTTACCTTGAGTTTTTTCTTTTTTATGATAACTATGATAATCATAAAATTATTTTATTATTATGCTATTTATAATGAATGCGCTGTAATTTCATCATATTACTTAACAAATATTGTCTTGGTTTTTTTTTTTTTTTTAATTAAGTTTTGGAGAATTAGGTTTATTTTTTTTTATATAAAATGCTTTTAATAAGATGCCTGTTTTTTGATAACATATTTAAACTTGCGCATCTGATAATATTAATACGCTAATTTAATATTATTAGTCGAATTACGTCATTTTCTACGCTTTTCTATTTTAAAGTAGTTTCTAGGCTTTTCTATACACGGTTTTTTTTTTTAATTTTATTTACTAATAACGCGTATTACGGGTTGCTTACTGCTAGTTTAACATTAATAATAATTATTTACGCCAATTTAACTAAAGATTTTAAAGAAAATAGAGTTAAACCTTTAAAAATTCGTAGGAGGCATTTGCTCTGTCATTTTTTAAAACGTGTCAAATTAAACACACTGATCTCAAAATAATATTTTTATAATTTATTTTTATAATTTTAATATAAATATAATTAACATTTATTATAATAATTATTATAAATTATAATTTTAATGTTTTTTTTTTTTTTTTTGAGATCAGTGATTACTACCCAGTTACTACATGATTACTACATGACAAGTTTTTAACGTTTCAAAAATGTATTTGAACGTTTTTAGACCTGTTTAACACGACTTGTGTTTTTACTGGTTAGCTTTTTTTAAGGCTATAATTATTTACATATATATATTTATATGTATATATATATATATATATATATATATATATATATATATATATATATATCCGTGAAAAAATGTTAAAAAATAATAATAATCTAGTTTAAACAATTCAGATTCCAAAAAAATGTTATAGTTTTGATTTTAATGATGACATTTAAAAAGGAAAAAGTTATATTTGTTTATGTCGTGTTAATGTCAATACAGATTCTATAGTGATTTCTTCCTATATTTTTATTTCTATCTTAGTAATACAAATAACTGCATTTCTTTTTTTATATGTTTATAGAATTGTTAAATATGAGTAATAATGGAAATAACAAACTTGTACTGCAATAAATCAAGTTGATAAAACAAAAGTAAATAAAGCTGTTTTGTCATCAAAAATTAGCTTAGATGATTCATTCCTAATTGCTATCATTAATTACAATGTACGTTTTTGTTACACTCACTTAAATTTAAACGACAATTTTTAGTACTTTTATTCGACCAATTGACTTAAAATTTTCACAGACCTTTCTTCAAAATTGGAACTAGGTTCTGAATTAAAAACAACTATTTAGAACAAATAGAACTTGTTTAATCGCACTTTATTTTTCTAAAATGACCTGATTTTTTAATGCTCAAAAAGAATTGTTAGCCATTATGGATTGGTACATTTTAGAATTTTGATTTTAGTTCAGAACATTCTTTACTATTTTCCCTATATGCTGTCAAAATTTGGTTTAAATACTACATATAGATCCTGAGAAACTAATGTTTGAAAGTTGATACTTTTTTGATGATTTTTGCTGAAGCAAGTGAAGCTCTATGGATGGAATGAAATCTATAATCAGAGTATCATATAATATTCCAGTTGTAACTAACAAAACAAATTATTTTATCCTTCCCAAAATTTCTGTACTTAATAATTTCGAAACTTCAATGAAAGAATTTGAATGTGCTTATAAAATGCTAAAAACAAATAAAGCGAGAGATCAGAACGAAATAAATAGTAACATTATTATTATTTTATGATCTTACGAGATCATAAAACTATACTCTTCAAAGTGTTTAGTTGCTCAATAAAAGAAAGAATAATTCCTGACCAACTAAAGATCGCCAAAGTTACACCAATATATAAAGGTGGTGAATTACCAAATATATTCACCACCTTTATATATTGGTCACCAAGGGTCTAATCTAGGGTCACTGCTTTTTCTCATTTATGTTAAAGATCTGCACAATGCCTCAAATTTAAAGACAGTAATGTTTGCTGATGATACAAATCTTTTTCGATCTGGTAAAAATATCATTACACTATTTAAGGACATCAACATAGAGCTAATTAAAATTTCAAATTGGTTTAAGTCAAATAAACTATCAATTAACTTGGAAAAACCTAAATGGACTTTATTTCATTCAAAATCCCAAAAAAAACGTTTACCAAATGATATGCCTCAAATATATATTGTCAATGTTCAAATAAAAAAAGTTATTCATTTCCTTAATGTTTTCATTGATGAAAATCTAATATGGAAAAACCATATTGAAACTTTGCGCAATAAAGTTTCAAAAAATATTGGAGTAATGTAAAAAGCTAGAAATTTTGTAAATAGACATTCATTAATTTAACTTTATCACTCGCTAATTCAATCCCATATAAATTATGCAAATATTACATGGGGTAGTGCTAAAAAAATTCAATTAGATCCTCTATATCGGTAACAGAAGCATATAGCACGTCTAATAAACTTTAAAGATCGTTATACTCACTCCAGACCTCTTTTATTGGAAATAAATGTTCTTAATATATACCAGCAAATTGTTTTCAACGTTCTTTTATTTATGTACAAATGTAAGATAAACCTAACTCCTATATCCTTTCAAAATTTATATGCAATAAAACCAAAAAACAAATATGACTTAATAAATGACAATCTTATTCATCAGCATTATTCTCATACAAGTTTTGGAAGATCTCTTTTAACCTATCGCGGAGCTCTTTTGTGGACTAAAATAGTTTTGAAAAACTTTAATTTTTCTCAAAGTTAAAGTATTCTTACTTTTAAAATTAAGCTGAAAAAAGTTATTTTGTCAATTGATAATATCTTTGAGTTCTTTTGAGTTTATACCATTTAAAAAAGTGTGTTCTTTTGAGTTTATACCATTTTAAAAAATTCCTGAATATATTGTTTTATTTTGAAATATTTAGTTTTATATTTTGTATGTTGTTAAACGTTATTTTATGTTTTGAAATGTCTGGTTAGATTTAAATTTTATTTCTAAACGTTATTTATTGTAAATATTTAACTGGTTATATTTTTACTGCATTGTTAAACGGTTCTCTGTGACAGGATCTTACGATCCTCTTTGAGTCTCTGTATTTAATGTACAACGTTATTTATGCCTTTTAATTTAATTCTAATTTAATTCTTTTAACGATACTTTTAACGATATTAATACGATATATATATATATATATATATATATATATATATATATATATATATATATATATATATATATATATATATATATATATCGTATTAATATCGTTAAAAGTATCGTTAAAAGAATTAAATTAGAATTAAATTTAGGATTAGAATATAAATTCTAATCCTCCACTGTAACTTTATATTTTAACGGTTTTTTTTGTTTCTTGTTTTGTATTACATGGCTGATGATTGCCTTTAGGCATGAAACTATTAGTACCATAAAAAGTTGTTTTCTTTATTTTTATAAATTAATATATATATATATATATATATATATATATATATATATATATATATATATATATATATATATATATATATATATATATATATAATGTACAACGATATAATATATTGTAATAAGAGCAGGGAAAGAATGACTTCATGATAATGGGTTCATGAATAACATTTCGTTAGTCCTTTGATCTTGTGGAGTTGGCTCCAGCTGTTTTATAAGCTTTACAATTACTTTGAATGGTTCATCACTCTGGTGAAAATTTTTTGACTCCACATTACACCTAGTGCAATGGTAAATGCATGAATGTGGTTGTAGACCACACACAATGCTGCCAAGTTTCATATTGCATGATAAAACAAAAGTCTACCAAGACCCAATTTGTGAGAAAAAAGCTTTTTAGATAGAGGAGACTTATTCTGTGTCTTTAAATTAAGAATTCCAAGAGAGACTTTCCAGAAACTACCATCTCCATCTAATCCAAATTTATTTTTATATTCTAATCCTAAATCATCAATTATAGTTCTACTCAGTACCTCGAAGTCTTTGTAATATACTAAAAACCTTTTTGACTCTGAGGCGTTACTTTTTGTTGTATCAAAAATGTCTAAAATAACAAACAAATCGGAAAGATGTTTTCCTAGTGGATCAAACTTGGCTTGAAATTTATTTTCCACAGTTCTCTGTGAAGTCACTTGATTTAGGGTTGATGCAAGTTTGTTTATACTACGCTTTGACAATCCAGTCTGGCTTCGAATAACAAGAAAAATTTGAGCTTTTAAGGTACATGCACCCGGAAATAATTCTTTACGTTTGAAGGGTCCTTAAAAAAAAATTTGTATTTTTCTTTGGTAAATTCTTGGATAGACCCTTCTTAAAGCTTTAACACAATTTCTTAATATATGATATGATTATATATGACATGCAAAATATAAATAATAATTTAACCAAACAGACCAGAAATTTTTTTTTAAGGCTATAAAGTATTTATAGTTAACCCTATTGGACCCCTATTACCCCACCCCTAGTGTATGGTTCCCTAATAGAATTTTTCAAATTTTTTTTGTGTTATATTAAACTAGATCAAGTTTTATCGACAGATTTCAAATTTCATCAAAAAACAATATCTAGTTTAAAAGTTACGACTATTTAAAGTTATTTCAGGGGGTAATTTTGAAGAATTATTAACTTCTTTTTTTTAATTAAACTTTTCGTTTAATAAATATTTAACGAAAATTTTTTGTTTAATAAATATTAAACGAAAAATTTTTTTTTGATGAAGCTTGAAAACTGTCGATAAATTTTGGTCTAATTTATGATAGAACTTAATAAAAAAAAATTATTTGCTTAGGAGACGTAGTTCTAGAAAGGGCAATTCGGAGTCGGGACGGGGTTGGGTTAGCTCCAATTACCTCAACTTTTTGTAATTCATCCTCATTTGATACCATTATTAACATACTTAAAATTTGAGTATGCAACATAGCTCTTAGTTACCTATCTTGAACAACAAAATTACTAAGCACTTGCCTAAAATACGTGATTTCTTCCTAGACCCACGGTGAAAAAAGTTGTTTTTTACATTTTTAAAATAAGGAAGAGTCTTCTAATAATAAACAAAAAAAAATTTTCTGGAAATGTATTGCAATGTCTCAGATGCAATGTCTCAGAGTATTTTCCTGAGCACCGTGAACCCTAGGGACGGCCCTGAACCTATCATTTTAAAGCAATATCAACTCGAAAACGGATTCGAGCATGCAACATGATTTGGTTTAACCTTCCACTTAGTAAAAATGTTAGCACCAACGTAAGAAAATGTTTTTTGAAGTTAATTGACAAACATTTTCCGAATAATAACATGCTGAATAAAATCTTTAACAAGAACACATTTAAAGTTAGCTACAGTTGTATGCCAAGTGTAAAATATATAAACTCGTACAACAAATACATTTTAAACAACAATGCAAACCCAAGAAAACTGTAACTACTTTAATAAAAATTTCTGTTTATTGTTCAATAAATGTTTAACAAGCAAAATTGTATATCAAACAACTGTAACTTTCGCTAACCGTGATCCCTCACCTAATAACCACGATACCTCTCTCCTATGAAAATCCTAATGAAAGTTATCTTTATAATGGTATTTTTAAATGGTTTTTTATTTCTTAATTTGTTTTTTTGGCTAATGAAAGCCAAAAATGTTATGAAATTTAAGTACCATTAGTTGATTGTCATCATATAATCAAAACAACAAACTTAGCTTGACTCTGTATCTTTCCCTGTATGCTATCTTAAAACTTTTATTCATCTAGTGTTTTTTTTCGTAACAATAATCAATAACAAGATTACATTTGCTTTGTTTTCAAGCTCATTAAAATTGTCTCTTATTTTGCCAAACATCATACTTTCTAACGATGAAAGCATCAAAGCAAATGTTTTGAGATCAAATTGTTCTGAATGAAGAGTTTTGCTTTTCAATGGAAATTTTTTAAAAGACTGCTTCACAATAAGAGTGAGAAGATAAATTTAAAAGTTCCCATCTTATTTGCAGTTCAGATACTGCTTTCAATTTTTGAGAGGAATTTTCAGCAATTTCATTTAATGCTGTCACAATTACGGAAAAAGATTTGAGAACTGCTTCGGTGATATTATTTGCGTGAGCTTCTAACGCGTTTGTGGTAATAATTAACGTACTTTTTTGTTTTCTATGTTTTGTTTTAAGACACCCGAGCAATGCGTCTAATTTTAAATAAAGTTATACAACAATTGCATGATAGAAAAATTACCTGCAAATATGCAGGTAAATGAAATTCAGATTAACGTTTAGAACAAACGTCCATAAAATGTCTATATTCAAACGTATTTTAGACGTCTATTATAAGATTATTAAACGTATAGATTTAGTCTAAGCAAAAGTATATATAAAAAAGTTTATATATATAAAATATCCATTTCAAATTAAACGTTGATTTTTAGTAAATAATAGGTCGCTAAACGTTTTATTTATTTTTCGACTAATTTCGACTAAATATTGACCAATTCTGAACCAATCTGTGCTTACTGGGATATTGCCTGTCTGATTTTTAACCCTTTAAGGGCCGAATTATAAAACTGACTTTAAAAAATTATATAATAATATTTTCACAACAGTTATGGGTCAAATTATTAGAAAATATAAAGTTTTATATATATATATATATATATATATATATATATATATATATATATATATATATATATATATATATATATATATATATACATATATATAGTTTGATATATATATATATATATATATATAATGAAAAAAATCAATGAGTATACTATTATAATATAAATATTATAAATCTATAATATAGATTTATAATATTTATATTATAATAGTATACTATAATAGTATAAATTTAATATAATAGTAATACTATAATAGTATAAATTTATCAACTAACAAAGATAATAATTATCAACTAACAAGATAAAATTTATCAACAAGATAAAAGTAAAATTCACACAATAAGTAATGCTAAAAAAAGTAAAAATTATATAAATGCGACTTTGGAAATGCAATAAACTTTAGTGAGGATTGATGTTGGACATTAGCCTTGGAGAATAAAACTGATATAGAAAATTTATATCAGATATATTAAAATCTTTCAACACATTTCACAACTCCTACTTCTAAAATTAAAAGCTTGTAGAATAAATGACTAACTCTACAATTGGATTTTAATGTTACCTAAGAGATTGGCATTAGAGTATCATTGTTGGTGGTACATACTCAGAATGGATAATAGTAAATAGTGAGGTCCCTCATTATTTACTTTTATGATATATAATAAAGATTTTTCTGATTTGGTTTTAGATGTTGTATCTGTATTTACAGATGATACTAAGTTATACAGTTTGCTTTTTGATAGCTCACCATGCAATAACCTGCAATAAAGTATGGACATTATAGCAAACTGGGCAAAACTATGAAAACTAAGTTTTAATGTAAAAAATGTAAAGTTATACCCTTAGGACCAACAAATACAAAATTTTCCCTAGGACAAACAATGCCCTTAGGACCAACAAATACAAATTTCATTTATATACTCGTTGATAAAAATCTCAATACTTCAAATAATATCAAAAACTCTCTCGTCAATAAAGGGATCTTCATTGACAGTAATTTGACTTTTATTTTGTAAATACTAAGAATAACACCGCCAATAAAGTTGTAGGAATGATCAAAAGATCATTTGTCAATCTCAATATCTTGACATTTCGTACTTTGTTTAATTTCCTTGTTCGTCCTCACCTTGATTCTTGCAGCTCTGTCTACTATCCTAGACTAAAAGATCAACAATTAATTCAAAATGTTCTATGCTAGTCTAGTAAATTTGTTTTTGGCCAGACTGGACTCACTTACAACCAAAGACTACTGAGACTAAATTTAACTAGCATGAGCTATCGTTTCTTATGCAATGACATGGCAGAAACTTACAAATGCATTTACAATCTTTATAATTGTAGTTGCAACCCTTTTGTTTCCTCATAAAATACCATTTAGTATTTTATCTATCAACACCTGTGTCAGAATAATTTCATCTGCACAGCCATTATATTTATTATTGTAATTACAGATCATTAAGTAGTTAATCTGAGTTGTAATAGCATGCGTGTTAATATGGCCACTTCTTAATATTAATATATGATTATATATTTAGTTTGTATTTATACAACTGCAACTTAACAACATGCGATCACGCTTATAAATTGAAAAAAATGTTTTGTAAGACAGATGTCCTGAAAAAACTTTTCAAATATGGAATTCACAAATTTGTAGAATAGTCTACCATCTGAAATAGTGTTCAACATCTGTCACGACATTATAAAAACATCTAGATGCATCTTGGGTTCATTAAATGTAAAATTGCAAAATGGTAAATATTTACTTAGAGCCTCAAGTTGTTTATCTTCCTTAATGTCATATAAATAAGAAAATATTATCATAGAAACCTTTCCATACCGCGCAAACTTTAAAATTCACATTAAGAAATGAATCTCAATAATTTTTAGACTAATATTTTTAGTTAAACAAAAAAAAAAAATCTCAAAAAAGAAAGTTAATCTGAAGTTTTTTTATATCATAAATTTATTTGTGATTATTATTTAGCTGATGTACCGTTAAACTGAAGGTGGTAAGGTAATAAAATTTACAAAATTTGCTCTGGCTGAATTTTTCACTTGCAACCATCTTGCTATTAAACTGCCATACGTAAAGTCACGCTTTTAAAAGTAACTGAAAGCAGCTGAAAATAAGAATTTTTTGGTAATTGTCTTATTTACAATATTGTTTTTGTTTTATTTACAGTATTGTCTTTGTTTTTTATCTAAACAGCTATGTTTGACTCAAATATAGTAAATGTTGATTGTTTATTATAGTTTCATCTCTTCTTTATACTTTTTTTTGACAGTTATGAGACTGCTTTAGAACGGAATTATCTGTGCCTCCAGCTTAAAATAATGCAGGTTACAAAAAAAGTGACACTGATGAGATTGCCTCTCAGTTTCTCAAATATTGAAGAAATCTTTAGTGTTTAAGGGTTAAGTGATTCCATCAGAGCTTTACTTGACTATCTCTTTCGATTTATTGAATTTATTTGCCGATTATAGATGAAAAAAGATCTTCTAAACCTAGAAGAAAAATTATAGAACAAAGATCCTTATGAATCAATAGTATATATCAGTGAATTGATATTAGTTAATAGTTTTTGGAAATAGTACCATGTACTGTTAAAGTTTCTAATTTTTAAAATATATGATACATTTATATGAAACATACAAACAAATGATCCAATATGATACGTGATTGACTATAATTATGTTGTATATCAGAATGTTTTATATAAATGCTTATTACATTTTATTGTGATTTTTATCTTTTATGCCCAGTTAGCGTGGTATTTTGTGTAGCAATGACTACTAATCTCAGATATCTATGACATCTGTAGGGTGTATTCAACGCTACAGATGTCATAATCTATTTATAACCAATTGCTTTTACTCTTCCATAATGTCATATTTTAATAAGAATCACATGGAAAACCGTCTAATACATACACATGAGGAACCATTATACTTTTAGTACAACTTATATTACATTTGTTTTCTTATTTTAGATGAACTTTCTTACTTCGGTTGGAGGAGATGAGAAACAACTTACAGCCGCAATCTTAATACAGCTAATGGCCAAAGAAATATGTTTTTCATACTCAATGTATGGAATGAAACAAAAACGTCCTGCAAGGTCGTTATAGGTAAAGCACAATATTTGTATTCTACATCCCATATCCTTTTAATAAATAAATATTTTAATAAAAGCTAATTACTTTACAATATTTATACGTGAAAAGTTATACATTTCAAAATTATATTGTGATGATATTTAAAAAACATTTTGTAGAGTTGCGTTTAGTCGTTTATCGTTGTATTCGTTCATTTCGAAATCGTTACTGACAAAAGTATTAAAGAAAAAATTGTCAGCTTTCTGGCGACGGCCATTAATAGAGATTACGGAAGAAAAATAGAACCGTAACTGAGCAACGCCCAATATTGAGCAATGAAATAAGTATCGCCAATATAATGAAAGTCGATTCCCACTATCTCATAGTGAGAGTATAATACAGTACTTTATATATATATATATATATATATATATATATATATATATATATATATATATATATATATATATATATATATATATATATATATATATATACGTGTATTAAATAACATTGATTTTATTTTGTTATATTTTGGTTTTGGAAAACTCTATACCTCTTTTTTTCATTTGTATCTGTTTCATATAACTTCAAATAAATTTAATGATTTCGATTTTTTTTCTTAAAGCGTGTTCTATGATTATTGTCATCTCCTAGACTATAACCTGTTTAGCTCAAAAGAATAATGCAGCCTAGTACTATAGTATCACTTAAACAAGAAAACTGTTATAAGTTTTAATTATTACAAATTTGCAGAAGGCAATATTTTTTATTATTTTTTAATAAAAATAATTTAATCGAAAATACTCAATATATTGCCTTAATTTAGTTATATATATTATATATATATCAGGATAATATTGTAAACTATCTTAGGTCAATATTGGCCAGTATAATATCTCCATTATTGGCGCAATATTATTTACAATATTGGCGCAATATTATAAACTATATCGGGCCAATGTTGTAGAGTGAACATTTTGCCAATATTGACTTTACAGTATTGGGCCAATATTGTATCGCCAATATTGACTTTATAATATTGGCGCAATATTGTAGCGCCAATATTGGCAAAATGTTCACACTGCAACATTGGCCCGATATAGTTTACAATATTGCGCCAATATTGTAAACAATAACGCCCAAATATTGTTTGCTACTAGGGTATAGTTATATATATTATATATATCAGGATAATTTTGTAAACTATATTACGCCAATATTAGCCAGTATTATATCCCCATTATTGACGCAAAATTATTTACAATATTGGCCCAATATTTTAAGCATTATCGCGCCAATATTGCAATGTGAACATTTTGCCAATATTGACTTTACAATATTGGCGCAAAATTGTATCGCCAATATTGGCCAATATTGACTTTACAATATTGGCGCAATATTGTAGCGCCAATATTGGCCAATATTGACTTTACAATATTGGCGCAATATTGTAGCGCCAATATTGGCAAATTGTTCACACTGCAACATTGGCCCGATATAGTTTACAATATTGCGCCAATATTGTAAACAATATCGCCCCAATATTGCGCCAATACTGTTTACTACTTGGGTTGTTATCAAAAATAAATGTAGTGTTATTGAATTTAACCAAAAGTTGTATTACTATTTCGAATTTGGTACCGAAGTCGAAGCCAAAGTCAACTTTGTCTTTCAGTAAAATCCAAATTTTAACGAATACTCTCTGGTCCTTATAATTGATTCGCATAGTATCATAGAAATTCGCAAAGATTGTTTGATATTGCATGGCATCCTACTTATCATTTAATGTTTCAAATAGTATTGCAATTTTAATTGAATTAACTGTGTGGTATTGCTTCCGTAACAAAGTTTCTTCTCTGGTATCGTTATTTTAATTTAATTAATTGAGTAGTATCGCTTCCGTATTTTAATATCTCATCTGGTATCGTTACCTTAATTAAATCTCTAGTGGTATATTTATCCTGATATTGACTTTTGTTTTGTGTTCAACTTTCAACAACTAAAGTAAACTAATCATTATTCATTTTGTTTCATTGTTTACATTAGATAACAAGTCTCCATTGTCGCACTACTCTCTACTTTTCCTTTTAACTTATATTTTGTTTTTTTGTACTTGTCAATCCATTTAGCACCTTGTCTTAATAATACCTTAGTTTATAATTTGCTATTTATTATTTATAAATATATAATTTATATAATAATTACATAGGCTGATAAATATCCCTCATCCCCGAATCATTTCATTTAAAAAAAGTACTTTGTCTCTTTGTCAAAGCCACTCCAAGGAAAAGAGAGGAGGGGAATGGGACAACTTTGCCCAAGGTGCTGATGATATAGGGGTTTACTTAAGTTTTGATCTATATAACAAAGTTTTTTCGAACTGACAGGGTTTAACAATTAGCAACATTTAGATTTTTTTTTTAATTAAATTAAAGACAGGACCAAAAACTAAAAACATTAAATTAAATATTTGAAATGTTTAAATGCAGTAGCCAATATTTTAAAAAATTTATGTTAATTGATTAGATTTATATATATATATATATATATATATATATATATATATATATATATATATATATATATATATATATATATATATATATATATTATATATAGATTTTGTAATATGCTTTCTCAGGTATGTGTTTATCTTCAAATACTCTCTAACACTCCTAAACCAGTGTCAACAAGAGAATGATCTTTCTGCAGATTAAAATTAATAAAAAGCTAATTACGTTTGGCAACAGAACTGAAACAGCTTCATTATTTAACACTTCTTTTAATTGAACATAATAAAAGCTATAAATTATAAAATTCTTATAGACAGCTTTGTTACAAGAAAAGGTAGCAAAAGGAAAGAAAAGGTAGGAAAGCCATTTTTTACTTAATTATTTAATTGTAACATAATACAATTTATAACACTTTTTACCTTTTCTTACTTTTAGTGCCACATTTTTAGAATTAAAGAAAAAATTGTTTTTTTTTACTATACCTATTAAACTGTGTGATCAGACATTAAATATGGTATATTGCGGTAGTGGTGTAGTGGTAGAGCGCTCGCTTCATAAGCGAGAGGCTCCGAGTTCAATCCCCACCACGTTCCTGGTAGTACCACGCTCAATTTGTTTCTCCGCGCAGCGGCCATATTTTTCAAGATTCGTGTTTTGGAGATATAGAATTTAAGAGAGGGTTATAACCACATTTAAGTAGCCTTCTTGTTTGTAGTGGCCTTCACGGCTTTGAGGAGGTGAATTAACAAAAAAAAAAGTGCTCTAAACAACAGTTTGCCTTTAATGATTAAAGAAGAAAGCTCTGTTACAAGCAGTAACCATTGTTACATGCAGTAACCACAAACTTAACACTGCACTGCAAAGGCTGAGTTGAAGTAACTCAGGAATTGAAAGATAATTTTTGTAAAGCCAGTTTACTATCTACTAGGCTTCATAAATTAGATGTGAATTACATGAAAATACCTTCCACAGTAACCAAGAGATGGAACAGTCATTATGGTATGCCGTCATGCTTCGACTGAAGGTCTTACTCATATACTTACGTCATGCAAAAGGTGATGATTAAAAGAAAACTGTTGCTACAGATGAACAGTTGCTACTTTTTGAAACTTTTATATTCGTGCTAAAATCAGCTCAATAATTATTTTTTGTTCCGCTGTGGAAAGTGACAGCACTTATCAACTTTATTAAAAAAGAAAAAGGTAATACACTTACTGAGGAAAGCAACAAGTTAGTAGAAGAAATCTTAAAGGACTTATTATCAGAAATAAAGAAGAGGTTTACAGACAAAAGCCGTAAACAACCCGCATTTGCACTTGGGTATTATTTTCATCCATTTTTACGTAGTCATCTTTTTAATGTTGGTAATGAAAATATTCGAAAACTGATTGACAATCACCCCACAAGCAAAGAACACTTTGAGTATTAATCATCTGTCTTAAGATCGAACATTAACAATACTCGTAAACAATAACAATGCTGCAAATACATAAAGGGGAGAAAAATAAATGTAAAGCTATCTAAGCAAAGAATAAGGAAGAGACTTTCTCACTGCAGACACATGAAAATCTACCACATAAATTGAATATACATAGAATTGAAACAGTTGCAATAAAAAACAATGTAATAAACTTTTTGGTTTTGGGATATAACAAACTATTTAGTTCTGGGGTACTAAAGGAAGCATTGTTATCAAAATCATCATAAACATTGTTTTTGAAGTATTTAAATGTACAACGAGAAATTTTACTTGGACACTTTAAAATAACTTAAAAAATAATTTTAAATAACACTTACTTAATGTTAGCAACTATTGTCCAATTTCTGCTCTCCCTCTGTTTGCTTTTTTTGTTGTTCTACTCTCCCTCTGTTTGCTTTTTTTATTGTTCTATTTAATGGTAATGTTCTATTGCTGCTAAAAAGTTATTTAAACAATAGGAAGCAATTTTAACTAGGAAATAATTATAGGAAATAACTTTAATCTATAATCTCGTTGAAAAGTCAGAGTTCCTGGAGAACTTTTAATAAGACCTCTACTATTTCTTATTGGTAAAAATGTTTTCTATAGCATATAAGTTAATGAAAATTATGTTTGCTGACTTTTTTATTTGTTTGTTTGTTTATTGTTTTTTTCTTGTAGTGGCATAACGACACAATTTTAACAACAATTATAATTAACGACAAGAGCAGAAACATAATCAAAGTATTTAAATAGCAAATCAAATAAACCTTCTCTTATTAGCCTCTTCTTTATATAAATGACGTTCAAATTAAATTTTTTTTAATTTAAAGCTACTTGGGATGTTTTCATTTATTAAAACATTACAAGTAAAAATACAAATCAAAAACCTGTCCTGCAAAATTTTAAAAAGTATAGAAACACTAATTAAAGGAACAAGCTAAAAAAACTCAGACCCGTAGCAACGGGGGGCAAGAGAGGCATTAGCCCCCCTCCCCTCCGATAATTAAAAAAATAATAATTTTGAAGGAATTGACTGAAAAATGCTTAAAAAAAAAAAAAAGGTCCTTAAAACTATATCGGGGTAGTACTGCGCCTACAATATAATTTTTGTTCCTGCGGGCCTGAATAAATTATTTATTCAACAATATTACTTTATATTAATTCAGCTACACCACTTCATTTACTCATTGTTATATAAACTATGCTTAGGCTGGTTGAGGTAGTGTTACATTAAAAAATTAGCGCCACTTCAATGTCAACAAAATCATGATACCAGTGTTGTTAGTTTTAAAGACTTTTTCTCACGCTAAGTCTCTTTATCTTTTATCATTAAAATTCTCATGAAAATTGTATTTTAATTGTTTAGATAAACATCTAATTTGTATATTCAATATTTATTTTAAATTTTTTATTTCGACTGGCTTGTGTATTATTATATACAATTACTATACAATTACTATACATAACTATACAACTAGTAACTATACAATTGATAATCAAGCTAACAATTAAAACTCTTTCCAACAGAAGTTTTGCAAAAATTGTGGTTTTTTAGCTCAACAAACAATTTTGGGTTTTGAGCTGAAAATCCATAAATTCAACCAGTAGGTTGCTGCCATTAGGGTACTGATTTTGAAACATTGATTGTACATGACGAATATGTAACCAACTCATTATCCAAATTTAATAACAATAATAACAAAAAAACTAATTCAAATTTTGTCTGGATTTTTGGAATTTACTACATGGTAATCAGGACAGCTTTTTTTCCTATAGGATCGAAAATAGGATTAATTATAGAATTTTTTTTTTTTTTAATTATAAAAATTTTTTTTTTTAATCATAAAAATTTATTTTTATTTTAATTGCTTCAATAACTGTTGCTAAACTTACTTTTTAAAACTTTTATTTTTTGACTGAATAAAATTTATATTATTTATTAAGTGAAAAAACAAGCTTTTACTTTTTTTAGCACATGTCAAACTATACAATATCAAAATATTTTCTAAATATTTTGCTTTATTTTCTATGCTTTTTTAGTTTTTAAATAACATTTATGAACTTATATCTCCCCGTACCAGCATTATCTTTCAGTTTTTCGACTTGTTTTCCCTGTGCACAAAAAATAAAAATTAAATTTCTTCTGAAAAAAGATTTTTTTAAATTTTATGATCTGCTTCTCATCTATTTCTTAACATTTTTTTCTTTAAATGCTACAATTTTAATTGAGGTAATGGATACCAAGTTAAACCACTTTTTTTATATTATTATTTAAAATCTGTCGATGAACCTAAAGTTAGTGTTGGATAAGATGGTTGAATATTTTCACATTTTGGCAAAGAATCTTTTCACGTTTCGGCAATTTATGTTTGGGCATAGGAGGGGTCAAACTTGTAGAGATATTTTCCTTCCCAGACTTCCATCACCTTGAAGTTTTACAAAACATTCACATAGACTTGTATTAACTGACCGGTTTTTTGTAAAAAAGTTAATTCTAAACTTAAACGCAACATTTTAGGAACAAAAATTATTTATTACGATCAGTAAGAGTAACAGGCCAAATGATTTTTAATAGTTTAATACCTTTCATGAATCGTTAAATTGCAGTATAATGATCAAATAATAGGTCTTAAAACAAGTCGTAATAGTCAGATTTAAGATTTGTTTGTATATTTGTAGTTGTTCGAATTATAATTATTTTCCGGTTGCTCAAAGAAATTTTTTGTAACTTTTTACAAATGTGTAAAAGTTTTTTTTTCGAATTTTTAAAATTGATTAATCATCAATTTTAAAGCTGATGTAAAGAAATTTAAATTACTAAAGATCACAATTGATCTTTAGTAATTTAAATTTAAGTAAAATTAAAATAAAACTTTTCAACATTACTTAATTTATGAAAAACGAAACTAAATAATTTTTTACTGTAACTTGAGCATTTGTAATATTGTCGTTGCAAACATAAGTTATTAGGCTAATGTTTTTTAGCAATTTATATAAATAATAGAAAACTTTTTTTTTTTTTTTTGCTTGTTTTAAATAGTTTTATTCTCAAAACGGTGCCAATAATGTATAATATGTTACTCGATCATTTTTTCAAACATAAATTTGTTTCCGAAGAAATAAGTTGATTCAGTAATTCCATACGGTTTGCCAAGTTATAGAATCGGCTAATTTTCGAAAAAAATAATTTTTAAATGTTGAGGAATGAGAGCAATTAAAACTAAAATGTATTGGATCAAGGTAAGGAAGGAAACTTCCTAGTTAATTGCCATTCTGCGGTGCTTTGTGATAAGATCGATAGGACTTTTTGCAACACTTAAATGATTAATTAAAAAAAAAAAAAATATGTTCTCAAAACAAGATAGAAGTGCTATGAATAAAAAACTTTTGTTTGATTATAATAATGTTAAAATATTTAAACTTTATTAAAATTTAATCAAACGTTTTGCACCAATCTTTGCGTCCTTTTTTTAAAACTGACAAATATTCATTAGAATTTTAAGATGTTTTCGATATATAAAAATTTTCAATGAAAATTCAAAAATACTAATAGAAATTTGTTATTCATCCTAATTTGTTATTTTGACAAAAATTTTAAAATATAAAATTAAATATAACTTTATTTTTTAGTAGTATTTTTTTATTATTATTATTATTAAATGTTAATCTATCTTGAAGTGTTTTAATTTTCTATAAATTAAATAAGCTTTCTCCAAAGAAATGGAGGGGGGGGGGGTGTGTGTGCAGAAGAGTCATACAAGCAATCGGATTAAATCCGATAAGTCGCTATTATCGGCTTTTATCTTGAATCCTTCATTCCTAATATGACAAACAGTTAGAGACTCTTCTGATCCACCAAAAGTTTACATCATGTTTGTACACGCATATAGAAAACAAAATATGTTCTAAATTATGTTGAAATGCGAATTTAATAAGTAATTTTGTAAAGATTGAGAATTTAGTAAGTTATAAAAATAGTATAACACATGTGACGTAAAACTGGCCAATAAAATAAATTGTTATAAAATTCCGCGTAACCCTTAACATTACCGTAATAAATTTGGTTTCCACTATGGATGAAGATTCAGGAGTAAAAAAATTTAAGGTTGAAGATAATTCATCACTAAGGAATAAAAAATTTAAAAAAGTTGAAACTTCTAATATAAATCATGATGTCAACGAATCTAAATTTCAAAAAAATAAAAGCAATTCGGAGGTAAAAAGCTTATATGTGTAAACTAATATTTATCTTTTTGATTTTATATATATTATTTTCTTATCTTGATAATATCGTTGTTGCAAAAGCTTTTACAATTTTATAAACTTAGTTAATAATTCAAAAATGAAAAATTTTAAAGTTAATTTTTTTCTTTTTTGGACATTATTTCTTTAATCTCAAAAAGCAAAAATTTCTTTTAACTTTATATTTTCGTTAATGCGTAAACTTAACACAAACAATTAAATTGTTTTTGACTTCTTCTACATTGACAAAGTATTATTCATTGTTATAAACATATACAAGGTTAAAAGTTACAAGTTAAAAATTAATTTTTTGTTCGTTTGAAATACATTCTGTCTCAATAGAAATTTTGTTGTTGTGCTACTATGCGTACAGATTTCTTTTATCAATTTGATTAAAATTGCAATGATACATTACTTTTTCTTAAATTTTGTTCATATTTTTAGGTTTTTTAGGTTTTTATATTTTGATGAAGTTGATTGTTGTTAATTTCATTTAAACTTTGCATTGGTAATTTATTCTTTAACATCTCCTCCCCCCTAATTTTTGATATTATTTTATGTTGGTCAAGATTCACATAAAAACATAGACCTAAAAAAAAATAGGAAAATATTCTAGATGAAGTGTTAAATTAATTTTTTTTAAAAGAAAAGATAATTATGGAAAATCAATTAAGTTTTTGTTCATACAATATAGCATCTGAAAAGGATTATTTATATCTGCAGCTTTATTCTTTATGTCATGGCGATGCAAACTCTGTCTTATAGTTTTTTAGTTTTCTTAGTGTTTTTTTTTTCTTATTGTTTGTTTTTAAATGTTTACAACATAATCAGGTTGTCATTATAAAAAGAAAAAAAAAAAAAGAGAAAAAGAAAAGCATTTTTGGTGCAGTTTTTATAAGCACTTGATCTTCATTTTAGAGAACTTTTAGTTTTAGGTCTATGTTTCTAAGAATCGCTAGCATAAAAATCTTTTACAGAATTTTATATTATAATCAGTTAAAGAAATAAGGGGTAAAAAAATATTGCTTTACTTTCATCTAATCTACCTAGTGCATTTTAAGACTGTTTAATAACTTCGATATTTTGCTATTATTCAAACTGTCTTGACTGCTGACTTTAAATTTTTAGAAAATATGTTGATACACATATCAAAAGATAAAAAGTTTTATTAAGAAAATAATAGTTAAGATTTAACTTCGAAATCGAAACTTAGTGATGTTGACATCTTTTTTGAATATTACAGTGATATTTCCAAATTTTAAACATGTTTTTTGTTGTAGTATTTGTTCAGATGCATAAAAAAACTGCTTGATCATTCCCTGCCAAATGGAATAACTTTTCTGATTATTTAGCTTGTAGTGTTTTCATTAATCTCCAAAAGGCTTTTGATAGGGTTAAATACAAGGTTCTTATTAAAAAATTACATTACTATAGTATAAAAAATATTGCTAATAATTTTTTTTTTTGGTACGTTAAAAATTTTATGTTGTTTGTTCTAATTATTGGGGTTGAATCCACAAAAATAGTTACCATAAATCAATTTTTACATGTTTCTTTTCTATTTTTTACTTTTTTTAAATATATATTAGTGAATTATCTCATACTATAAATAACTTGATTGTTCATTAATATGGTGACAACACTAATCTTCTAAGCATCAATAAATCACAGCTTTATAAAAAAAGTTTAGGTTTTTATCATTTGTGTCTATGGCTGAATAGATAGAGATAATGATAATAATAAGAGTAGAGAAATGACTGTACTTCTTAAAAGATCAACATAACCACACCTCCTAATAAATCCTAAAATATCCTTATATTTGAAAACCTCTCAAAAATAAAATATGCTTGAATTTCAATATACTCCTAAAATCTTGTAATTTAAACTTGTTTTTTGAACTTTAAGTTTTTTCTTTGAACATTCAACTTAAATTTTTGAATTGTTTATTAAAATTTTTTAATAATACATAAATTTCGTTTAAAAAATTTTAAAATCCTTCTAATGAATCCTAATTTTTTTATTCGTTTTTCCAAGTTTCCTTGTAAAATCTCCTATAAAGTCTTTAAAAACCTCCTAAAATTTCTTTAATTCTTCTAATTTTTCAACTCAAAAAAAGTGTGGCTACACAGATCAATAAATCTTTTTTTTTTTATGCCTAGCAAATGTTAGTTTAATTTGTTATTAGCATTTGTTTTATTTTCATAGACAACTGTAAAACTAATTTTTAAAAGTTCTGAGAATTTCTTAAAATCAAACATCAAGGGTAAAACCAATATTCTTAAGACAGGTAGTTTTAATGCCAAGCTAAAAACTTTCTTTTTAAATTTTTTTAGCTTTTGCATTGTTCTTGTATAAAGATTGACTATACATATGTATTAATAAAAGGAATTTTTTTTATAGAAAGCAAGGAAGCATCAGCAAAGGCTTATTAATTTTATTAATGAGGGAGTTGGTTTGAGTTCAGAAGAATCTGGTAAAGATTCTCGTAGACGTACCCCAATGACTATGCCACGCACAAAAATTACTGCAGCTACTCCACTAGAACAAAGAGAAGCTCTTGTAAAGCTTAAGCAGAAGTTATTTAATGATGATGACAAAAAGGTTGTTAAAAAGTTTTTTTAACTGATATTTGTATTTAAATAATTTACGTTCTTATATTACTTTATTTTAATCTCGTTTTTTATTTTGTTAACATTTTTTTAGTGAAGGGGGGGGTGCTAAGGTCATGTTTAAAAAACTTACACCTTAGTTAAAAAACTTAGTAAAAAAATGAGTCATTGGTTATTTTTTATTTCATATTTTAATTTAATTTAAAGCAAAACGTTCAACAAAACCGAGATCAAAGAGAAAATATTTCTACCACATTTAATAACTACATAGATGTTATGAGTATGTCAAGCGTAGCTGCTTCTGATGCTGCACCAAGTGAAAATTCTGATGTAATTTTTTTTTAAATTTTTTTAAATTATTGTTATTTATATATAAATGTATTTTTACTAGTTGTGTGTATATATATATATATATATATATATATATATATATATATATATATATATATATATATATATATATATATATATATATATATATATATATCCATCAATATTGTATTATGAGCACATTATTTAACTGATGGTTTTGATTTTTTGCACTAAATTTTGATTTTCTTTGTAAAAATATTGTTTCAATTATTGTTGTTAATTCAACATTTTGCATTGTTCTTAGTTTAGTTAACTTAAGTTAATTCTGCTTTTGGTTCTTAATTAGTTAAATATCAACAGAGTAAATGAGCGCTTAAACCAAGTTCGTGTAAGTGAATAAATTACTTTGTTAAACAAATTTAGTACTTTTTTCTTTTATATGTTCTGTTATACAAGTTTTGTGTTTTTGTTAATAGGAATATCTATCACAAGCAACATCTATGTATGTTTCTTTATGTATTGCTGGCACTGATGAGGTAACATTTTTTTCATTACCATGTATGTACCTAAATTAACAATACCTATATATATATTTATATATATATATATATATATATATATATATATATATATATATATATATATATATTTATATATACATATATATATATATATATATATATATATATATATATATATATATATATATATATATATATATATATATATATATATATATATATATATATACTTTTTGTTTGAAGGAATGTACTTAAGTTGTTTTCTCAAGCCTATTCATGCCTAATGAATAGTATGTAAAATAAATGTAAAATAATTTTTTTTAAATTTAGCCACAAAGAAACCAACAGACAAGTAAATTAGCTAAATTAATACAACAATTAAGAATTCAAGAAAAAGGATACATTGATTTAATTCAAAAAGCAGAGGTAAGTAAAATCTTTTGTTTAATTTTAGTATTGTTGAGTTTTTAATTTTATGAAAATTATTTGCAACAAAATATTTCTGTTTTTAAAAATCTTTAAGTTTTTAGAAGTTTTTGTTTTAATTAAGAAATAATAGATTTTAGTTTATTCAACTTGATAATATAAGAATAAGTATTAAGCAATAAAGCCTCACTTATAAAATAAGTATAAATAAAAAGGAAATTAAGAAGAATGAGTAAGGTTATTTATAGTAAGATTTTTATTTACAAAATAATTATTTTTTCATTTATAATATTTTAATATAGTTTGAATCTGTTTGAATTAATCTGTCGCCTACACAATATTTCTCTTTTGTTTTATATTGTTAAGTTTAGAATTGCATTTAACATATCTACTTATTTTTCTCTAAAAATTAGAGTTCAGTTTTATTGCTTGGATTAAAATTTTCATACCTGCTTCTATATTTGTCAATATCACTTTGCTTTCATTGTTTTCAAATAACTTTGGTTTTTTGAATTTAACTGACTACTGTTACTTGTTAGGTAATCAAATGCATACATAGAAAAACCTTTTGTCTGTGTTTTAGTATGCATTTTATGTAAAGCTGTTAACCCTTTTATGCAGAGTTTGGAGCCAAAACAATTTTGCTCAGCAGATGTCTTTGCTATATTTTATACTCTAGTAATTGTTTGAACTTTTTTCCATGCTCAACTGTTTCACTTATTTCACAGTTGTGTTTTATGTAACTTTAATACATGAAAATAAAAAATTTACCATTTTAAAACATAACCAGCAGTCTAATGTGTTACATGCTTCAATTGCTATATTTTATCATATCAGTCTAATGTGTTCTAATTTTTTTTATAGACTTAAAAGATTTGTTTTACAACTCAATATGTTTAACAAAAGTTTGTTTATATTTCATAAATCTGTGTAAGTTGTAAATTTCAGATTGTTACTGAAAATTTTCTATTAATCATTTAGAGGCTGGAATATAGTAGATAATTTAAAGCTAGTTTTTTTTTTTTTTTTTTAATCTTATGTATTGCTCAATTATTTTACACTAAGTTAAATTGCGTTTGTTAAATCAAGCACTAATTCAATTAATAAAAATTGACAGTAAAAAATTGTAAAAGTTTTTTGACTTTTATCAATTTCTTGTTTTTTGTTTGGGGTGGGGTGGGGGTGGAGGTGGTTGTACATGTGAATAAACCCAAAATAAAAAGTAAAATATTCAATCCTATGTTAAAATTTTTTTGAAAGATAAGTTTAGAAAATATAATTTTGTAAAGATATTTATACAATTTAGTTACAATTGAAATAATTATATCTGTTTTATTATTTTAATATTAGATAATTTTAACTATTATGTAATTAAAATTAACTTTTTTTTTTTTTTTTTTTTTTCATGGTTAGTGACTAATTTTATTGGTATATAGTAATTAGTTTTTATGGATAAATAAAAATTAAAAAAACAGCAAATTTAATTGATGAAAAAGTTTTACAACTGACAACTGACAAAAAACAATAGGTTGTTCAAACAATAAATTTTATATGAATAATTTGTTTTGATTTTACACTTTTACTCTTAATAAGTCTAGGAAAAGTTAATATAATACAATTTATTTTAATAAATTTAATAGTTCCAATATAGGTACATTTTCATTTTACTTTTCATCTTACTTTACTCCGATGCTACTAATATTTAGATAAATTTTTTTTAACGAATGTTGTAAATTTTTCTCAATGGACAACTAGCAGGAAAAAAAAAAGTGTCTTATGCTTGATTATATAGTATAAGTTTCATTGAGGTATTGGAGTTTAAGCGAAAGTTTGAGTGCTCAAACCAGTATACCGGTATCAAAATCAGCTTGGTTATATCAATTCGTTTATATTTGCATAAAAAAGACTTTATAATTTTTACCTTTCAAAATAAAAAGTATTTGTCTGCTCTTTATTTCAGTCAATTTTATGTCTTGAGTACTAATGAAAATACTTTTGGTGTCCAAAATAGAATACATAGCAGCAGCTATGCTGTATATGCAGCATTACACAGCATGATGCTGGCCATGTTTATTACTTTTAAAAGTTTTATTGAGTATATGTTACTATCTATTTTTGAGTATATGTTATTATCTATTTTTGAGTATATGTTACTATCTATTTTTGAGTATATGTTTCTATCTATTTTTGAGTCTTTAATATTTTTGGTTTTAATATTTTTGTAATAATTTAAACTATAATTTTATTTATAAATTGTTTTTAATTCTAAATTTTATTTAAATAAGTAAGGTTCAATTTCTAATGTATTTTTTAATGTAGTATATTGTAAATCAAGGAGAATTTGTTTAATATATAAAAGTATATGTATTTTTAAATGTTTTAAATATTTGTAAAGTATAACTTGAATACATTTAATTACATGATTATAAAAGTAGAAAATTACTAAATAGTTGTAATAATAATAACCAAAAGAGTTAAACCTTGTTAAACCAAAAGAGTTAAACCTAACTGCCTCAGTTAATTGAAACTTAGTGTTAATTTTCTAAAGATTGCCTAAATCTACAGAGTGCCTGTAAGATTTAATACAATCTTCCTTTGCATATGGCGCTTCAATTTTTAGATCTTTAATTGTTTCACTGCATGTTATTTGTTATTTGACTTTTTTAAAAAATAAAGTATAAGTTTATAAAACAAAAATATTTAATAATAAAAAAAGCTTTACACATTACTTTTATTTATTAACTATTTGAACTATTTCATGTGAATTTATGTTTATTATTTAATCAATAACCAATTAACCAATATTAATTTTGTTGTGTTTTTGTATATTAGTATTGTTTGTGTACATTGTTTGGGTTGCATTTGCTATTTACCTAGAACTTGATTAGGTCAATGAAATAAATTTTTTTGTTACAATTTAAATTAGTTGTAATAAGAGCATAGATTTAAGATTAATTGTTTATTTTTTTGCGTGAGTTTGATTTACTTTTAAAAATTTATTTCTTTGAAATGATAGTTTTTATTTTGTATTTTAGCAAGCTTTAAGTGAACAAGAAGATGGCATGTCTGGAACCACAGTGGAAAATGAAAGAGACTGTAATGATCAACAAGAAGAGCTTCAAAGGCTAAAAGAGCAGCAGTTGTTGTTGAAGAAAATTGTGGAACAACAAAAAGAAGTAGGCCATTTTTCTTAGATTTTTTCATTAAATCTTTTGAAGATGAAAAAATGTTATGGTTTTTTAGCTGGAAAAGTTAAAAGAAAGGCAGTCAACTCTTTTGCTAATGCAAGAAAATGCTGAACTGGCTGTTAAAGCATCAAGAAAGGTTTGTTTATTTTTATATTTGGCTTTACAATGAAAGGTTCCAGAAGACATTTTTGAGGCAAAATAGTTTGGAGGCTGCCTTCAGTAGCTTCTGTCTCCCAGCTGGCTGTGGCAACCAAATTTGTGGCAAAAGTTTTGTTTCCTGCTGGTAAAGTAATAAAAAAAACATTTTCACGTTTGTTTTTAAGTCAACAAGCAATTTAAATGTTAATTAGGAGAAAATATTGAAATTTTGACATCAAAGTTGCATTTTATATGATTTATTGCAAAAATTTTGGCAATTTAATTAAAATTATAATTTTGTCAGGGTGGTTGTTTATTTAATAAATTGAATAAAATCAAATAAAATGAAAAAGAAAAAAAAGAATAAGTTACTAGTTTCATATTCAAAACTAATGTTAAAAATTAAAAATTTTATTTCCATGCTTTTAGCCAAAAATGTCATTAAAAAAAAAAAAGTTTTTAATAAACAATTAATTTGAAGTTGATTTGAATTGAATTTTTCTAATCTTTAAAATGTTTAAAAGTGAAATTTTAAACTAATCTTAATTTTATAGTCAATAGTCATAATGTCTACGTTATTATTGTGATTATATGCATATACAGCCTGCGAAGTTCAAAGGATTTCAGGTCAGCAAAAAATTTGGATTTGGATTTTTTGCTTTCTGTTACAAAAGGAGTAATGACTGATTGATTATGAAAACATTACTTTACAAGAGCATAGCTTTAGACAATAATTTTTTAAAGATTGTAACAATTAAACTTTATGGAAGTACATAGCAAATTTATGTGATATTTTGGTTTCAAAGTTGTTTTTTAACAAAACAAATAAAATAATGATGATGGTCTAAGCTATTCAGTTCAAAATATAACAAATAAATTAATACTTTCACCTGCCAAATAAAATGTTGAAATCTTAATAAATGAGAAAGTCAGAGTTTAAAAAAAAAGTGAACAATAAAAACCACAAACATTTGACAATAAAGTTCTATCAACATTTTAAATGGCTGCAGCAAATAAAATTAAAATTAAATAAAATTAATCAGAAATGATTCTGAATTAAAGATGGTGTAGCAGGCCTTGCGATGAATAAGAACTGCGCGACGCATAAGTACGACGTGATTTTTGACGTCATTAAATTCTTTTTATTTGCTTTTCATATTTATCGACATTAACTGCACCAATTTACTTAATTACCGCAAAACTACTTTAAATCGTTTATGTAGAAATGTTATTATTTAAAAATGTTTTGGAATGTTTTGTTTTTTAAAATGTAAAAACATTTGTTTATTTTCTCAACGTTTGTCACGTTTTGTCTATACTAAACAAATAAAAAACATTATAGCTTAAATTTAAAAAAGATTATAAAATATGTTAATATTTGATTTTTTTTTCTTAAATATGTAATTTAAAGTTTTTCAAATAATTATTTTTTCTTTTTAAAAAGTCAGCGAGTAATAAACTGGAAATTTTAATATTGTACGATTAAAAACTGTGCAATAGCTAATATTTTTACAAGCGATTTTATATAATATTTATTTATTTATTTTTATTTATTTTCATAAAGCGGTTGGATAAGCACAATCACTCGTATTAATAAAAAACTTAAACGAACGTTTTGAATAGATTTTTAATGTTAACAAGGAATTTTATTTCTAGCAAAATAAAATAAAATGTTAGAATAAAAATCTTATAGGTATAAAAGAAATATTTCAGCGTAAAAGTTATTCTTAAAAATTATTATTAAAAATTATTCGAAAAACTATTGAAGTTTTATTTTTCAGCAGCTGTTCTTGAGCACGCTTCGTTGAGTTTCGGTAACTTTTAACATAAAAGCGATCGTTATTATTTAAGTAATTTTTTTGAGTTACTTTTTACAAAAATTTTAATAACTGTACTTTTTTATTGAATCAAGTAGAATATGTTTTAATATTAATCCTTTTTTTTTTTTAATTTGCGCTCACCAATTTTTAAAATGTTTCCTCGAAATTACTCTTAAATACTTTAAATACGTCTAACAGTTAATAAATATTTTTAAATTTATGGAATAATTTTAAAACTTAACAAACCCCCGTAAAATAATTATTTAAGTTTAAAATCTAAAACTAAAAGAAAGTATTTTTGTTCAATTTTATTAAATTTTTTTTTTAAAAGATTTTTAAAAGCTTAAAAGATTTTTTACTTTTAAAAGATTTTTAAAAGCTTAAAAGATTTAAACTTTTTTTTTAATCTGAATTTTTTCTGCTTGTAAATAATGAGCATATTTAATTTTTTTTAATTCAAACTTTTATTTCAACTGCGTGCGGTTTTTAAAATACTTTATTAAATGTTAAAATAATTGTAAATTACTTCATTAAAATTCCGCTCAAAAATATCTTTAAATATACTCAAACAAAAAATTTTTTGCTCGACGCAAATAGCCCTAGCTACACGCAAAATCGCTCTTGGACGACGTAAAATTCACATCGCCCGACGCTTTATCGCAAGGCCTGGTGTAGCTCCTTGACTGTCACAAAGTCTACCTAAGGGGTTGTCCATAAATGATGTCGGTGATTTTTCTCAATTTTATGGACCCCCTCCCCCCTTTGTCAAACTGTCAATTTTTGGCGATCCTGTCATATATAATGTCAGTTTTTGTACCCCCCTAAAGTAACATCAAAAATATGTGTAAACACCATTGGTTTTTTTCTGGTTAAATTATACATTTATATAGTAGTAGATCTTAGCAAGTTATATTATAAAACAGTTGATGCCTCATCAAATAATAAACCAACTAATGAAATTTTTATTTTATATCTATAATATAAATTCAATCACTTGTCATTTTCCCATGAGTTGTTGAAGCCATATTCGATAATAATGAGAAACTGTATTCAAAATAATGACAAATGACTTTATGTGTTTGCTTTGAAGCACATTTTATAATCCGCTAGGGATTGAATAATGGTTGTTAAATTTATATACAATTTGTATAGTATAGATTTTCAGTCAAATGGTAATACAATAATAAAACGTTGGTAAATTTTTAATTTATTTCATGTCTCTGGGAAATTTACATCAAATTCCCCACAAAGCAAATATGCCATTTCTATTTCACATTGTAGATGTAAATACCTTTAAAATCTGCTTGTATAAACTTCAATTTTTTTTCTTCTTAAATTGACATCATTTTGGTCTCAACACCCCCCCCCCCTTCCCATTGTCAATTCTTGTAAAACTTTTCAATACCCTCTCCTCTCCTATATTTACTGACATCATTTATGGATGGTCCCTAATGAGGAAGCATCACCATTTTTCTTATTATTGTTTATTGAAAGTTATACTTATTTATTGTTTTTATATTTTAAAGTTTCATATAAAAAGTGAATCAACGCATACATTTTTAAGATTTTCAAATTTGAGAAATCTTTGTTATGATCTTGCCACACTTTAGCACAGTGTGATGATGAAAAGTACATGCTAAGACATACAGCATATATAGTAATATTTACAGTGTATTATACATACATTGACTGACATAGGAATTGGTGCAGTGGAGTAAACATATATCAACTGAGGGTATATATTAATGATAATTCCTGTAGGTATTTTGTATGTTGAAAATGTACATAAAGAAATGTTGCTGAAACAATTACGAGGTTTAAACGTTTAGTTGAAAACTTTTTAAACTTTTAAACACTTTAAAGCTTTTTAATATTTTAAACTTTTTTTTTTTTAACATTTCAATTCTTTTTAATGTTTTAAAAATTGTGATTTTTTGACCAGCCAAAATAAATTATAATAGAATTTTTTAAATTTTGTTGTAATCCGAACCAAAGATTTTTTTTTAATCTTCTAAAAATTGCTATTGCTTGTTAAGGTTTGAAAAAATTTTTAAATACCTTGTTTAGGTAAAATGAACATCATAGTTTACTAATATGATCTGCTATGGTTTATTGGTAGTTTTTTTTTTTATTATAAGCTCTTTCTTTGTGAGAATTTCTAAATTTTTGTGAAAATTAATAGAAATGTTGTATTTTTACAACTATATGTAATAGGCCGGATCATAAAAATTAAGTTGCTTTGAGAATTTGGGAAAAGTGGCATGATATAGCATTGTTTACTATTAGCAAAGAAAAACTTGAATAAAATTTGATTATACTATGCGTTTTTAAGTTTTTAGGTATATGTGTATTATTGCATAATTATGTAATTGTATAACTATAAAAAATGTTTGCTAGTTTTTGATTTACACATAATTTTGCCTATATTGTGGGCCTGATATTTGGTTTATTTTGTATGGATTTGTAAATAGTAGTAAGTGTAATAATCTATATCCTTTAGATTATCTAATAACTGAAATTATTTTATTATAAGTCAATCCTAAACTATATATGTTTGCATAAACATATATAACAAACATAACAAACAGATATGTCTGCAAGCCAAATACATAGTGTACAATACGTGCAAAATCCAAACTATATACTAAATATTCACTTGGCCTTGACCATTGTCCATCGTCACACCATCTAACTGATGCAACATTGCAAAACACAGGTGAATGGTCAAACAACCAATTAGGGATTAGATCGATGAAGTAGCGACAAAGGACGGTATGAATATACATGCCATAGAACACATACAAGCGACTGTCTTGTAGCTATCACGTGAACAACAAACGCTCACGACAGTAAGATTTAGGCAATTTTAAACATTATTTACCATGAATGTTCGGTGTTTAAACTTTAAACTTTTAGTTTATGCAAACTGCATAACTGCTTGTAGTTTTATATCCAATTGTAATTTTTGTCTGTTTTTTGCATTTACAGAAATTAATTCAAATTCTAATCTGTTTTAAAAACTATGAAACAATTATAATGTTATCAAGATCTGCAGCTGCAAAAAATTATCATATATTTTTTGGTGAAGCTCACAAGTTACCAAATGTTTACTTGCCAGCGCACAAACAGGTTGGCAAAACATACTTGTTTGAAAAGAGTTATGAAACTGAGCCATTACGAATTGTCTGTAAAAGACTGGCTGATAAACTCTTGCAAGTATGGATTAAAGCATCAATCCCTACAATAACTCTTCGAGGAATAGAAATCCAGTTGGAAAAGTATATAAGTGAAGTTCAGAAAGTGACGCAATCAAAATCTGCAACACTCAAAAGAGAAGAAATAGAAACTAATCTTAATAAACTGTTTGATATTTGCTCATGTAAATACAAAGAGTTTTCATCTTGCTACTGCCCTCTTAATATGAAGGTAGCAGCGATTGAGCATAATTTTCTTACAGATCAGTGCACTGCATGTTTTGTTCGAATAGCTGGTGTTGATAAGAAGGAATCTGCACTTGCTGAAAGGTGTCTAAAAAGGAAATCAGTTTTAAGATCAACAAATGTGTCAGAGTAGCTAAAGCATCAGATTCAGATAATGATACAGTTCAAACAACTAGTAATTCTGACACTGAAACTTATTCCCCTTGTGCATCAGATGATATATCAGATGAAATACCCAAAACTTTTTGTCTCAAAAAACATTGCTTTAGAAATATTGCATTTCAAACAGATGGGTTTGGCATTTCAGATGGGGCTGTTGCTGCATTAGTATCAGCAACTCTTGTTGATTTCGGTTTAGAATATATGGGTCAGTTGATTGCAATAAAGTTTGGAGAGAAAGAAAACTTCTGAGATCAGCATATAAAAATACTGATTGCAAGATTTCTGGGTTGTATTTTGATGGCAGAAAAGATCAGACTTTAAAACTTGTTGGAGATCGGCAGACTGTAGTTTCTGAAGAACATATTTCTCTATTATCAGAGCCAGGATCAAGATACATTAACCATTCTTCTCCAAGTGGTGCAGCTAAATCCATTGCAGAATCAATTCTTGATACAGTAGACTGTACTAATCTTGTTTGTATTGGCTCAGATTCAACAAACCTTAACACTGGTTTAAATAATGGAGTTATACGCAGAATGGAAATTGAACTTAGTTGTCCACTTCACTGGTCCATTTGTCTCTTACATCTGAATGAGCTTCCTTTGCGACATCTATTTAGTTCCTTAGATGGTGCAACAACTGGACCACATTCATTTAATGGACCTATTGGAAAATCTATTTCAAAGCTATTGCAGCCACCTATAGTCAACTTTGCTGTTATTGCTGGTGAACCTATTAATTGTGATAAAAAATTTATTAAGCAGTGATCAGTTGTACTTTTTAAAAATTGTTAATGCAGTGAAGACAGGTATTGTACCACAGGGATTTGAATCCAGATTGCCTGGGCGGCTAAACCATGCAAGGTTGTTGACACTTGCAAATCGTGTTTTGTGCCTATATATATATATATCTACTGTAACTCCATCAAATGAACATTATTGGCTAAATTTATCGTGACTTTTTATGCAGTTGTTGAACCACTAAAGGCATATTCTCTAAGGAATTGATCAAAATTATTGAAGTTATGATCTAATATGTAATTAAATGTAATTAATGTAATTATATGTAATTAATGTACTTGAACAGATTAGAACTATGATCTATAGTGGAGTTACACACTTATTTTTCAAAAATCAAGTTAACCTTATTGCACATCTCTCAAAACAAGACTCAAAAATGGTGTTCTTTAGGTTTACTATTAGATATAGTAAAAAGATTTACTTATATAAATTATATGTATATTATATAAAAAAGAGTTTTTTTAAACATAAAAACCTGAAAAAAAATTTAAAAATTGTCTTAACTACACCAAATACATTTTTTCGTCAATGGCATAGAAATAAAATTTCAAATGTTTAACTTTTGTTTTGAATATTAAAGCTCTAATTAAATTGATAATTCAAAAAAAAAGATTTTTTTTTTTTAAATAATCAAAAGTTTAACAATAAATCAAATAAAATACAAATTTGATGTCAAATTTTTAACCTTTGCTCCTAATTAATATTTAAATTGCTCATCAAAAAACTTAAAAACACATGAAAATGTTTTTCATAGCTTCCACTGGCAGAAAGCAAATTTTTTTGTTTCCGATTTGGCAGCTGCAGCCAGTTGGGAGGCAAAAGCTACTAGTGGCCTCCAAATCATTTTGTTTTTGAAGTTCTTATGGAGGCAACCACCAATGGCTTCTGCTTTCCTATTGGTGTCAGTCTCCAAAACATTTTGCCTCCAAAAAATAAGTATAACATTTATAAGTTTGATATAAATAGTAATTATAAAACAATAAATATGTTAATAAAAATAATATAATACAAATATATTGTATATACATATAATTGATGTCATTGTTTAAAAATGATTATTAATATTGAAGAAATTCTTATGATCAAGATAATTCAATTATTTAAAAATGATTTTAAACAATTATTTGAGAAATGATTATTAAAAAATTTATTGTTAGGATAGATATGGTTTTTGAAAAAACAAGATTATAAATCTTGTTTTTTCAAAAACCATAAATTGGCACATTTTAAAATACAAAAAAATGATTGTTTTTAAAAAAATTTTAGTTATTAAAAGCTCTTAAAATTGTGTTTTTAAAATTTTTTCTACAAATTATATGAAGATTTTGTTTTCAGAAAAATGTGATGAATAATCAGAGAGCTTCAAATGAATCAATAAAAAAGCAGAATGTAAGAAATTAGTTTTTAACATAATAAAAAAAAATAAGAAGAAAAAGTTACATCAAAATTTTTTAATTTGTATATAGCAAATTCAAGTAATTCGCAACCAATCAGAAGACAATCTAAATGGATTCAATGCAGAAAGCATGCAAGTTGAGGCAGAACAGAAAATGATGGAATGGGAAAAAAAACTGTTTACCTTACAAGAGAAAAAAAAACAAATGGATCAGCTTTTAAATACTTTTAAAAGTCTCAAAAACTCTCAAGAAGTTGAAAGTAATTTTTTTTGTTTTTTGTTTTTATTATTTAGTGTTGTTAATAAAAATGTCAAAGAAAATTTTTTAAAGGGATTTCTAAGTGTTTTCCAAACTTCTATTTGAACAAAAGTTTTAGTGTGAATTATTTTAACAAAGTTGTAACAAAAATCCATGTTAACAAAAAATTTTATGGAACAAAAATACATATACAGTTAATTCCTGATAACTCAAACCTTCAAAAGACCAAGGAAAATAGTTCAACTTAACGAATGTTCAACTAAAGCCAATTCCCATTAAGTCGAACTTTGGCTTATATGAGATACTAGTTTGAATTAAGGCGATTTTAATTTTTTCAATGCTTAAGTATAAACATTAAATATTCACATTTATTTTAATAAAAGCGTGAAAAATGTTTCAGTGAAAGAAGTTATGCATTTTTTTACATTGTACACTTTAAATATAGCATTGAAAAAAGTTAAGTAACACATTAACTTCTATATTCAGCCTGCAAAAAGTGAAGGATTTTAGGTTGGCACAAGAGTGCCAAACTAAGCCAACATCAGGTCAACAAAATTTTATATGGATATTTTGCTTTCTGTTACAAATGGGGTAATGTTTTTGAGTTAGCTTTGTGTAACACTGTTGTATTTCTTATTTTGAATAGTCTAAAACCTTAATGAAACTTAAAAAAAGTTTAATGTTTTTTAATTAACATGTGTTTAACATAACTATACCAAGCTATACCTTAATTAACATGTGTTATATACCAAGACTAAACTTAATAGATTTTCTGATCTTAAATAGTATTTAAAAAATCGTAAACATGTAAATAAATGGTTTTAACAAATAAAATAAATTAGTATTATATTTTAAAACTCAAAGTAATAATCATGCTAAAATTTTTAGTTTAAAAGCATGAGAACAACAGACATTTGAAAAGTAAATTTTATTAACTTTTAAATGAATAAACCAATTTGCTATTCTTGAATAAATTGAAAAACCAATAAAAAAAAAAAAAATTATGAACTTATAATAAAAGAATATTACCCATTTTTTTCATGTATTTATTTTTGTATGCATTACACTTGAAGAGATTTAGGTCGGCTGTTGTATGCTGTTGTAAAGCAAAGATAGGTCAGCTTTTGCATCGGTAGTTCTGAATGCCGACCTAAATTTCGCAGGGTACATATTATCTGGTAATAAAGTTGTCTAAAAGCTAGCAATCTTTTATTAAGAAGTTTATTATAACTATAAAATAATTGCTTTGTTATGATTTATTTTGTAAAATTTTTATTATAGCATTATTTCGTGTTTGATAACTATCTATTCTATTTAGTTAAAATACAACAAGAAAATACAAATATATATAAAGTATATTTGAAATTTTATTTGTCAATTTTGTCTTAATCATGGTCTACATCTTAGAGTATGTGACACGCTTTATAAGAAACAACATGGTATTAAAGATTTAAAGGAATTCCAAAGTGCCGAGATAAGTTGTGTTCATATTAAAGAGAATGATTTAAAAAAAAATGTTTGGGCAGATAAACAAGCTTTGTTTTACTTGAAGCTTGCCATCTCCATATTAGCCAGTTCCTCAAAGTCTTTAAAATATACGCCGCAATCTACAGGCTTTATAATTTATTCAAGCGTGTTTAATTCCAAAGAGTTTAAGTAAATGAAGTCATTGTAGAATTTTTTTTTATTATTAAAGATTACTAAAGAAGTTGTTTACTTACTTTATCATTATTATTTTTATACTTATTATTTTATATTTATTATTTTATATTTATTATTTTATATTTATTATTTTTATATTTGTTTAGCTACTTTATTATAATTATTTTATTGTTTTTTTTTTCATAATAAATTACTGTAAAATTTCTTTAGTTATTTTATTTTCTAAAATTTGCAAAGTTCACATTAAAAATATAAATAAAGTGTTTCAGATATTTTAAGCTGGCATATTGCTATATATCATTTTTGTATTATATTTATTATTATTAAATAGCGAAAGATAGCGAAAGAGTTAACCGTATAAAAGTTTAATTAACAGCATTAATTTGCTAGGGTTCAAATATTCTCGAACATTTCATAGGGTTCAAATATTCTTGAAATTCTTATTTAATCATGCAAGAATAAATTTAATGAAATTTATTCTGTAAAACATGTACTGGTTATTTTATTTTATTTTTAAAATAGAACAATTATTGGTCAAGATTGCAAAAAAGTGTAGCATTATTGAATCAATTTTAAAATTGAAATTGTTTAATGAATAATTTTTTATCAGTTTTGGTAGTTTTTGATTTGTAATTTTTAGAGACAGGTTTAATGTAAAATACTTGCCAAATACGACATAAATTGGAAATATTAAATATAATATTTTTTTGATGCATGCTGCAAAACATTGACAATTTTAATAGCCATCTGTCTTGAATTAATGCAATAAAACATTAATTATTACTTTAATTAATAAAAAGCTGTCTGTAAGTTTGTTAAATGTAAAATCTATTTATTTTTTTTAACTTAAAAATTCAGAATATATCTAACGTCTCCAATAAATAATGTCATTTAATAAATATGTCTTAAAATTCTTTATTAATTAAAAATTTAAAAATTTGTAAAATGTCATTTCAATAGGAGAACAAAAACATAGTGATAAACAGCTTAGATAAACTAGAAAAAAAGTTCACATTGTTTACATAAAAAGAAAAAAGATTCACAATATATAATGTGATCAACATCTTTTTTTGATATTTATCATATTTAAAATGTTTATTATATTTTAACATAAAAATCCAAATTTTATTTGGTTCTCGCGCTCAATAAAAAAACATTCTTTTGTTTAACTTCCTATAAAATTTATAGGAAAGTCATACATTTGGTAATTATTTAAAAGATTTAATTGAAATAAACAATTAAAACAAAAACAAATAATAATTGTTAAATAATTGATTCAAAAAAAAAAATTCTACAATGACATCATTTACTAAAACTCTTTGGAATTAAATGCGCTTGAATAAATTATAAAGTCTGTAGATTACGGAGTATATTTTAAAGACTTACTTTAAAATATACTCCGTAATCTACAGACTTTATAAGACTTATTTTAAAGAGAAACTGGCTAACATGGAGACGCAAGTTTTGAGTAAAACATCAAAGTTTGTTTTTCTTGGTATACCTTTATTATTTTGTTTTACTTTAAAAAATTCCCAAACATTTTTTTTGTCATTCTCTTTAATATGATCACAACTAGTCTCAGTACTTTTGGATCCCTTTAAGGGGTGCCTGTGATTATGATAATAAAAATGATTCTTTTGACAAAGGCACCAATTTCGAAGTTATAAATAATGAGTGTGAAGATGATATTTATTTCAATGATTCACTTAAGAACTTAAATGTTCAAAATCAAGTTTTTCAATCCAAAGTCAAGACTTTACTAGGAGAAAAAATAAAACTTGATGCAAAAACTTACTGGAAAATAATCTTGATGTAAAAGAAATTAATCGTGATGTAAAAACTTACTGGAACACAATACCAATTATGTTTGAGCCATTGGTAAAGACTGAGATGGCAAATTAAAAAAACTTTATTAGAATTTAAGACAGATAAAGTTGGCGGGGAAAATGTCTGAAAATTGATAAATGTCACCTGTTGTGTATTAAGCACCTACAAGTACTCATTTATAAATAAAAAATTTCCTAATTTTAAAAAACAGTAAAACAGCTGTCAACAGCTGTTTTTAAAAATTCTAAAACAGTAAAGCAGCTGTTTTTTAAAAACCACTGTTTCTCAAAAACCCTAGCTGGGCTTAAGAAACAACCAACGCTAATGTTCAAGGATGGATGGAGGACTAAAATTTTATTTTCACTAATTTTCCAATGTTAGTTCTGTTTATCTAAAAAAAACTAGTTGTATTTATTTACAATAAAAAGAGTATATTCTTTGAAGTAGGTTTTATTTTTTAGGTTTAGGTATATTCTTTGAAGTAGGTTTTATTTTTTAGGTTTAGGTCTTTTCTTGGGAGTAGGTTTTACTGTCTTGAGAGTAGGTTTTGCTGTAAATTTTGTTATTGATTAGTCTGTAAATTCTCTGAAAAGTTATGGATTTTGAGTTGAACATTCTAACTTTTTAAGCAAATATGCTAAATATTTTGGATGATGAAGCACAGGAACAACTAAGCAATGACTATAAAAGTGATCCAGAGGACATTGAGTCAAAAGTGCAACGTTTGAATGATGTTCGTGAGCGAATGAATGAACTGAAAGAGCTTATTACTGGATATGAGGTAAATAATTTTTTTAAAGATTGTTTTTTATTCAATTTTATTGAAATTGAAAAAATAATCAAATCATTTGTCTGTTGTTTGTAGGGAGCAAAGGGTATTAATTCTCCAATTAAGACTCAAGCTGATAGGGACAATCGTCTTCTTGCTAAAACAATGCAAAATAATGGTGGGGCTAGGATGCGGATTCAAAATAATCAAGGTTTTATAATTATTTATTTTAAGCATATATCTTACAAGTATTGTAAATGTTACAAACAATATTTCTTACTGGTTTATTTAGTTATTAGTAATGTCTCTTGTGTGTCATAATTTCATATAAAAATAGTAAATATTATACAAGATGAAATTTATTTACAAAACTTTATGTAAAATATGGTAACAATTTTACTAAAAAAATATATAATGTTGTATTTATATTAGATAGGATATAAAATGGTTATTAAAAGATTTTAATTTGTGGGAATCTGAGATTTTTATGGTAAGAATTTTGAGGTTTGCAATAGGAATTGCAATTTGACAAGTGGATATATAGTTATTTGGAGCTACAAAGAGTAAGGTCTATGCTTTGTTGATAGTTTTTTATATCAATAAGCTAAATCATTTTCTTGGTGGATTTATAGTTAATAGTAAATTACATCTAAAACTTTTTTTGCATCAACAAGCTTTATAGTGTTCAATAATTTTTTCTCGTGAAATCTCTTTTTCTTTTGGTTTCTATTTTAGGAATCAAAACTGAAATTGCAGATTCTTTCAGTTGCTATAATTATAAATCTACACTAATGCTAAGTTTATTTTTAAGTTATTTTAATGTTGCTTTTTTATTCAATTTTTATGGCACTAATGACACTAATAAGGCTTTCCCATCTTGAATCAATGTATTTTTATTTTTCTTAGTTTACATAAACTGTTTACATAAAAACATAAACTGTTAATTGTACTTTTGCAAAAGAAATTTGAGAAACAGTAAGAGAAAAGAACCGAATTAACTGATCGCAAGTTGTGACATCAGCAAATATTTTTGGTCTTCTAGTTTATTAAAACAAATTTTAACCCAGTATTAATGAAATGGTCAATTTATCATATTGCACAAATTAATGAAAATAACAGAAAAAATTAATTTATATCTGCTAAAATAATAATAGTGAAAACTTACATAACTTGTTGTTTTTTTGAACACTAGTTGATTAAAACACTACTCAACTTATTTCTCTGCGCAGCAGCCTTGTTATTCAAGGTTCATGTTTCAGAGATAAAGAGTTATAATCACTTGAAAAAAATAATAAGTTGTAAGAAAAAAGTAACAATTACAAAAGGTCCAAAAATATACGCAGTAATTTTAAAATCAACCATTAAAAGTTATACTAAAGCTATTTGTGGTTTGTATGAAAAATAATATCCTATTTTTGTTTTAGGGGGTTTTATTTAACTTTAAAGTTTTGTTTTATTTAACTTAAAAACTTTAAAATTTGTTTTATTTAACTTTAAAGAATTATTTCAAAATTTAAATATTTTAAATTAAAAATTTAATTAATTGGTAATTTAAAAAGTGATAAAAATTAATTTTAAAATACGTTATTATAGTTTTTTTGCTTTGTTTTAAAATAACTATAAATTGTTTAAATTAGTTTTTATATATTTTTAAACTTTTAAACTAAACTTTAATTTTATATAAATATCTGTCTTAGAGAGTAGCAAGCATTTAATTGACAGTTATATTTGATTTATAAGAAAATATTGAATAAAATTTAAATAAGATATAAGTATATATCTTATTTTGCAATTTCTTTTATTTAAAATATTTAATTACCGCTAAATTCCTTTAGACAGTTGTAACTCGCAGTTGTTTCTTTTTTAATATTAGATTTTACTGTATGCTTTATTTTTCTAGTTTTATCTGATGATTTATCAAATAATTTTTAATAATAATTATAATTATAGTTACTATTGAAATTTTATAATGAGATTATATATCATAATTTCAAGATTAAAAAAAATATTTTTTATTGAATAAAAACTATTGAATTTAGGGATAAAAACAGAGTTTATAGTTTAAAAAAAAAAACTAAAAATTTTATGACCATAAGCATTTTCAGATATCGCAATCGGAGATCACTTAATTCAAGCCTTGAATTAGATAAATGTTTTTAATTTCAAGGAAAATTAATCTTAACTTTTTTAACTGAATCAATAATTACAAATTTAAAGAATGACATACATAAAATAAAGGTTTTGATTTATAATTGCAATTCAAGATAGCTGATTGTTGCATGCAAAGACATGACTTAATAATGTCTAATGTTGGAAATAATCTTCACCTGACATCAAATGACATGATCTTAATAATGTCTAATGTTGGAAATAATCTTCACCTATTATGTCAATAACATTACTTTTCAATATTGAATAATCGATCTGATGGGTGCATAGCATTATTATTTTCCTTACTATTTTTAACCAATATTTAGAAAACTAACCCAAGTATCCAATAAAAAGCAGTATTTGTCTCAAAATATTTATCTACAAATGAAAAAGGTTTTAATCAAGCATCATTTTGATTAATTCCTTAACTTGTTTCAACTATAAGATTAAAATATCCTGATAAAAATTTCCAAATAACAAAAATATATGTAGTTTATTTATGTTTAAGTTTTGCAGAATGTTATGTCTTGTATAATTTTGATTTATGAAAATCAAATTCAAGTTAGTAAATTTAACTTTGATTTGCTTAATTATATATGACTACATATTAATTAATAATAAAACTTCACAGAGATGCATAAGGTCCGGCAAGCAAGTAAGGAACACATGTCAGTTTAAGACATAATATTATAATGTAAAAACCTTTAAGATTAAATAATATCAATAGCCTGATTTTTTAACATCTAAAAAATTTTAGGGAATATTTCTTTAAGATTAAATAATATCAATAGCCTGATTTTTTGTCTTTGAAATTATCATCATTTAAAGGTTTAAGTTTTTGAATCTAGAGGTAATGTTATTAAAACTGTTTTGCTTAAAATGGTACTTATTGAACAACAATATTTAATAATATATAAAAATAATATATATTAGCTAACTTAACTATTTTTAGATTTTTTAATCATCCAAGATGTAATATAACAAATTTTAAATTTTAGATGTTAACAATCGACCAGTTCCGAATCTGAATTTACAAAATGATATACTGCCACGACCTAGTACTAATACAAAAATGTTACCAACACCTAATTCAAATTCAAAAAATCAAGAAAAGAAAGTAAATGTCACTAACCAAGCATCTATGTATCTTAAGTATAACTTTTTATTTGTAATTAAGTTTGTATATATATATATATATATATATATATATATATATATATATATATATATATATATATATATATATATATATATATATATATATATATATATATATATCAGGCCTTGCGATAAAGCGTCGGGCGATGTGAATTTTACGTCGTCCAAGAGCGATTTTGCGTCTAGCTAAGGCTATTTGCGTCGAGCAAAAAAATTTTTGTTTGAGTATATTTAAAGATATTTTTGAGCAGAATTTTATTGAAGTAATTTTTGACTATTTTAACATTTAATAAAGTATTTTAAAAACCGCACGCACTTGATATAAAAGTTTGAATTACAAAAAAAATAAATATGCTCATTATTTTCAAGTAGAAAAAAATCAGATTAAAAAAAGTTTAAATCTTTTTAAGCTAGCATTTTAATAAAATTAATCAGCAATAGCAAAGTTGTCGATAAAATTGAACAAAAATTTCATTTAGTTTTAGATTTTTAACTTGAATAATTATTTTACGGGGGTTTGTTAGGTTTTGAAATTATTCCATAGATTTAAAAATATTTATTAACTGTTAGACGAATTTAAAGTATTTAAGAGTAATTTCAAGGAAACATTTTAAAAGTTGGTAAGCGCAAATAAAAAATAAAAGGATTAATATTAAAACGTATTCTACTTGATTCAATAAAAAAGTACAGTTATTAAAATTTTTGTAAAAAGTGACTCGAAAAAAATTACTTAAATAATAACAATCGCTTTTTTTGTTAAAAGTTACCGAAACTCAACGAAGCGTGCTCAAGAACAGCTGCTGAAAAATAGAACATCAATAGTTTTTTGAATAATTTTTAAGAATAATTTTTAAGAATAATTTTTTCGCTGAAATATTTCTTTTATACCTAAAAGATTTTTATTTTAACATTTTATTTTATTTTACCAAAAATAAAATTCCTTGTAAACATTAAAAATCTATTCAAAACGTTCGTTTAAGTTTTTTAATAATACGAGTGATTGTGCTTATCAACCGCTTTATGAAAATAAATAAAAATAAATAAATAAATATTATCTAAAATAACTAGTAAAATTATTAGCTATTGCACAGTTTTTAATTGTACAATATTAAAATTTCCAGTTTATTACTCTCTGACTTTTTAAAAAGCAAAAAATAATTATTTGAAAAACTTATGTTTTTTATTCGTTTAGTATAAACAAAACGTGTCAAACGTCGAGAAAATAAACAAATGTTTTTACATTTTAAAAAACGAAACATTCCAAAACATTTTTAAATAATAACATTTCTACATTAATGATTTAAAGTAGTTTTGCGGTAATTAAGTAAATTGGTGCAGTTAATGTCGATAAATATGAAAAGCAAATAAAAAGAATTTAATGACGTCAAAAATCACGTCGTGCTTATGCGTCGCGCAGTTTTTATTCATCACAAGGCCTGATATATATATGTATATATATATATATATATATATATATATATATATATATATATATATATATATATATATATATATATATATCTGTGTTTGTCTGTGAGTGCCCCTACATTCTTTATTTTTTTCTTCTTTTTCTGATAAAGAAAAATAAGAAAAAAACAAAGAATGAAAACACTAAGCTTATATATTATAGCATAAGACTTAACTATGCTTATCTAAACATGCTTTTTTTTATATTTAGGGGGAGGGGGGTTAAGTTAATTAAAATTAACTTTTTAATTGCTATTGTTTTAAATATTTTTATTTATTTTCTCACTATTGTTTTTTTTTTAATCTTTTATACACAAGTTTAAATTTATTAAGTGAATTATTTAGAGATAGACATCACGAGTGTCTGTGTATCTTAGAGGGGTTTTAGTTAGGGCAGGCAGGGGCAGTCTTAGTAAAGGTAGTTGTATTAGTTTTTAAATTGTTTCTTATCTTTTAACTTTTTTACTCTATTTTTTTTTATTTTTCTAGTCAACAATCCAATTCAAAAAAAGATAATTTAAAAGTTGAAAATAAAGTTTTTCAAAAAACAGAAAGTTCTGATATTGAAAATAATTTCAAGTGGCAAGATGATCCAGAGTTTTTAGCAAAAGTCAGGTAAATATTTTTACTTTTTTTTCTTCTTATTCTTATAAGTATCTCTAGTTGTTTTTTGTTGTTGTTGTTGTTTTTTGTAGTTGATTTATTTTAATTTTTTATGTTATACTATAATGGTATTTTAAAAATAAAAAGTGGGTTTTTCAAATCTTGACAGTCTTTTCTTGTCTCAACTTTTCCTTATTTTTCCACTATTCTATTTTTTTAACATCTATGGTTTAGAGTGAATGAAAATTGAATGAAGTGCATGAAAATTACAATGTTATCAAAATATTCTCTTAAATATTGTTGTTCAATAAGTACTGTTTTAAATAAAACACTTCTTTTTGTACCTTTTAATGAAATAATAAACACAAAATACTGAAACATTTCAGACGGCTCAAGCGTGTAAATGAATACTTTAAATTTTGTTTATGCATTTTTATGTTTTCATGTTTTGTTTTTTTTATGTATTTCATGTGTTTTGTACTTGCCCATTGTCAATGTGGAGAACAAAAAATGCTAAAAAAAAAATATATTTTTTCCCCTTTAAGGTGTAATTTTTTAATGTCTCAGAATAATGTTTTTAAGATATTTTATGTTATATGCAAGATTATTAGAATTTCCTTGTTCATCTGGCTTTCTTTGGTATTTTTTCATTTATGTACCAAGTTTAATTCTGCATGGGCAGTAAATTTCATTTTTTTTCCTGTTCTCACCCAGGTCTAGTAAATCTACAGGTAATATTGCTGCCTTAAAGTGTTCTAATATTAAGTGTTGTTATTTTTGATTTTTCTTGAATGTTTAGGAAACTAAAATCAGCAAAGCAAAAGCTGTACAACCTTCAACAGTTGGTCAAAGATGTTCAAGGAGGTAATAGTCCTCTTATACCTATTAATGATCTTCAGAATCTTGCTCGTTCGTTTAGCAATGACAAAAACTCTAATTGTGAAGAAACTGGGATAGATGATGATCTAGAAGTTCAAAATGTTAAAACCTTAGATAACAGAGGAGATGAAACTGAGAGTGACGATGATGCTGATTGTGAGCAAACTGAAGATGATAATCATAGTAACTGTTCTAAAGAAAGTTTTCCAGAAAATTTAACTGATAATGAGCGGAGATTTCAGGGTTTGTTGCGTAAGCAAAGATTAGAGTTGAACTATTTACTTAAAGAGAGAGAGCGTTTATTAGAAACTCACAGAAATCTTGATCCAATTTCTGATCTATCTCAACTCAATAATAATAGCAGAAATGGATCTTATCCCAGTCTTACCAAAGAAAAACTTAAACAGCAAGATAAAGTCAAGTCAAATGATGGTATATCTACAGAGCCACAATATGGCTCTGAGAAAGCCTACTCAATGCAAAGTAAATCATACAGCGAAGAAAACAACACTCGTAAGTTTAATTACAAAGTTATATAGTTAAGTTAATTATACTGAAGATAAGATTTAAATTTTTTTTAAATACATCTTTATTACGATATATTTTATTGTTTATACTGTTTAATGTGACTTTTTGTTTACAGACCCTCTTTCTAACCCTATTGCTGTTAGTGAAATAAGAAGACAACGAGAGCTGTATGAACTACAGAAAAAACAAAAGTTTGTTGAAAAGCAACAAAGGAAAAAAAAAACTCAACTAGAAGAGATTCAGTCTGATGATAGGGGAACTTATTCTGTTCACAGTGATGAAGGTGTTGGTGTAAGTGCATATAGTGCAGATGTGACAACTGCAGCAACCTGGGGAGGTTCCACAGCACAAAGTTCCAATGAGGAGGACTCAGCTGTAGAGGATGATTATGGAGCTACTGAAGAATGTGTAAGCATATTTAGTTTAAAACCTAAAGAGTTATAGAATATGAAATAACTGTGATTTTCTTACTTTATTTCAGTACATTTTTAGGAAATTACTATTTTATTTGCTGTAAAAAAAAAAAAAATCTTGTTTACAATGATATGAGTAACAGATAAAAACAGACTTAACTTTGGTAATGTTTCTACATTTTATTTAAGGAGTTTTTTTGTTGCAATAAGTCTATACAAAATTAGAATGAATTTGTTTTGATTTTATTGATAGCCGCAATATAATATTACCAAATAAATTTATTTATTTGGTAATATTTTATTGCATCACATAATGTTTTTTACAGTCCTTATTAATTATAAAATCACACAGCGCGGTATTTCACACCCATAAACACTGAAATATGTTGTCAATGAGCATGATTATGTATGTTTGTCATTATTTCATCAAGAGCGATTGTTAGCCTTTCCATACATTATTTGTGCATATCGTAAACTTGAGTTCTAATTTAAACAAAATTATGTAAATTAAAATTTATATAAGAAGCTTTTTCAAGAAATTAATGTTTTACTTCAATCGAAAGTGGTAATATTTTTTTGCAGATTCAATTAAAATAAACTCAATTAAAAGTGTTTAACTTCTATATGAATTTTTTTAAAAATAAACTAACTTTACTGTAAACAACTTGCGTCTTCAACAAAAACATTTTATCAAAAATATTTTATTTAAAATTAAATAAGTTATGGTTTCTTGCTCTAAAATTCTTGAGGCAATTTTATACTTTTATTACTAGGTTAGCGAGCTTTTTTTATTGCACCCAGAAGTTAAATATTCTGTTTACATGCATGTTTTACACTTCTGTTTTATAATAAGGCTTTTTATTGTTATAGATTAATGCTTTATCTTTTATATAATATTGTTTTTCGATAAGAAATTAGCATCAAAAAAATTTAATCTACACACGTTTTCAACCATGAGCAATAATCTTTGAAAAATATTTAACAACTCTTTTCCTAACTATTTCAAAATATATTTTAATTGATATTTATAAATTTAAATAAAGTGTGCATATGCAGGCCTACACACAAATGCACACACATATTTACATACTTAGCCAGGGCCTACTCTAGAAAAAAATTTTGGGCGGCAGTACCCCCTTGTTCCAGCAAACTTTAGCGAAAAATCAGCATTTTAAAACAATATTTGCCGTAAAAAACATAGATAATAAAAAAAAAAAGATCATAAAGTTTTAATTTGGGCAGTGCCAAAATCTATGCTAAAATACAGTCAAAGCTGTTGAAAATGGTCTAGAATAGCCCCTGTTAGCCATACATAATATGCATATGTGGCAGCTGGCTCATAAAAACCCATTTTTTTCTAAAAACTCCTATTTATGTGGGATTTTCTCACATATGCTTGATTTTCTCATACAAGTCTGATTTGAAGGCCTAAAAATATATAAATGCTATGTTTTATAACGGCATGTAACATAGAGTAAACTAATTAAGGTTATATTGCATTATAAAAAGAGCTGGTTGATATCAGCATTAGCATTTGTTGCTTAAAAAAATATGCTTTGAAATGTCTTAAAAATTTTTTATGTTACAAATTGAAATTTTGATTAAAAAAACAAAACTTTAATTAGTTTAACAACAATTTCTTTTGTTAGGGAAACTATATTTTTATCTATTCAAATATTGTAAATTTTTTAATATATAATTTTTTTTTGTTTTTAAAAAGGTAGATTTAATAGTAAAACTTTTTAGAAAAGCAAAATTTTCAAATCATTTTTTATCATTTTGAAAAATTTTTGACCACTTAAAAAGGTCAGATCACAAACTTGAGATTTCAACTTTAGGCATCGTTTCAATTACATAGCAATTAAATAATAGTAGTAGCGAAGTAAGTAATAATTAAATTTAAAACTAAAAAGTTTTGATGATAAATTGTTTCAGAAAAAACTTTTCAACTTTAAAAGATTTTTAATACTTAAAAATTAGCGGTTGCGATTTCTTTCAATTAAATAATTTCAGGATCGTGAATTCGTGAATAAAGAATACAGTAAATTTTTTTTTTTTTTTCAAAAGGCTTTTCTGAGATAAAAAGATAAGTCCCATGCAGGGCTCCTGCATAGCTGCTAAAATGAGCACGCCACTGCTTAAAATTTATGAAATACACTTGGTGTATTGTAAACTACTTAACTTGTTTTTCAGTGGTAAACATGAAATGTCATATTTGACCAATTAAATCTTGTGTTCTTTGCAAAATATGAGACAATCACAAGTATTTTTTGAGAAAGGTGTGGTTTTAATGCAGCATGTTACAATCAAAGATTATAGTCCTTGGCAAGGTGTCTCCAAATGATGCTGGTACATTTACAGTTAAGTAGAAGTTAAGTAGAAGTTAACTTGTGAGCTTGAAATCTCCTTCTAGCCAAATGATGTATCATTTTAATTCTTCCACTTTAAGGTCTTCCACAGAATTTTTCTTGGGTTAATGATGGCCTGTTGATTTTATTCAATAGAATGTAAAATAAATAAATTTGTATATAAGTAATAATACAAAACACTTTTAAAAAACTTGTTGCACGTGTTGGCGAAGTGTGAATTTTTCAGCTATAAGTTAAGTTAGTGTTTATAAACATATAAATGTATGTTTTTTTCTTGATCATCTTTTACAAGAATAATCTCATAAAATAAATTTAGCAACAGAATGATCATATAATAACTTTTTTTAACCTCAAACAATAAAGACACTGGTTATAAAAGAAAATCATTGATCTCTAGTTATATTTTCTTGATCTGTAATTATTTTTTCTTGATAACTTATTTTCATAATAGTGACACAACTTATTTTCATCATCTGTAAACAATGTATTTAAATAAGTTTTTAAGTTATCATTAAAAGGATCATTAAATTAATTTTTAAATAATCAGTAAAAGGATCATTGAATTAACTTTTAAATTATCAGTAAAAGATTATCATTAAATGACATTTTTTTTTGTTCTACTTTATCAGAATTTATTAATTTCAAAAAAATAAGCTTTTAACATAACTTTTTAAAACAATTTTTAGAGTGTAATAAAATCTATACAATATACCAGAGGTGGAAAAACTAACAAAATTTTGTGCTCAAGTAAATGTAGTTACTTGAGTGAAATTTTACTCAAATACAAGTAAATGTTACTGGTTGCAAAGTTTGCTCAAGTAAATATAAAAAGTAGTTCATTATAATTGTACTCGTTTTTTTTAACAACCATTCTCAGGTTTGTTATTTGATTTGTCATTATTTAACACTCATTTTATCAATTAAAATATATATATTTTTTCTTTGTGTTAGCAGAAACATAGAATTTGGAAATTTCTCATGTTTTTTCACAGTACTTTGTATAAAAATGTAAACATTGTAAATCTGTGATATAAAGATTATTTAAAATTCTAAAAGAAAGATTAAAATTTGAAATGTAAGCAAAGCATGTTTTTAATATCTTCGTTACATTAAAATCTTAAAACATCGCTGAAAAATATATAGAAACAATTTTACGAAACAGGCGATAATTTTTAAATTTTGCTAAAAAAATTAATTCATATTTTCTGTGAAATTAATTACTAATATACATTTAATTTTTTTTTACAAAGTAATGTATATGATTTAAAATAAGCGAAGTACAATACTTTAAAAAAAAAAAAAATACGTTAATAAAAATACACATTTAAAAAAAATACATAAAAAGTAAAAATTCATAAAAAACTACTCAATTACAGTAAGGCGAGTAATTCATTACTTTCCACCTCTGCAATATGCTAATACTAATATTGATTGCAAAACACTGCTACTTTAGTACTTCAAATGAAACATGATGGAAAAGCTATATATTGACTTCAGTATGCTGAAAATGAAACACGCAACTGCTATATATTGACTTCAGTATGTTGAAAATGAAACATTATGCAACTGCTATATATTGACTTCAGTATGTTGTAAATGAAACATTATGCAACTGCTATATATTGACTTCAGTATGTTGTAAATGAAACATTATGCAACTGCTATATATTGACTTCAGTATGTTGTAAATGAAACATGCGACTACTATATATTGACTTCAGTATGCTGCAATTGTATTATTAAATTAAAAATGCATATTCTTTGAATTCATAGTGAATTTCCAGAAATTTAGATATTTTTATTTAAATTACTCTTGGAAAAAGTATATTTAATAAAAATATACTTTTAATAAGAACCTTTAAAACATTTTGGAATTTTAATTTAAGTTAAAGGGTGTCATTTTAATTTAATATATAGATCAACTTTCTAATCAGTTTTAAAATAGTGAAATGTTGTATTTCATTTTTCTTATGTTTGTTTTATTCATTTCCAGATAGAAAATGATGAAGAATTTAGTAATCATTCTAATGAAAGAGAACAAAGAGAAAAAGAGCCAGCAATAAACAATTTAAATGATCAACCAAGGCGTGGGATTACCTGGCATCAGAATTATGTTACTCCAAACAGCATTAGAAACTCTCTCAAACATTCAAGTAAGCTCGGTTCAATTTGTTACTAGTAATTATTTAGTTGCATATTAAGCATATTTCTTTTAGTGTTTCATGTTATTTTAAAAATTATTTGTAAAGGTGAAACTCAAAATCTCGGAACAGCAATAACTAGAACACAAAGTGCATCAACGCCTCAGTCAAGGAAACTGAGACAAGGAGTAAGCAACAATAACTATTTTTTTATTGTTACAAGATTGTTTAGGTTTAAATTGTTTTTTTTTCAAATGTATATTTTTTTTAATAATATATGAATGTATGATTTTTTAGAATCTTACACCAGCACACAAACTAGTTTCAGATTGCAAAATAAAAAATTCGCTTTATCCAAACAATAACAATCAACAATTGGTTACTCAGTCACCTTCTACTGAAATGCTTCATACACAACTAGCAAGCATGTGTAATTCTTTATTACGAAATGAACAAACTCTTCTTTCTATGTTGCAAAGTCAGTTTTTAAAACCTATACCAGGTATTTGCTAGCTATATTTGAAAGTTGAATTCATTTTTGGATTTTTTTTTTAAGGGAAAAATTGGGGAGTTACTAAAAGCAGAATTTCATGGAGAATTCAAATATGACTTTAAAATTTAAATTGAAAATCATTTTGCTTAGGTGATTTGACTTTTTATATTTCAATAAAATTTTAACCTGGTTTTTCAAAAAAAACATTAATAAGCTTTTTTTTACTTTATTTGATAATTATCAGTTATGATATAAATGTTGATTAAAACTAATTTTGATGTGAATATATTTTCTTTAAAAACTTGTATAAAATTTATAAGAAATATTTTTATAAAAAAATATTTCTTATAAATTTATTTTAATATGCATGTTAATTTAAAACTAAAATTTTGATGATTGAGATTAATTTATAAATATTAAAATATTTTTCAATGTATTTTAAACACATAGCGTAATAGTTTTATTGATATTGATGTTAAAAATACAGCTAAATATTTTTTTTCAAAACCAAATTGTTTCAATAAATTTTATAAATTTAATACAGAAACTTTTTGTCAAACTTTTAATGTCTTGTTTGCTATTATTTTCAGGCATTAACTTTCTACTTGCCTCTTGAGTTTGGACAAGTTCTTCACTTTTTTCATGAGTGTACACTCTACTTGAAGCTTCTGTAACTTGCTTTTTGCAACGTTTAACAGATTGTCCATGACATGGCCAAATTGACACCTGCATAGGATTTGATAAAAACACATTAATTCCAGAAGTTGTTAGAGAAGTAGTTGAGGCTAGTTCATAAACCAGTGACTCCCATGATATCAAGTCTACCAACTTTCAAAATTTTCAAAGAATAGGAGTTTTTCTTGGTCTAGGAGAAAAATCCCTTTTTTTTAGATCTTCATTTCCGGTACCTCTAATATCTTTTATCTTATTAATAGCTACACTTCTATCCTCTTCAGTATTCGAATACAACAATGTTTGTAGTATACACTCAGTAAAACAAAACCAAGTTGATCTTTGAATAGAGGGTGGTACTATTTTTAATGACATCTTCTTTTTGAAATTTAAATTGCTGCAGCTGGTAAAGTTTAAGACCTTCAATCCATGAATGTTCAACTTTGATCTTTATTCAACAAGTAAAATATGCACCCACAAATCTTTACCTTGAATTTCATGTTTAGAAATCCATATTTTACATATTTTGTTTGACCATAAGATGCATTATAAGATGCCTCAGTGGCAACTCATTTGTATGGAGTTGACATATAAGCCAAACAAGTTTTTTTTTCTGATTTTATTTCTATATGTTTGATGACTCCACCCTCTTAACCAGTATTTACATTTGTAGAGTCTCTACCAACAGCCAATAAAGACTTGTCAATACCTCTCTCAGTCATTCATTTAATAAATATTTTTCTCCAGGTTCCATACAAAAAGAGTAATGTTCTTCTTTCACAGTTACTGGGTTTGCATTTGAGTCATCAAGTTCAATCATTTGCTTAGTTTGATTTATTCTCCCATCAAAAAATATGCATTTCACTTCTCTAGTGGTCGAGTACAAGTTTGGAATTTACATGACCTAAATTAATTACTGACAAAACAATTTAAAAAATGTAATTTCTCCTCACATAGGTATAGCATGTCTGCAATTGCTACAGCAACACTTATTGATTCAGGATTGATAACATCTGATGATAATAAGTTAGTTATTGACCATAGTAAAGTTTCTAGAGTGCAAGAAAAAATCATCTCCAATCTTAGTAAAGATTTTGACAAAATAGCAAAAAGTGGTGTAGTGAAGTTGGTTGTATATTTTTGAACATTATTGGGATAATTTTTTTTTTATGTCATCACAGCCCTCACTTAATAAAATTCCATATTTTATAAAACTCTGTTGGTTGGTAATTGAAACTAGAAACTGTTTTCCTGTACCAAATGCAACACTAATTTGTGTATTAGTACTTATTCTGGTTTTGGGTGCCATTATTCCTCCAAGTTTTAAAGTATTTTAAGAAAGTTTTTTATTGTTTAGGAAAGAAAAATTTTTTTTTTTTAATATTATAAGAATGAAAGCAATTGAGTAAAAGTTCTTAAATTTATATTTAATATACAGTTAACAGTTGTTTATTTATTGCAGCAATAAAATAATTTACTACCATCATTAAGATTAAAAAAAGATGTTTTTGTAAACTTTTTTAAAGAATTAAAAGTTATTTTACGCATTTATTACAAAATTTGTATAAAAATTTTATACATATTGAGTTGAATAATTTTTTTATAAACATGATGTGATTTTGTTTTGTTGTTTAAAAGTTTAATTTATGAACAATAATTGTTCAGTAACGTTGTTATTATGTTTAAAAGAAAGAAAAAAAAAAAAGCAAAACCGTTTATACTTTCATAAAAAAGGCTAACCACCTAAGTAAATATTTTTCTGATTTAAAAAATTATATCAGATTTGGATTCTCCATAAAATTTCACAACTTTTACTAATATCCCAAATTTTATTAAACCATTTTTTAAAAAAAGGCTGAAATTGACAGACCCTATTATGTGATTAACTTAAACCCTGATTTAAGCTCAATTGTTCAATATTTATTGCATGCATAAGTCCATTTTCTGTTTAATGGGACCCTATTTTTCTATTCGAGGGATTAGGTCTAGGGTTAAAAAAAGTTCTTAAAAAATATCAGTCAACCTGGTACTCTAATGAAGCAAAGTTTTAGAAATATTTTGAATATAATAATTGTTTTTTTAAAAGAAAAAATTATACCAAAAACCGTAGTTTTATTGCAAATTTAAAATCAAATTGTTATTAGTTTTTTAAATTTTTATAAAAATTTCACTTCATTTGGCCTTTTTTTGAAGAACGTTTTTATAATATTATGGCCCTGTTAAATAGAAAATAAACTTAGGCATGTACTAAATATTGGACAATTAACCTTAAATTAGGCTTAATCTTAAAATTATTTAGCTTAAAATTAATCACATAACCACAGCACTGAAAAATACTGAGTTCAGGTGCTTCTGAACATTCCAAATCATACCAAGGTACGTTTAACTGGTTACATACCAAAACTGTACGAATTCCTCCAGAATATCATGTTTGCAAAATTCGAGAATCACTTGAAATAAACAGAGCTAAAGTTTAAGTAAGGAAGTATTGAAAATAGAAGTTAGAAAATAGAAAAAAAAATGTCAATGAATGAAATAAATAAAAAGAATGGAAAAGAATAAAAAACTATTTAGACATCGAAAAAAGATGAACATATCAAGATTTTTTTTATTTTTTTATATTTTTCTTTAGTTTTATTTCATATATTTTTTCTATCAGTTATATGGTAGAGTGCTCGCCTCATAAGTGTAAAGTTCCGAGTTTGATCCCCACCTTGTCCCTGGTAATACCGCGTTCAACTTGTTTCTCCACGTAGCGGCCTTGTTCATCGAGGTTCGTTTTCGAAGTTATAGAGTTGTGAGAGGGTTGTAACCACATAATTAGCCTCCTCGACTGTTTTGACCTTCTCGGCCTTGAGAAGGTGAATAATTGAAAAAAAAATTTCTTTAGTTTTCTTTCATTTATTTTTTAGGATTCTTTATTTACGATTTATTTTTTAGTTATACTGTTATGCTGTCTTTTATTAATTATTTTTCTTTAGTTTTTTAGCGTATAAAGTTTTACTTATTATTTTTTGTTAGTCATTGTTTTATTTTTTAGTTATTTTTTTTTTAATTGTGGTATATAATTTTTTATACAGTTTTTTATATATTTATTTAGTCATATTATTTGCAATACATTTTGGTTATTATATTATAAAAACTTAATATATTTACTAAATCCTTATAATTTTTTTTAGCAGAAGTTGTTTTTATGTTGTTACATTTTTTCAGTTAATTACTGTTTGTAACTGTAACTTTGTATGTATAAATGATTGTTGTATGGAAAGTTATACCAATTTTTTTTTTTTTTTACATTATTCACCTCCCCAAGGCCCGAGGGGGCCACTACAGTCGAGGAGGCTACTCATTTTTTTGTGTTTTTTATTTTTTTGTTGTATTTCGTGGTACAACCCTCTCTCAACTCTTTAACTCCGAAACACGAACCTTGACAAGCAAGGCCGCTGCGCGGAGAAACTAAGTTAAGCGCGGTACTTCTAGGGACGTGGTGGGAGTCGAACTCCAAACCTCTCGCTTACAAAGCGAGCGCTCTTACCACTACACCACTGCCGCATAATTTATTTAAATTATTATAATTACTACACTATTATTATTGCTGTTAAAATAAAAAGTTTTTATTTATTATTATCATCATAAATATTGTTTTTATTATTACCATTACTATTTTAATCATTATCATTAGGTGTTTACTTAATGTTAATACTTTATACTATTTGTAAACAATCTTAAAATGTAATATCTTATATTTCAGAAATATATTGATTGATTGATTGACAAGATGTAAAACTATTTTGTTAATTTTACAAATGTTACGTGATTTAATATATGTAAATATATCATGTAATGTAAATATTGATTAAAAATTGTTTAAAATATTTAAACATTTACTAATGATTTAAAAAATTTGTTAATAACAAAATTAAATTTACTAAAATATAGCTAATGAATGTTTAAAATACTTTAAACAATTTTCAATAATTATTTACTAATAGCGTGGTATTTGCAACAAAAGCATTTATTAAAGTCTTAAGTAATAGTTTTCTTATTGTAACTAAAGTAAAGGCGAGTTTCCACTCATCCTTTTTTTCACGGGAACAGGAAAGGGACGGGAAAAATAATCACGTGGGCATGCCTAATATAAGTTTTAATATGTCCTAAGGAAAACTATGCATGCTCACGTGATTATTTTTCCCTTTCCTATCTCATTCCCGTGAAAAAACGTATGAGTGGAAACTCACCTTAACATCCTCCACCGCTAAATTCATGTATTCAAAAAAATGCCTTGTAATTAATATAGTTGTTAAATGATTTTATGTTATTAAATAAATTATTTTTTAGCTGCTGAGCCTGTTGTTAGTTCAGATATATTGATGTCGTTAAAGGAATATTTTGAGACTACCAATTATAATGAGAATTTTGCAGCGACATTAAATACACTTCAAACTTGTTTTGAGAGGGTCCAGCAACATCAGGCTGACATGGATTATATTCATCAACAATTTTCTCAGTTAATTGCTCCATCTGCTCAGTTAACAGATTATCGTTCTCCTTGGCTTAAGCCTCCATCGCTACACTTAAGTTCTTTCGGTGAAAATGACAATTCTGCAGTTAAGAGTGAGCATGTATTGAATAACCCTAAAGAAACACAAACTGTTAGTTCAGAAAATAAAGGCACAAACGTGCAACCATTTAATTTGTTTGATGAAAAATTGATAGATCGATGTCTTACACCAAACAATGAGGAAAGAACACGATTAACTAATGCTAAAGAAAGTTTTGGATTAGCTTGTTCAATAGATAATAAAAATTCTTTTATGACAGAACAACAAGGTTTAAATCACAATCAAAGTCTTCCATTCCCCTATCAGTTGCGTATGTCAGAGTATAATCCACTTTCATATCAAGGTATCATTTAAAATCTTTTTATCTCTGTAATAGTAGTGATAGTTGATTATACTAATGATCTTTCAAAAAATTAAAAATTAAAAGTAAAAAATTTATATCAGGTAATTTTGCAAATACACACACTGGTAATGTAATGACAATGTCTCGAATGTCAATGAATAACCAACATGCTGAAACCAATATTAGTGAGCACCATGAAAAAACAATATGGCCATCTTTTTTTAAAATCGAAGATCCAGCTATGGGAGGCAATGATTCAGAGCTGGAAAAGTAACTAATTTATGATACACAACATACACAAATTTTTACTACATAATATATTATGAAGTAAAAATTTGTGATATATTTTTATTATAAATACTTTAATTTAGTTTTTTTTAATTTATTTATAAAAGTTTTTACATTTGGGGCATATTCAGCATATTTTAAAATAACTTAAGTTAGTTTTATTATTAATTTTTTGAGAATTTTAATTTTCAATTTGTAGTTATAATAAAAATTTGTGACTTGCTGTCTGTTTACAGTTTTAACTCATGTAATTCGAATTCTCATAGAATCTCAAAATTTGTTCATATTACAAAAGTTTTTGAATTATAGGAGTTCGATCCTAGAAATGCCAAGACTTTAACTGTATATTATAATTATTAATTAGTTCATTAATGGATATTTTTATATTTTATATATTTTTAAATTGTATTTTTTTCAGTCTAGTGGTTGAACTTTATTTTTTACATTTGAAATATAGAAATAAAGACATAACACCAATGACAGCTAATGCACCAGAATCAACAGGTGCCGTTAACTTTTCATTGTTTGAGTCAATGCGAGATTTGATATATTCAGAAGTCGCAACATTGATAGCTATGAATGAATCTCGTCCACATTATCTTCTTGAACTCTTTAGAGAACTTCAGCTACTGAATTCAGATTATTTACGCCAAAGAGGTTCGAAATCAGTTTCATTTTTTTTTTTTTTTTTTAATTATTTATAATTGTAAAAGGAATATTAGCATTTTTATATTTCATTACATTTTAGGTCTTTATTCGCTACAAGAACTTGTTACTAAGTTTTTGACTGATTCAAACACAGATTCATCACCTGCGAAATCTGCATTTGTTCAGGAAACTGTTTCAAATCAGCAAGTATATGATAATTGGGTAGAGAGTGCACAAACCCCTAGTGAAAGTGGTACAACAACAGAGGATGAAGGAGAAAGACATGCTTTGCAATCACTTGCAAAACAAATGGAAAATAACGAAATGTATGACTATGCTGAAATTGTTGAACAACAATCTGATGGGAATTTCTCTACACCACGCAGTTCGATTGTTGACTTACCTTTTGCATCAGAAGACCTTGGAACAACAGTCATAAATTTAGATGAAGTTTGTTGTATTATATTTTATTACTATTTGCTTTATTTTTTAATGAATTATAAAATATGCGCAATATTTTTACTAGGCATTACAAAAGATGAAATTATATGAGTTGAAGATGGCTGAAACCCAGAAGGTGTTTGAGCAGGCTTCTAATAACTTGTCTGAGTTTATACCATATACAAAGCAATCTCAAAAACAGTGTTTTAATGATGCACAAAACAGCAATCTCTCAAGTGAAATCTCTTTTGATTGCCACAATTCCACACTTGATGCACCCTTGCTTAATCAAACGGTTAAATCTCTTATGATGGAGCTGGTACCATTTTTAAATGAGCACATAGGCGAAATTTGCACACATGATCTATTAGATGCTATTCGGTGCAAAATTGTGCATTTAGCTCACCAAAATGAACTTCAAGTTCTAAATAAGCCTGAGAGTGAACAATTTCATCGGTTTTTTCATAACCAACTCGAGTCTGTACTTAAGGACTCGCTTTCTAATTTTAGTTCAAGAAAATTAAAAGACTGTGGTGAAGACATATTGATTGTTGTTTCTGAAATTCTTTTTAATGAATTAGCTTTTTTTAGGCTGATGAATAATTTAGATAGGTAATATTATAAGATTTGTTTTTGTCAAATTTTTAAACCATAAAATGCAACCATTTTAAAATAATTATTAAGTTAATTTATTTAATGATTGTTTTTTTATATTTTAGTCATCCAAATAATAAGGCAGAAGTTGTAAACAATATGCAAGCTTCAAAATCCAGTAGTAATTCTTCTAGTAATTTTGTTATTGTTGATTCCTCTGAACTAACTGATGAAGAAAATGAGTCCTTAAGAAACTTTGTTAAAGTAGAGCTTGCTGTCAGTGAGATCCATCCAACTCAAAGTGATCGGGATGATTCTGAAAATGAAATGTCTTGTGCAAGGACTGCAGTTCCCATAACATCACTGAATTATTATTCACAAGATGTGAATGGTACTCACTTCAATACAAAAGATGTGAATGGTACTCACTTCAACACCAAAGATGTGAATGGTACTCACTTCAACACATGTATTGTTTTACTTTAATATATTTTTAAATTTATATTTGATTAGTATGGGCTATTGTAGACCATTTTCGGTACCGTCGACCTTTTTTTTTATATATATATATGTGTATGTATGTATGTATATTAATTTTAAGTATATACAAAATAGAGTACACAATGTTCTTAAAAGAACAGAGTAATAATAAATTAAGTGATTTTCTACTAGTTTTATATATATATATATATATATATATATATATATATATATATATATATATATATATATATATATATATATATATATATATATATATATATAATTTCATTTATTAGCTGAGAGCAGTTTAAATAATGTGCTTCATGACAATAGACTAGAAACTTATACTGAGTCTGAACAACATGAACAACATGGTGGATTAATGATAGAGAATGAAAATGCAGAGGATGAAAGAGACCTTGAGCAAAGTATTTTTTGAGATTTTTAGTTATTCATTTTTATGGGTTGTTATTTGGATTAAGTGGTTTAATTGTTTCAAAAAGTTTAAGTTTAATTTATCTCACTTTTTTTAGTTGAAGAAAGAAATATGAATGAAAGTAATCAGGTATTTTGTTTATAATAATTTTATGTTTTAAGTTTTTGGCTGCTTTTCCAAAATAATGATTATAACCTACAGAAATGTGAACTTCATTTCAATTACAAATTTTTACATCTTGATTTTTTTTAAATAAATCATTTTTAAAAAACTAGAATTTTTTGAAAAAAGAACATGAGAAACTTGAGAAACGTTTAAACATTAGAAACTTGTTACTTGTTGGTGCTAAAAATTGCAAAAGATAATTATTTTAACTGGTGCAAGATAAACATGTGTGTATAAACACACACACACACATGTTATATATATATAACATGTATGTGCGTTTATACACACGCATATGTTTTTTATTATTATTATTATCATTATTATATATATATATATGTATATATATATATATATATATATATATATATATATATATATATATATATATATATATATATATTATATTATATTATATTATATATATATATATATATTATATTATATTATATTATATTATATTATATTATATTATATATATATATATATATATATATATATATATATATATGTATATATATATATATATATATATATATATATATATATATATATATATATATATATATATTATAGTTCCATATATTAAAATAAAAAGTAGAGTTTTATTCTTTCAGGGATTATTGTGAATTATTTCCTACTTTTTATATTTCAAATGTTTATAGAGTGTTGAATTGGAGGATGATATGGTACGAGAAGATGATTTACCTGAGGTAGTTATTTATAAAATCTAAGGCATGAAAACCAAACTTTTTTATCTTGATTTTAATCTGTTGATTTTGTTAAGGCTGATATGGCAGTTGAAAGTTCAGCCATAGCTCAAGCTTTACTTACACACTTAAGTGGAACACAAGGTTTGCTTTTAAATCTGATTTTTTTTATCTGCTTTTAAATCTAAATATTCTGATTATTCTGATAATTCAAACTATTTTCAGAACTTGCTGGAGAAGAAAATTACGTTCCATCAGTTCATGGTGAGATCAAACTAAGTTTTTTTTTTTATTTTAATTCACCTCCTCAAGGCCGAGAAGGCCACTACAGACGAGGAGGCTACTTATTTGTGACTATAACCCTCTCTCAACTCTATAACTCCAAAACACGAACCTTGATGAACAAGGCCGCTGCGCGGAGAAACGAGTTGAGCGCGATACTACCAGGGACGTGGTGAGGATCGAACTCCGAACCACTCGTTTATGAAGCGAGCGCTCTACCACTACACCACTACCGCAAAATAGTTTATTGTAGTTGATGTTTTTATTATTGTTTTAAGAGTTTTTATTTGACAGCTTTGTAAGTGGGATAAAAAACTCAAAGTATTATTTCAATAAACATTAAAAGTTATCAAACAGGAATAATAGCAGAATGTATTGAACAAAGATGCTAGCTAAATTAACTGTTTATAAACACAGCCAAGCTAGAAATACTAACTACTATCAAGTTAGTATTAAATTTATATTACAATAAACTTAATAACATTACAAAGAGTATCTTCAATTAAATGAAATAGTTAAATGTAATACAATTTAATCCACAAAAAGAAATTTTAGTTTACTATAATGTATTATTACCTCTTTAAATGCCAAGATTTAAAAAAACCTTCCAATATTAGTAAAATCGAAGAACAGAGAGAAGTATCTATGTACTCCGTGTATCAATGTGCACCAGATCCTCGTATTGGATCAACTTTGTACTTTAATGTTTGCACATATACTGTACAAGATTTTTGTCAACTTTTTTGACAAAAATTTTTGTAGTTGATTTATATTTTTAGCTTCCTAATTGTTTTTATAAATATATTCTTTAAAAATTGACCAGAAATTTTTAATAGTTAGCAATTCTTGGACACAAGTTGGTTTATCTGTAACATAATGGCAGTCTTTTCTGTTTGAAATTTAATGCCAGTGCATGAAAAAGTACTGGCAGGATGGTCTTTTTTAAGTTAGCCTGCGCGATTTAAAAAATTCATTTTTTTCTGCTGTTTAAATTAAAATAAAAATAGCAAAAAGAATGCTTTGAATAAATACTACATAAAATGATTGTGTAAAAAATGAAAATATTATTTAAAAAAAACTCATGTCGTAATCAGTCACATTGTTAAAATAAAAAATTAAATAATTTTGTTTTCCTCATCTTAAGCGATACAATTGCTGACACAACATTGTTTAGTGCAAATGAAACAATTTGATTTCATTGTTGGCATAAGTTTATTATTCTTTGCAGATTTGCAGCACTTGAACTCCAGTTCTGATTTACAACCCCTTGCAGTTCTGTCAGAAATTATTATACCTGCTTTTTTTATGTTTTCTTTTTCTTCGGTTTTCAACACAAATATTACGAATTGTATGTTTATCTCTTGGCGTAGTGATGCTTAGTTTTTCCACCTCTGGAAGTTTGTTGGGGTATATTTTCTTTTCAAATTTAGCTTTGCTTCTGTTTACTGTCATCTTAAAAGCATTAACTAAACTTTTCTTTGCAAGTGATTTAAATGTTTTAATAAAATTCCAGATATTTCTGAAATTTTTAAAAATTTATATATATATAATTTTATGTATATGCAATATATATCTGTCTGTGTGTTTCTCTGACATTTGAGACTCTTGTTTTAAAAAGGGATAGTTTTTTTTAAACATTAGTTAAATAATAAATAGTCAAGAAAGGCATAAATTTAGACAAGAACAATTGTAATTAATCATGAGTTATGAAACTTTTAGTCTGGTAAAAACAGTCATGCTAAACCATTAAAAGTTCTGCATGCACCAATTTAGTTATGAAAAATCTATTTAATTTTCATTTAAACAAATAATGCTTTATTATTATTCCTTTTTTTTTAATTTTCAAATATTTTTTATATATCCAATACTGAAATAACAATATTGAGCCTATCCAATTTTGGTATTTTAATACTTCAAAAAAACAGGAATTACAGGTATTTCAGTATCGTTTACTCCGGTTATTTTTTAGAAACAGGCGCTTAAACAGTGATGTGTTAATGATAACAATGTGAGCATATCTAAAATATTGTTATATATCGTTATTGTTAAATTCAGTTGTTAAGGAAAGAATATCATCAAAATTTAACAAAAATATAGTTTTTCTTTAAAAAAAGACTAAAGATTTTTTTTGAGTAATAAGTACACAATAAAGGTAATTAAACTATTTTTTTAACTGGTAAATTTATCAGTGATTTATCAGTAAAGTAATTAATCAGTTTGTATTTTTTAGCTTTCATATTTAAATTTTCATCCTCCTTGTATATTTCAGTAAGAATTCATATATTTAACTTAGCATGTTGTTTGAAAATGAAACTAAATTAGGAAAGCTTTTAAAATTGATATGAAATCGGGATGTTAATATATGGCTTAATTTTATAGTTACATTGATTAAGATAGTGTAAAACAATATCTTGCACTCCCAGCCAATCGCTTCGACATATTATGATAGATATTTTGCATATGTCATATTTTCACTCAAATAATGTTTTTATTAATTTAATTTAGTATTTAAAATCACATAGCTTCTTTACTTTAAGCTGTACATCAAGTTACTCGTCGTCTGGTGTACCAAACATTCCCCAAAAATATTTTAGTTATTAAAAAAGGAGAAATCATTATTATGAAACCCAATTTTTCTACAAAAAGAGTATTTACTGAAAAGCAATAAAATCTTTTGAAGCTGTAAACAAAACTAATATATGAAATTCTGCTATAAATTAAGTTTATTTCTCAAAGCTATGATATCATAGTGATATCATTATATGATATCATAGCTTGAGAAGGTTTTAATATCATGCTGATATCACATTGATATTGCATCTTGACTGGGTAACTTATATTGGAAAAAAAGAAAAAAATTCAACTTGACTTAAAAAGAAATGTGCATAGAAATTTTTCCAAACCCTATTGCATGTATATATGTGTATATGTATACTAAGTAATAAGTATTGGTTATCATTGTTATTGAATTAAAATAAGTAAGTATTAAATTGATAATGTTTTGATGTTTCTTTTTAAAATCGTTGTCGGAATTTGACATTTCAAAATTGACTGATGTTTCTTGATCCTTGTTTCTATTTATTTCGGGACAATTATTCCTAAAAAGTTTTATAATTTGCGGGCTTGTCTGTTCAAAATTGTTAAACCTAAAAATTGCCATCCTACATTTACTAGATGGTCTGGATCTGCCTCTGCATTAAACTCTATGAAAAGCACATGGGAAAAAAACAATATGATCACAAATTTTGAGAAAGTTTAATCATTTATAAAAAATTTCATATAAAACCAAGAAAATTAAAAATCAGGAAAAAAATTTATTATTAATTTTTTATATTAATTAAAATTAACTTTAATGCCTTTTAAGTTTTAATGCTATTTTATGCTTTGCTTTATATGAATACCTTTATAAATGATCAATATAAACTTTCTCAATACTTTTAAATGTCATCACATTGTTTTTTCCCATAAGCATATTTTGGAATTTATTTTTTTTTGGTAGATTTTAAGATAAATTACACAGGTCTACAAAAAAGTTGGCTCCACATACTCTGTGCCATATTTTTGAAAAAAATCTTTGAGATTGGACAAATAGAAAAAGGAAGAATTTACCTTTTGGAGTCCTCATGGTTCGGAGGGAACCACTAAATCATACTGACAACTGCTATTTTTGTCTTGTTGATACTACTGGTATTGGCAAAATAAAGTGGCAAAAAATAGCTTATCCCAACATTCCTTCTGCTATTAGCCCAACATTCTAACGAGATTCCGTTTCCAATTTCTAAAGGTTTATTTTCGTCAGAAGTTGAACAAAGCATGTCTGCTACAGAAACAGAAGAATTTTTACCAGATTTGGAAGACTTCTCATCTAATGCTAAACAATTCAATTTGCTTCAGTGTTTTATCAGATAGAACTGAATGATTTAGCTTGTGATTTAAGACTTTCTAAGCAAGCAGCAGAAGTATTAGCATCATGTTTAAAAGAAAAAAACCAACTCGATAGCTTTGCAAAAGTTTCTTACTTTAGAACAAGAGATGAAACCTTTGTTAACTTTTTTTCAGAAGTCAATTTATTTGTTTACTGTCATGATATTTCAGGTTTCCTATTACACTTAAGTATTCCTGTATATAATCCAACAGAATAAAGATTTTTTAACGATAGCTCAAAGCAAAGCATTAAATGTGTCATATTGCACAATGGAAATATTTTTGGTTCTGTACCAATTGATCATTCTGTTTATTGGCGAGAAACTTACGATGGCATTAAAATGGTGCTTAACTTAATTACTATCCAGTTGTGTTCATGATTATTGATCATGAACACAGCTAGATTATTTGTGTAGATCTAAAAATAGTTAACTTTCTACTTGGTCAGCAGAAAGGTTTTACAAAGTTTCCATGTTATCTCTGTATGAGGGAGAGTCGAGCAAGAAATCAACACTGGGTACAAAAAGAATGGCCCATTCGCAAGACTCTCACAGTGTGCCTGCACAATATTGTAAATGAACCCATTGTTAATCGAAATAAAATTTTTCCACCACTTCATCTTAAACTTAGATTCATGAAACAGTTTGTTAAAGAACTGAAAACTGATAGTGATTGTTTTCAGTATATAGTTACATCATTACCAGGTTTGTCAATAGAGAAAAAAAAGGCAGGAGTTTTTTATGGGCAACAAATTTGCTATCTTAGAAAAGATAAATAATTCATTAAAACAATGTCAAATCAAATGATAAGGATATTAAATATCCAAAATCAAAGAGAAAACAGCTTGGTTGTCATTTGTGGTTGTTGTAAAAAAATTTCTTGGGAATAAAAATGCAGTAAACTATTCAAATTTAGTTGATAAAATGTTGAAAACTTTGTGATCTTGGATACAAAATGAATATAAAACTTCATTATATAAATAGTCATCTTGATCAGTTTCCTAAAAATCTTAGAGATGTGAGTGAAAAGCAAGGAGAGTAATTCCAAAGATCATTACCAAGGACATTGGGACACATGGTTGCAGACTACTGTTGTGGGATCAAGCGAGAAGACTCAAGAAAAGTTTATAAACGAAAGAGCAACAAGAAAAAGTTTTTTAATGATTAAACAGTTGTAATTAATCTGCAAAATTTTTTAAAACTAAAGTAAAACATGATTTTGTTATTAATCAATAAGAAATAGATAACTTTGCTAGGACTTGGATATTTATAAAATGTTCATTTTAAACAGTTCCCAGTTTATTTTCATCTGTTTTCTACTTTTGTTTTAGTTTTGTAAACAATTTTTATTGTAAAAAATATATCCTCGCATTTCCAAATGAGTTTCAAATCTGTATTTTAGAACTATTTCTAATGTTTTGTAAAATAAAAAATCATTTAGTGCAAAAAATCTGTAGCTTTCTATAAAAATCTGATGCCAGATTTGAATTCAGCGTATCAAAGTTATGTAAGAACAAGTGTCAAATTTAATGCAATAAATTTTTATAGACCTGTGTTATATTAAACGACCAACTGGTCTTTGATCTGGGTCAAAGCCAAGTTTATGGCTGGGGCTGTATATATATATTGGTGCATATTGATATGATATATAAAAATAAGTCAATATGCACCAATATTTATGCAGTCCCATCCGTAGAACTGGCCTTATCCACAGTCAAATACCAGCCCTGGTCGTTTACTACTGTGTTATTTTAGGCAACAAATTTACGTAATTTTTTTTTTAACTTTTTTAGGAAACCAATTTTGTTGCTTATTATAAGCACAGTTAGGTTTGGACTCAATGCTCAAACCTAACTTATTTATACACATAAAGACACACATATACATATATATGTACACATACACACACATATTTACGCTCACACAAATACATATATATGCATGCAAATAAACACACATATACAAGTAAATATATTCACATACACATATATTTATATACGCACATACAAATATACACAAAACGTATACATGCATACAAATACAGACTTACGTTGATACACGCATATAAATATGTGCATATGTGGAAGAATAAGGAGTAGAAGAAGCGATAACTGAATAGGTTTTAAAAAAAGGGAAGATTAAAAACAGTTATATTTTAAAAAAACAGTCAAGATAAAAAATAGATCTAAAAGTGATAATGATGCATTAGAAATTTATTGGTTGGTTTTATAGATGACAAATTTTTTGATATTTATAATGAAAGTATTTCTAGAAATGTTTGGAAGACTTATTTTTATTGAAACCAGGAGAGAGTTCCAGGACCAGGAATGAATTGATTGGTATTTAGTAGATTGAATACCATATTTAATTGTTGTTGTTTTTTTAAAGGTACAATTATATCTAAGTTTGCAGTTATGAATATCACTTGTAAATTTAAAATAGTTAATAGTTAAAATAATTAAATCTCAGATTTATATGCCAGGAAATTTCATAACTTAAAAAAGTAGTTTTTATGGAATGTAGCATTAAAAAATATTGTTTGGGATTGTCCATAAATTATGCAACGTTAAACATATTTTAAAAATTAGGTAGGGGAGAGCGGGGTTGGTTGTCACAACGCTTATATTAAAAAAAAACTTTAAAAGATACAAAACTTCTGAATCACTTGTTTAATAAATATTGGCAAAGTTTATCTGCCCACTTGATTTCAAGTTGATCAGACCATTAAGTTGATCAGACCATTACAAAAAAAAGTTATTTCAAATATTTTGAGCCTTGTTAAGTAAAATTTTTGATATTTTGTTTTTCTTCTACCGAATTTAGTAAATAATAAATGTTTTTAATATTGATTAATCTAGTTAGTTCACCAATTCATGAATTTAAATCAACTAACAAATGGCTACTAAAGCATGTGCATCTAAGTAAAATCAAGTTCCAAACATTAGTCATGAAGGGGTTGCTTGTCAGATTTTGTTTGGAGATGGTTGTCATACTGTGATGAGCAACCTCAAACATTTTTAATTGAAAATGAAATATTTTATATAATGAATATGTCGTTTTTTTTTCTACAGAAATGCTGTGACAATTTTGTAGAAAATCAAATAAAGCCAACATTCCTAAAGATACTAAGCTTCGAGCTATTGAAGATGTCAAAATGAATGCCAAATCTATCAGAGGGGTAGCAAAAGACAATGGCATAAATTATCTAACTCTAGCGAGATATTGCAAGAAACTAATCCTGACGTACTAGAGAAGTCTGAAAGTGTTAGTGTTGGGTTAAATATCGACAGATATTGCCAGACATTATTGAAAAAGAACTGGTCACATCTTTTGCAAGCTTCTGATATAAATTTTGGGTTGTCACCTAAGGAAGTGAAAATGCTGGCATTTCAACTGACAGAAAAAAATTGTATTTCTGTTCCTGAATCTATGAAATTAAAAAAAGTAGGAAAAGATTGGTTTACTGCATTTATGAAACGCCATCCACTTCATCAGGCAGCCTGAAGCAACCAGTTTAAGTAGAGCTTCTAGTTTCAATAAAGTAAATGTAAAACTATTCTTTGGCAATCTACATCAATGCCTTGGGCGTTATTCTTTTTCTCCTAATGACATTTTGAGTATAGACAAAACAGCAGTTACCACAGTACTGAAACCTAATAAAGTTATTGCAAGACATGGTATAAAGCAGACCAGATCGTTACTTCTAAAGAAAGATGGGCACTAGTTACACTTGTTTGCACACAGTAAATGCTACTGGAAATAGTATTCCTTCATCTTTCATTTTTCTTCGGGTTCATTTCAAAGTTCATTTTATTAGAGATGCTCCACCAGGAAGTACAGGAGATTCAAATGCAAGTGGCTTGATGAACAATGTAGGTCCATCCACTAACTCTAATCCTTAACCAGGCTCATCTAAAGGGCAAGCTCAAGGTTCTGATGAACTTGATGAACCCACACTAGATGTTTTAGAAATAGCAAATGCTCTTCAGCAAAATTTAGGGCTGCAATCTGATGTAGTTACTGATATCAGTCAGCCTAAATATGTCAACCCAGGAAGAATAAGGCCATTTCCAAAAGCAGGGGCAAAAACAACCTCTACCAGAGGCAGAAAGAGGCATTCATCAATAATAGCGACCGACTCCTCTGTAAAAGCATTACTAGCAAGCGAGAAAACTAAGATTAAAAAGTAATCAAAGGTGGCCGTAAAGGCAAATCAAAAATGAATCTTGCAAAAGACAAAGCTGCAAAAAATATTGAAACTTCGTCAGAAGATAAGGACAATTTTTGTTTGTACTGTTGTGAGTCCTTTGGTAATAGCAGACCTAAAGAAACACTGGTATAGTGTCTAGAATGCAAGAAGTGGACACATGAACAATTCACATCAGACATGCTGAACTTTATATGTTTGAACATTATATTGTATTAAAAAGCTTTGTCTATTATTCCAAATGTAATGTTCAAACGTTAATGATTTTACAATATAATACAATAATAATTTTACAGTAAAATACAATCACACAATTATATTTTATTAATAGACCAACTGATATAATCGTGTGACAACCAACCCCGTCCTGTGTGACAACCAACCCTCATAGAGAGGTTGGTTGTCACACTCTGATGTGCACTTTTGTGAAATAAAATGATATAATAAATATGCGGAAATGCACAACACACCTTCGTGTAAAACTGCTCTCTCTTTAAATAAAAATTGCATAAATGGCATTCTAAAAAGTAAAAAGTGTGACAACCAACTCCGTTCTTCTCTAGATCATTTGCTCTTTTGCGCGGCAATTCTCACTGGCTGTTTTTATTTTTAGTTTAGTTAAAGACTCTGCGAAGGAAAACTTATCTTTTTTGTTTTGTCTATTAGTTGAATTTAGCGTTGCACAATTTATGGACGAATGTTGTTTTGATATATTGTTTTCAATTAAGTTACGTTCTTTAGAATACTTTGCCTATTTTAACATAATCTGCCCTATTGTTAATGGAAATTGTTGCCTAACACTATTTTCTAGAGACTTTTTTTATTAATCAATTTTTATTAATCAATTTAATTTATTTAGGTATTTTACATGGTTGATCATCATTACTGTTTATATGTTTAAAAATCAAGATCTGCATTATGAAGTTTGGAAACCATCGAATAGAAACACGAGCAAAAATCTTTAAACATGTTTGTCTTAGCGTTTAAGTTCGCAAACAATTTATCGCAAAGATAAATTGTTTGCATTTTTAACAATTAATGTTAGTTTACTTTAGCGTTCTGTTTTTGCGTGTTATGAATTTCTTGTTTATAATTTTTAAACGCTTAAGAAACATTAATGTTAAATATATATGAAAAAGTTTACGTTTTTTTGTTGTTTTTTTTCTTCCTGTTTTGAAATGAAAATAGCAGAAGCATTAGAGAAAAAAGAAGCAGGAGAGATTGATTTTAAAAAAGTTAGGGTAAAGTGATGTAAAAAAAAAGTTTTATCAAATCAGTTAACTAGCTGCACCCAACCGAATTTCAAGAACGATATGTTTTTTAGGAAATCCAATCTATGCTTAACAATTTACCGTCCAAAAATCAAAAGTGTACGTAAAAAAAATTATTATAAAGAAATACAAGGAGCTCGTTAAATGGCTAAGGCTAATTTCTAGGCCCGTTTTGCTCAACTATTAGAGAGCGCGATTTAAAAAATAAAACTTGAGTTTTATTTTAGAATCGATTGTTATATATATAGATTACATAATTATTATTATAAGATAAAAATCGACATGGAGTAAACTTAAAAAAGAAAGAATACAGGCTGTGACTATCTCTTGTAGTCCAGCTAAAGAAACTTCTATAGTAGAGAAACAGCCTTCGCGGTTGGTGATAGTATTTTTTTCCAAGGGAACTTTGAACAATAGTTAAATCGAGCTAAATTTAATAGTTAAATCGAGTTAAATTTGATCATGGAAGCATAAAACAGATCGATATTCAACAGCATTGAAATGCTTCGGCAATACGCTTGTAACCTTTTGTCTCGTAAACAAAAAAAAACGGCATCGCAACTGTACTTAAGGTAGTACCTCAAGAACTATATTAAAATCTGATTGGAACTAGAGCACACTTTCATTTTTACAACAAATACATAATTTAAAATAATTTTGTGAAGTAATTACTCAAATTTACTAGTCATTTTAGCATGAATTTTGGAACATTTTTAATCATGGTAACGTAATTCATTTGAGAGAAAATAAATGAAAACAAATGAATATTTTCGAAATTATGCATGGAACACTAAAAAGTAAGCGAGCTAAACAACACTAATATAACAAATTTAAAGATTTAAAAAGATTTTTTCTCAAATGAATTTTAATAATATGAAGAATAATGTGAAAATTTCAGCACTTTTTAATAAATATTTGAAAAAAAAATATTTAAAAGTATATTTTGCGATATATAAATTAAAATTCAAAAATCAATGTTTTTTGATTTTTAATTCATATATCGCAATTTTATATATCTCAATTATTATATACTCAAAAATCAATGATTTTTAGTCAGCAAATCGGACCCTTTTAGACTAGGTAGTCGGCAAATGTTGACCCTCTCGATATAGGTTAGTCGGTAATCTAGATAGTTGGCAAATGTCGTTATTGCAGTTGGCAAATTTTCGAATACGAGGATTTTTTTTTTTTTTTGTCAGCAAAAGTTATAATGATACCCCCCTCCTCCCCTAAGTGACACCTACTCGCGCCGGCCCTGTTCTTAACTTTATTTGAGTATCCTTTTTTAATACTTTTTAACTGTTTATGTCTCTTTATTCCTTGGGAAATTGATTTTTTTTATTGACTATTGTAAGTGAGTAGAACTCTTTTGCTTTGCTATGATTGATGTTGCGTAACCAAAAAGACTAAACTCTGATGATATACACAAAACACCACTCAGACCATCATTAAAATTTAATATATCAGAGTTTACTCCATTTTCCAGTGTTGATCGGTTCACAAAAATTATTTTGGGACAGCGTTTCCTGATTATTGAATTGAGCACCTCATTTGCATTCTGCGTTCAACCATGAAGACATTTTGAAAGCGATTTATCTGTTGATAAGTCCTGAAAAATTGGTTTTGATAAATTAAAAAAAATTTTTCAACGCAAGCATTCAACAAGAGCGGGTGCGATTTTACCACGAGGAGAATAAAAATAAAAAAAAAAACATTTGGATTACATTTGAAAAAATATTCTAGCTTAATCTAAAAAAACTATTTCTATTTTATAACGTATATTATACTATGGCATTAACACTTTCTGAAATAAAAAAAATGTTTAAAGAATTCAAAAAAGTAACTGAAGAAATGCTTCGTAAACAAAAGAAAACTGTTATTGATATTATTGGCGCTAATATAAAAATAATTAACGACAGAATGGACAAAGCAGAGTTAAACATCAACGTGAATGCAAACAAAATTAAAGAACTTACAAAGGGATTGGAAGATATTAGGCATAGTCTAAACTACAACGAAGAACTAAATGACAAAAAATTTCATAACAACAATAAACAACTAGATAAAAAATTCGAACATACTAATATAAAAAAATTTATAAAGGAAAAGCAACGAAACCTGGAAGATAGATCAAAAAGAAATAAACCTACGAATCGATGGAATTGATGAAAATGGGCAAGAATAATGGGGAGACTCTGAAGAAAAAGTTCACACATTCTTTTGGCAAAAACTTGGACTGAAAAATATCGACATTGAACATGTCCACCGCACTGAATTGAAGAGAGATGGACGACCGAGAACAATAGTACTTAACCTGCAGAAATATAAAGACAAAGTAAAAATCTTGAAAGAATCTCATCGACTAAAAGGCACGAGTTTTTTTATTAACGAAGACTTTTCTCGTGAGACCGTTGCTATTCGGAAAAGATTATTTGCGGAAGTAAAACAAAGGCGTTCAAATGGTGAAAATGTAACGGTAAGATATGACAAAACTATTTATCTTAATAATAATTTTAAAATCAATCTTAACAAATGACTAGTACTCCTAAAAAAAAAATTCTTTTTTTTTTTTTTTTTTTTTTTTTTTTTTACCTATTTATTATCATGGCTATGACTAATAACTTTGAATCCCTTTTTTTTTTAATTTATAGGAAACAAATCTCTATTTTCAGAAGAATACCTAGACCCTGAAAACAGAGACGTATTTGAATTTTTGGCGCCCTGGGGCACTGTTCCTTTAAGCGCCCTTTTTTAAGAATAATGTCAACTTTGATATGGGGTGATCATTAAAAAAAAAAATATTTTCTATACCAACATATATTAAGTTATATTAATCACTATAGAAAATTATAATTTTCTATGTGAGTTTTGTTTTGCAAATGTATTTATAATGTCATTAAAGTTCATATCTATGGTAAGTACAGATTCTATAGATAGAATTGCTAACCTATTAAGACAATCACTTGTCATTCGCGACCTCAAATAAGATTTAACCCTCTTTAATGCTGAAAATGATCTCTCGGCTGAACAATTGGACGTTGGGCAGCATAGATATATTCTTAATGCTATATCTACATAAGGAAACAGCTCTTGAAGTTTTTCAGTTCTGATCATTTTATAAACATCTATTATAGTTTTAGGTCTTAAGTTTTCAGTTAAACTCATTAAATAACTTCTGAATTGTATACACTCGTTAGCAAATGAAGACGAAAGATCATTTTTATATACATTTTGAAGTACCTCTGCTTTTTTGTAAACTTCTGATGGCGAAAGTTTTATTATTTGAAATAAAAAGTTAAATTTTTTATTGGCTTCATCATAGCACAATTTTCTTCTTTCTAGTTCAGAATGAAGTTTATCAATTATAGCATAATATGTATTAATTCTTAAAGAGTCTCGAATTTTAAAATTTGTTTCTTCTTCTCTTTTTTCATCTGCAGTTAGTTTTCTTTTTCTTTTGCGTATTTTTCGATATGTTTTGTGTCCTGACTTATTTATTGCTCTCTCTTCATAGATATCAAACATACTCTATAAATCTAATACATATCGAATTAAAGATTCGTATAAACTTACAACTGTTTCTAAATCAATCTCAACTGACTGCAATTGTTTGCTAGTTTTGTTGAATCTCTCTAGTATATCGCCCCATAATGTGGCCATTATAGCTGTTTCAAGACTATCCAGTTTTAAATATAGCCCGTTAGCTTCTGATCTTGTAATAGATTTTTCTGTTTTATCATCTTTGATAAAAGACAGTGCATTAATTATTTCAATCCAATTTTTGTTTAAACTAATACTTGCATCAGATCTTGCTGACCATCTGGTATCTGATAGTTTTTTAAGAGATACATTTTCTGTTTTAATCAAATTCTTCTGAAGTATTTCCCATCTATAAGTAGAGGCACTGAAAAATTTATAAATATTTTGAAGCAGAATAAAAAATTCAGAAGCATAAATACAACAGTCCACAGCGCACTCACCAACAAGATTTAAAGAGTGTGCCGAGCAAGGTACAAATGTTGCTAAAGGATTAACTTTTTTAATGCGAGCTTGAAGTCCTGTGTATCTACCAGACATATTAGACGCATTGTCGTAAAATTATTTTCAGGCTGAAAATAATTTTTATCGCAGTATTTTATCCGATTGTTCGCATCATTTTCCAAACCAACTAGAAGGGTTTCTTTTTAAGAATGCTCGCGAAAAAAGTAATAATTAAATTGTAATTCTCCACCTCAATATAAGAAGTTTGAAATGCAATTTTGAAAAACTTTTAAATCTATTAGAAGAAACTAAACACATTTTTAATATAATTTGTTTAACTGAAACTTGGATCACAGAAGATGAAATGAGTAGTAATTTTTATATTCCTCATTTTAATACTATTTTTATGGAGAGAAAATGCAAAAATGGGCCCCAAAAGTTTAAGTGCCTAGGGCCTCCGTTTTCCTTAATCCGCCACTTCTTTGCATGACATCATTGAATGATGAAGTGTCTATATCTCCAAGCTACTCTTTTATATAAAATTGAAACAAGAAAAGAAGCTTAAACTAACATTTGCTTTTAAAATTCTATTTTATTAACGAGTTTTAATTAACCTTTTGTTGAATAATTACAATTAATAATGAATAAAACTATGTAGAATATTCTTAGAATAATTCTTTTTTTCATGTTTTAATTAAAATCATTTTAGTGAATTTTGTTGTTTTTTGTTCAGTGAACCTTGTTTTTTTCTGTTTTTTTTTATTGCCTGTTACAAGCATACTCCCGAGACGACTTGAAATTGCTTTGATGTTTGCGGTTTGAAGAACTTCCATCTGTTTTCCATGGTTTGATCATGGAAGTATAAAACAGATGGAAGTTGAACTGCATTGAAATTTCCCTAAATCAATGCACCACTATTGTTTGTTGCGTAGAAGAAAAAAACATAATTTTTTACCCTAAATACACTATTTAATAATAAAGCAAAAAAGATTTGTGTGAATGAATCTTTTGTGAAAAAATGATTTGTTTTACCATCACACCACACCTATTTTTGCCTAAAGATAAACCTGTAATATTTAGCAATGGTCTGGAAGCAAATTTTAACAATTTCTGGCATATGAAAATTACATATTTATTTAAAAAACACAAATTTTTTGGATAAAATTTCCATTTATTAACAGTAAAGATGGTGGTCCTGGTATTTGTTATCCTTGCAACAAATAAAAAAACAGTTTAAAATCTTCACGCCTTCATTACTCTAAAGAATCAAAATATCACTGATAGAGTTGTTTTTTGTACGCTAAAAGAAATATCTGTTGTTGGCGATAGTTAAAAAATAAAACTTGCAATAGGAGGAAAAGCTCTTCTTGTTAAATTATACAGAGACCTTTTACCTATAAGAAACACAACAAGAAAATCATGAACTTGAATTTAAATTATGATCTTCCTAATTGTGTAGTGTTAGGAATAATGAAAGAGATAAGAAAAGATTTTGGATAATCTGGAATACAGGAGAACACCTAAGATGAAGTTACGAACAGGTCACGCTGCTTGAATTGATTTTATAAAGTCATAAAATGTCAGCTCAAAAACGGTAAAAACTTATTTGAAAAAGGTATTATTCATTTTAATGACCTTTCTATGTTCGTATCTTCAGAAAATTGGATATTTTTATATTTTAATTCTGTTTTACATGTTGGTATTGATGGAGGGCAGTGATCTCTAAAAATTGTCATGAACGTGTTTCGCCATTAGTATTAGATTTTCAACCAAGGAATCAGAAGTACACCAGGGTCAACAAAACTTCGAAACTTAGAAGAGAAAATCTTAATACACTTTTCCAACTTCTTTTTTCTTTTTTTTCCCTTCAATTCAATCAATTATATTTTACCTTGGCTTTTGATCTCAAATTAATCAACATCATCCAAGGATTATCGGTAAATACATTATTTCCTTATCTTGACTTGATATGCAATGTAAATATTAAATAAGCGATACCTTTAGAGCCACTAGCAGATGAATTCAAAAAATACCAATTTTATAACAAACCTCGTATACAGATGAACATACTTATGAACACCATGTTAGTAATTCCTCAACCTGAACATATTTATGAATACCATGATAGTAAAATTATTGATCTTCTTTTCACTGATAAAAATCTAACTGATTTTAATGGGTGTGCCAAAGTTTTAAGATCTTTGGACGAAATGACACTTCATTCTCCAATTGAATATTTCGAATGTATTGAATCCCTGAGGAGGTTTAATGAAGGTGCTTCATTGCTTTTTAAATTATTTTTAACACTCTTTACTACATTTTCAGTTCAATTAGTACAGTCTAGATAAAATTAGGAGACAGGAATATGTTAAGACTATTATTTTCAGCAATTTAATATTTGTTTAACTTTTGTTTAATTTAGTTGCTGAATGCTGTTTTAGGACGAAACTTGATATATCCTACAATTAGAAAATACACAAGTTTGTGGAGTCCATGGAGTCCATTTAAAATTTAAGTTTCACTTAACGGTTCGTTGTGTCTGAGAAAAATGACTACCACGGTGAAAAACTAAGCGCTATAGTTGTTGAATACAATTCAACGAGATTGTAAGAAGATTTTTCAAGTGTATATTTAGATATATCTTTTTTTGTAACATTATAATATTTAAAACACTGTTTGTGGAATTTCATTTGACTGAATTTGTTATCAGAGACATTACTCTATGTTTTGTGTGTAGGTAAAGACGGAAAATATTTCTTCATTTCTAACAGAATTTTCACATGAAGATAATTGCAATTAATATTTCGGTAGTATTCATTAAAATGGCAATTTTAATGAATATTACCGCAAAAAATCACTAGAGCAAGAATACCTTTTAAAAACGCCCCGTGCATTCCCCAGGTTGAGGAAAATTCATTTTTGAAAAAAAAGCAGTGTTTTATCTTGAATTATATCATAAGTTGTAATAAGGTTTTAAATTTTATCAAAATTTTGACGCTCAAAAAACGCGGCAATATAAAGTTTAGAACCCCCATATTTTTTGAAGGTTTTAAATATTTAGAAAAATGGTCAAAAAGTGAAAAAGTATGCGGTTTTTAATTCGTTTTCAACGGTTTCTATATCATGTCAACCTGCTAGAAAAAGTGATTAAAAAAAAGTCTAAAGTAAAAATAACTTTAACTAAAAACCTCTAAAAAGTGACCAGTTTGTTACTTTTATTTACTATTTTTAACAAGGTCAAAATTCATAATGCTTTTTTACAATAATAGAACTTTTACAGTAACTTTTATAGAAAGGTTGACCTTCACTATAAACAAAACAAAAAAAAAGTAGCAAAAGTTAACTAAAAAGACATATTATATTTATTTATTTCAATTATATACTTACCTAATGTTATATATTATTTATTTATTAACTCTCAATCATACAAGTTTTTACAAATTTTTTTAAAATTATTTTGAAATTCAACATGATTAAGAACATATTATTTTGTATTTCACTGAATAAATATAATCATTTTTTATTGATTCACGTGTACTTTATTGATTTTTATCGTTGTTTTAATTTTTTTTTCTAACACCTATTGTAATTAATTATATTTAATTTATCTTATTTATAAATGTATACATATAAATATACTTTTATTTATAAATGTATTGAAGTTAATTGTATGTAAAATATATTTTAATAAAATAGATGACAAAAAATTCCATAATTTATAGTATACAAAGCGTATTTTCAGCATAATTATATAATTACAAATTTTATTTAAAAAATAATTTTATATAAGTTTGTAAAACCTGAATTGTAAATGCTTTTTTGCAATTTATTTTCAATCGATCAAATTTACATAATAATTGAACTTAGGTATTGACTATAAAAAAGTTAAAATACTTTATGTCATGACTTAAATTAATGTATTTAATTTAACTTATTAACGTATTAAATTAACTGGGCATGGTTATGATAGTAATTTATGTAATTATGCGAAACTATAAATATGTAAAACTATGTAATTATGTAAAACAAATATGTAAAACTATGTAATTATGCGAAAATCTATGGTTAAAATATTTAGTTATTATTTTATAATAATTAAATTTACTAAATATTTTTAAAAAAATTCTAACTCGGTTAAGGCGGTTTACAAAATATTCGAATACTTTTATTTGGAATTAGCATGGTTTTGTCAGCATATTATGTTCAAACGAGATCTTTAAATGTTATAATTTTTTTTTTGTTTAAGGTTTTAATAATATTTAAAAAAACTTTTCTTTTTTTATATAATTTACAAAACCTTTTTACTACCCGTAATAATGAATCTAAAGAACACTAATTTGGAGTCTTTAGATCAATTCCACTCATCGGCATAAATATGAATTTAGTTAAAATCTTTTGAAAAAGTTTCTTAATATCAATTTTCACAAAAAATACTAAAATTCCGACCAAGAAAGAGCTTATAATTATAGAAAATTGCTAATAAACGATCAGAACAGATCATATTGTTAAATTATAATGTTCATTTCACCTAAAAAACGTATTAATATAAAATCTTATTCAAATTTGGACGAGTGATTGTGATTTTATAAGATGATTTTTTTTTAAAAAAAAAAAGAACCTTCAGTCTAGGTTTTTTCACTACAAACATTTATATTTTACTAGCAGTAAGCAACCCGTAATACGCGTTGTTAGTAAATAAAAATAAAAAAAAAACCGCGTATAGAAAAGCCTAGAAACTTTAAAATAGAAAAGCCTAGAAAATGACGTAACTCGACTAATAATAATAATATTAAATTAGCGTATTCATATTATCAGATGATACCGCAAAATTTATCATTTTAATATTTTCGTCTTTTCATAATTCACAGACCAGTCCATTTAACAGAAATATGTCGTAGTCAACAAAATATTTTACAGACGCTATAATATTTTAAAAGTGCCTTAACTATACAGAGAAGCCCTTTAAAGTTGTTTTTTTTCAAATTTTTTTATTTCTTCTTTTTTTTTATGGAGATTTTTAGAGTTTATAAAAATTTAAGACTTTTGAAACAATAAATTTCGTTATTTGTAAAAGGGTATTTGAATTTTCGTTATTTCACTGGGCACTTGTGCGATCTGGATGCGAACTATGTAGTATCTCCTCTTTCTAAATAAATTTCCTTAAAGTAAAAGTTATGCATATATATATATTTTTTAGATTATTTTTTCAAACATGCATCTGTAAATTTTAAAAATGTTTATCGGTACTTCTTATTTAATGCTTTTAAAATAGCAAAAGTTTCTGTATCCATTATACCGTCGTATTTAGCAGGACGGAAATGCATTTGGAATGAAATAATAGCATTGCGAGTTGTTTCTGCGTCTTTGTTAATATAGTAGCCATATGTTTGTAATTCCAAATGAATTTCTTCAAGTTTTAAGTTAGTATTTGAGTAATGTTGTTGAAAATGTAAAACGTCGTTTTTATCAGGCCAAGCACCTATGCCATTTTTGTAAAGTTGCTCCCAAGGAAATAAAGGTCCAGGATCTTGTTTGCGTCCTGGTGCACAATCACTATGTCCTATAACATTTTTAGGTTCCAAACTATATCTTTTAATTATATCCTTACTAAGATTTGTCACTAATTGGATTTGTGAATTTGAAAACGGAAACCACTTTATGGTTTCGTTGATGTACTCATAACCCAGATTGACTATTTCGATGCTTATTCCGTTGTCATTTAGATTAGTCCATCCTCTCCAATAACTAATTCCTTGCGTAAAAGCCCGTAAGTTTTCATCAACAAACTGATAAATCACTCCTTCATCAGCAAGCTTTCCGTCTGGTACAAGATAGTGCGAACTAACTTTATCGCCAGTCAAAATTTTAACTGAGTTTTCCAAATCAATAGCAGTGTAGTGAATAACTAAAAAGCGTTGTCGGTTGTTGTAGCTTTTTGCTTTCAAACTATTATTGACATAATAAGCGAACGAATTCCCGCATAAACTCACTAAAATGATTATTGAAAAGTGCAGCATTTTATCCTGTTTAATATGAAACTTTAAAAATAATTCTAGCAAAATAAATACGACTTTATTGATGTAATCAGCTGTTAAGGTGAGATGTAGTCATTATTTACAAAACTATTGTTTAAAAAATATTTGTATTAAAAATACCAAAGTTTACGTTACGTTATTAACTAAATATTAATTAAAACGGTCGGTAATTAAAGAGGAGTTTGACTTTTTTAAATTTAATTTATAACATTTTTCCACGCTCGCAAGTATTTTTAGCTAAACAATCATTAAGTAAATATTTTATTTAAAATGTGCGGTATTTTAGCTATTAAAGATAAATATTTGGATTTTGTAGCGCTTCCGTAAGTTACCGAATTTTGGTTAACATTAAGAAAAAGTTTAGATGTAAAATTTTTTGAATAGATAGAGAATTTAATTCTTCAAAATAAAAATAATAGATTTTATAAAATATTAATTTCCTAAAATCAATTTTAGGAATTTGACCGTTCAATAAATTTTAGTTTGTTTGACTTGATTTAAATTTTTTTTTTTTTTTTTTTTTTTTAATTGAAGTTGTTTTCATTGATTTTATTGTTTAATCAATCAATAAAATCAATGAGAAAAATCGTTGGATGAGCAATTAAAAAAGAGAAGGACCAATTAATATAAAAAAACATTTAAATGAAAAGTAGATTTATGTATTAAATAATATTGGAATAAGGAAATAAAGATAGATAATTGATTGTTATTTTATTAATTATAAACCAACGTAAGCAAAAGTTTAAACAGAAAATTTTTTTTGAAAAGATTTTAGATATTAGGTTTTTGCCATCTTTAAACCCATTTTTTTAGCAAGGCAAGAAGTTGCACATGAATTTTTAAATTAATAACAGACGTAACCAAAAAACTCTTTTTAAAAAAGTATGAAAAAGTTGCGTGATAGTGTGTGGTTGGTTATTTATTATAGTTCAAAAGTATAAAAACATACAGTTTTGTCATTTTTTAAGGGGAGTTATTTCTAAAGGCGAAGAGTTGCACATAACTTTTTTTTTGTAGAATATGTAAGTATGGTAGGTATCGTGTTAAAAATGCACAAAAGGTTACGTGATATTAAAAGCCTGCCCAAATATTAATTGAAATAAAAAAACACACTATGGTATTCTTGCAAAATGACACACACGGGTGAGGCGCTAAGTTTTCTAAAAATTTAATCATGTTAATATGTTGTTTTATTATTATGTTAGGGCATGATGGTCCTAACATAATAATAACAAAAACTCGTATTTTTTTATAACACATGATAAAAAATTAATTGAAAATTAAACCCGTGGAAAAGTTTATAAAAGAAACGAATCATACTATATATCAAGAGCCTTACCATTAATGCTCATTCAATTTGCATTGAATTATAGTTAAAAGTAATAAAGTATTCTCAAATAATGATTTTATTTTATTCTATTTTTATCAGCAAAAGATTTAGGAATTTTTGGTGGGGTAGGGAAGGGGAATGTTGAAATATTTTTGTATTTTGTATCGCATTTCCGTCTTTTTTTTAAAAAAAAGGTCCTCCTACGTTATTATTTATCACAGGTTTTTTGATTTGCCTCGATAACTCCAAAGTTATGCAATATGTTTTATATTTTAATTATTCAATCACTGAAAAAAGTACAAAATCTCATATAAATCTGAAATGCCTCAAAATTATTAAACCTAGGAAACGAGACTTTTAATAAAATAAAGCTTAAAACCACAGGGGTTGCAGAACATACATACAAACATTGAAGGTTTGGGTGTAAACAGGTATAATCTAAATATGATAAACATTTATATTTTTAGTCTACCTCTTCAAGACTGATAGAGCTACTACCCATAAATAGTCATATAATAAATAGTCAATAAACTACTTAATCAACTTTAAAAAAATTAGCAAACTTTTGTTATTTGCTTACATTAAAGTATAGTAAAAAAATACTTAAACGTTTTAAGAAAAAGAACAACTTTGTTGAATTAAAAATATAATTAACTTCTTGTGACTGGGAGACAAACTTCTTGTAATCAGGTGAAAAAATTCAATATGCTTTTCAATATACGAAATTCAATATGCTATTCAATATTTTGAGCATATGTGTTCCTTAATGTAATGGCGTTTCTTAATGTTTGACCTTATGTTTGTCTGTAAATATACAGTAATCAGAAACACTTTAAAACGTGCTAGCATTGAAACGAACTTGTAAATTTTTTTTTTTTAAATCAGCAAATTTTTGTTTTGCTAAGTTTTTATCGCAATAATTTTGGATGAGGTCAATATTAAAGAAACTTCTTGCATATTATCTAACTTCTTTTTTTTTTCTCGGTGCTCTAATATAAATCTTTTCGGTCTTATTACTTAGCACCGCAGAAGAACATTTAAAATAAGTTCACGCCTCCTTCCTCACCGATGTTATAAAACTTGTTAAAGGTGGCGTCGAACCACGGATCACTAGCTTCTGATTCAACCGCGCTAACCACTGCGCTTCTTGGTTACAGTTACTTTCATAACAAGGTCTTTGACAGTTTATTTAGATTTGAAGGGGGCAGGATTGAAAAGCCTTGTTTTTCAAAAGAAAAAAAAAAAAAAAAACGTTTAGAAGGGGGCAAAAATACTTGACATAATACCTATAAATATCTATTTAACTTTGAGAAAAGACATTGTTAGTAGAATTCTAAATATTTAGTTATAAGCATTTAAAGCTTGTATCACGGAAAGAACGATAGGTTCCTTCCGCGATACAAGTTTCAATGGCTATAACAAAAAATTTAATAATCTTTATCTGAAACTAAAAAGGTTTTTATAGGTAGCATGTTAGGTATTATTGCCCCCATCAAAACGTTTTTATTTTCCAAATTAGTTTATAAAAATCATTTCTTTTGAAAAAGACTTTTTTAATCCTGCCCAGGGATCCACCCTATTGCCAATCTTTGCTGGTGTAACCATTTTTTTGAGGAATACTTCTACTTAGTGGAATGATCAGCAAGCTCAAAAAGTGGAGCCATATCGTGATTACAGCACCCACTTTTTCCAACTAGACAAATACAATATGTTTTTTAACATAACTTCTCATTCTGTTGATATGAACGTTGATATGAACTAATGTTTTTTTTTTTTTTATGCTTTACATTTTACTGTAACAATAATAAAGTCAATGCAGTTGCTGTAAAAATAGTGTTAGCTGTTAAAAGACGTCCGTTTTAAATAACTTTTCACAATTTTTTATGTGCCACTTTGTTTCTTTAGTAGTAAATTGTTTGCTTTTAAACATTACATCATCCAAATTCGAGAAACGTTTATTATGTATATTTAGATAGTGAGAACATTTTTGTTTATGAATTTTTGACGGAAAATACATTGACGACCTCAAGACAGCAACAATATTTTATACTTTAATATTCGGTTCATAAGTTATTATTATTATTTTGATAGAGGTGGGTGGTTGGGCGGTAAGGGAATAATAAAAGTAATTAATAGTCTAAGTTTTAAAGTTAAATTGAAAATAAAATTATTACACGAAATAAAAATAGCATAGAACAAAACATGTTTTTATTTGTTTACTCCAAAAAAAATTAATAAAAATAAGTTTTTTATTGTTTTTTAATATGATTTCCATGTTCATTAATCGTCATGTTTCATTCCATATCGTCACCATATGAGTTCGTTCTTTTTGAAGCTAAAACATTATTTATATAAAAATTAAAACATTTTAAAATTTTCTTGCACACATATTTATGAGATAATATTTCCTTGAATACATATAATTATGGGATAATATCTCTTTTGAAATGGTTACCTTGGAAACTATTTTTTCCAGGAAATCTATTTGCAGATTGTATTTTATTGCGTTCATCTGATGTCTCGTTATATGCAAAGTCATCATTAGAAGATTCAGATGGTTCCTAAAAAAAAGTAACTTTACTCAGTAATTTACTAGTCATTCTATTTAAAGTTTTTCAACATCTTTTCCAGATTTTCTTTAGTTGCAACACCAGTGGCAACTAATATTTTACTAATTCTTTCAAATTTAAAAATGGTTTAATTAAACTGCATTATTGTCCATACAGCAATCACCAATCATCAGCAAACATCACCAGTCATCAGCAAACATCACCAATCATCAGCAAACATCACCAGTCATCAGCAAACATCACCAATCATCAGCTAACATTATCAATCATCAGTAAACATTATTAACTTAAGCAATTTTTGTTAAATATATTTAAATAAAAACAAGTAATTTTGACTACTCAAAAAATTTTTCGCACAAATTTGCGTCCTTTTATTTAGTATTTATTTTGCTGTTTAAAACTAAATAAAATAAAATAATAAAACTAATATCAATGAAAACTTTTTACAAAAAACAGAGCAGACTCTATATAGAATAAAAAATGAGTATCACCAGAGTTGTTAGTCATTGGCGTTGCCTTAAGGCCAAAAATTAAGGCCTTGGTCTTGGCTTTGAAACTGTTGGCCTTGGTCTTGGCGTTGAAATTTTTGGCCTTGGCCTTGATTGTTTTGACCTTGGCCTTCAAAAAAAAAAAAAAACAACAACATAAAATTAAAGAATTAAAAGTTTTTATTCTTTATTTTTTTATGTATTTTTGTTTTCGGCTTTCATATATATCTATAAGTATGTTTTCTTATTGACTTCGTAGAATTTTGCGCATGACCTTGGTTTATTTTTACAACACGTAGTTTATTGTCACAGCAATTGTTACCTACAGGGTTGTTAATAATTGGCCTTAATGTTAGACAAAAATTTAAGTCTTTGGTCTTGAAAATGTTTGGCATTGGCCTTGAAACTCTCTTGGAAATTTTTATTGTGAAAAACTAAAAACGTATTTTCTGTTTGTATGAAACTGTATGTTTAATGATTTGCATCTTTTTGACATAACATTCCTAAATATTCAAAATTTGTTTTCTTCATTCTATTTATATTTTTATTATTATGTGCATTCATTTAGTTTACAAAGCTCTTTGTAGAAACTAGATTGATTTGTTGTTAATAAACAATTTTCATACAAACTACTGTTAAACTTACAAATAAAATGAGTTTTAATAGATTCATTGATGAATATTAAAGAATTTAATTAATTTAATTTCTAATATTTAATTTTTAATATTTCAGAGTTTATAAATTTAACTATAATTCTGTTGATCAACCTCAAACCCTTTCTTCGTATATTAGGATGTTATCTCCGAATAAGGGTACAGTTCTAAAACTAAGTTTAATGGTTCTGAGGCCACCTGGCAGTAATGTTTCTCAAACTCTGTTTTAGCTCTCAAAGTGGCTGATTTCATCAAGAGCTGCAAAATATCAGAGTGTTAACAGTGCCACATAAGGAGCCCTAAGTTACGACTTTGGATTAATTAGCAGGACTCTTTGAACTTAAACCATGCCTAAAGTAACTTAACTGTTTCAATATATTTTTCACAAGTCTGTTCAAGTAACTTTCCATCAGTTTAATCTTACTTCTTGAAAAACTCACCAGGTTTTCTTGTTCTTTGTGAGACAAATTTAAATTTGGCTGTTCCTTCCTCAGATCTCAGTATTGGTGGGTACAAAACTTTGACTCACAAAAACTCCAATTGTCACATGCTTGGTTGGGTGTATACTTATGTATCAATTCACTTATTTATCAAGAAATCAGGTTTGAATTCTTTGACCATTCTTATATGTGCTTCTGCTTAGCAACTCTTCACTCTGTGTGACTCGTCTCTGACCCTAGCTTGTGTTAAACTTTTCCTTGTTCTCCTTTAGGTGGTTACAACCATGGAATGTTTTCTATAAATCTTTTATTTCATACTTGTTCTTCGGACCCACCCTACCATTGCATTACTTACTACTACCCTAAAGCCGACTGTGATTCTTTTCATATTTTCCTTTATTATTGTCTTTGAATTCATATCTTTTTTCTTTTAGGTGATAAATACGTCTCCTGAATAACCTCATGGATCCAGGCAAGTATGAAAGCCTTTATTTCTTTTTCAAATCAAGTTTCAAGTCAAGCTTCATTCTACTTCATGGTTTTCATCTTATTGTGCAGCTACTATATCTAATCATAATCATTTTTTTCAAAATAACAACTCTCTTGAGAACAAACGCCTTTTACTAATGCAAGAAATAAATGTAAAAAGGTGTTGTCTGATGCTAAGCTTCGTTATTCCCAGTTTACTTAATCACGTATCTCATCTCAAAAGTTAGGCACAAGAGACTTTTAGAAAATCTTCAACAGTGTCATTAACAAAGGTCAAACATTTTATCTCTATTTGCAAATAACTTTTCATCTTATTTGAGTCTTGAATCTTATGGCCATACTCTCCCTGCCATTCCACTTAAATAGGTTAACCCAACAAAACTCACTTATTTACTGCAAACAACTATTGCAACAGTCAACATTCTTATATTAAGAAATGGCAGCCCTCTCACTAAGTCTTCTTTTTCATGTCTTCTTAGATTATTGTTTGCTACTGATTTCTCATGGAAACCATATATACAATCGATTGCAAAGTTAGTATCTGCTAAAGTTGCTTCTCTTTATTGTGCTTGCCATTATACTCTTGACACTTGCCATTATACTCTTCTCTACCTTTAAAAATCACTTTATTTGTCTCTGTATGGAATACTTGGAATACTGTTGTCATACTTGGGGTCTTTTAATTATCCTCTTTCTCTTTTAGACAAGGTCCAAAAATAAATTGTAAACATAGACCTGCTTGATCTGCCAAAAATTGAGCCAATGTTGTAAAGTTGCATCGCTTATTCTATACTACAAATACTACCATGGTTGCTGCCTATGAAAAAAGCTATCATCTCTAGTTCCATCAAAAATTCCAACCAAAACTCATTCTCGTTTGACTTGTCATTCAGTAGAGTCACTTCCTTTTACTGTCTCTGTCCCAGAATGCTCTAAAAACATTTGTCTAGTTTTTTTCCCTGCACTTCAACCCTTTGGGGTTTTTTCAACTCTCTTACATCTTCATGTTTTGATGAACCATACAACCTAAAACTATTTTTCAGCCAATTATTTCCTTGCTCTGAAACTCTATTCTCTTTTTTCTTGTAACTCATAACCTTAGCTGGTTGCTTGCCACCTTGTTAGGAGTGAATAAGAATTAAAAAAAACATTCAGATTATAGGGTAAACTGGGGTAAAGTGAACTATTTTTTTAAACTAAAAAGTTATCATGTTTAAAAAACTTTTTGTTAAGTAATTTAGCATTATTTTTGCTTAATACAACATTTTGAAATTTTTTAAATAAAAAAATTAATAAAATATAGCCTTTATTTTGATGTAATAGCCATTTTAAAAAGCGAGTTTGGCGGAAGTTTTAAAATTACGATCTCAAACTTTGCTATGGGTTTTAGTAAATTCATGATTTGTTGTTATTAATGCGAACATCAGTTATATAATTTATATACATTTTAAAGATAATATAATGCTGTTAAAAAAAAATTGTAGTTTTTATCATAATATAAAAAAGCTAAGCTTTTAGTTTGTAAATCAATTTAGTTCACTTTACCCCTTATTTTTCTGCCTATTGGGGGTAAAGTGAACTAGTCTTTTTCTTATGTTTTTTCATCAAATATTTTTAGTAGAACTGAATATATAAATTGTAATTACTTAACTAAATTGTTTACTCTTAAAATAAGTTGTTTTTTTTTTAAATATTCTTAAAATTATTTTCAGAAATATAATATATTGAAATAATGCCAAGAAACTACATTAAGAAAAAAGAATCTCGAAGAAAAACATATGCACCTAATTTGTTGCAAAATGCCATTTCGAAAGTTAAAAATAAAGAAATGACTTCGTATGCTGCATCAAAAGAATATGGTGTTCCAAGAAGTACAATTGCAAGACATCTTCTAGGCATAAAATGCTCAAAAGTTGGTGAAGGGCGACCAAACCGATTATCTGCTGATGCTGAAAAAGATCTTGTTTCACTTTTATCTGCATTTTCTGATTTTGGATTTGGATTAGATAAAAAACAATTTATGAAACTTGTTCAAACGTATATTGAATTAAACAGAAGTTTTCACTGAATACTTTAACCATCTTGTTTTATGGTTGAAAGACACACCCAAGCCTGTTTTGCTTATCTTTGATGGTCACATTAGTCATATTTCTTTAGAAACTGTTAAAAAAGCAGTTGAAAATCATATAACTATTTTGTGTTTGCCAGCACACTGTTCGCATTTGCTTCAGCCACTTGATGTAGGAGTCTTTCGCCAAGTTAAACATGTATGGCGTGAAATTCTGGCCAATTGGTATACCGAGTCAAGGCTGAAGGTGGTTGGGAAATCTGTTTTTCCATCTTTATTAAAAAAACTTTATGATACCTCCTTTAAGCCAGCTCATTTAGTACAATCCTTTGCCAAAACTGGAATTTTTCCCTTTGATCCATCTGCTATAGCATCTGACAAGTTAAATCCTTCTGAAATCTATGAACACCCTTTTTCTCAGAAAACAAATAACTATAATAATAACGTCCCTCAAAACATCGTTTTAGACACCAATGTCAATGATCAGAACGATACTTGTGAAAATTTTTCTATTGAATCAACAAATAAATACAATTCACAAAAAACTATAATATCAGTAGGAAAAGACTTAAACAATGAAAAAATAAATCAACTATCAATATCAAATGTAGATTGTTCTACTGGAAATAAAATCATTAGAGAAATAGTGAAAGAACAGTTAATGGCCACAAAGGGTGATGTTCGTTCATACAACAAACGACCTACAAAAAAAATAAAAAGACACTATGGAGGTGAGTGTCTTACATCAGAAGATGCATTTAAAAGATTAAATGATGAAGAAAACGAATGCTTTAAAAGAAAGATCAAGCAGCAAGGCAAAATACAAAATAAAAAAACTAATTTATTAGAAATAACAAACACAAAAGAGTTAAAGATGAAGTAGTTCACTTTACCCCAATGTGGGGGTAAAGTGAACTAGTGGACATGTTTTTTTTGAATATATATTTAATATTGTAAAAGTAGCTTTTAATCTTAGTATTTTGTTTTATATTGTACCTAATACTTTAAATGGTATAAATTTTGAAAACTGCAAAATGTTTTGGCTTTTATTTTGAAAATATTTCCTTTAAATATCAAAAACAGTTCACTTTACCCCAGTTTACCCTATTAAAGATCTTTGCTTTCTATAACTAACTTTGTATAATAAACTAACTGGCAAACCTGGTTAATTGCTGAAATGAGGTGAGCACAGTCAATGCATTTTTATCACTAAAACAAAACATCTTTGGAAATTGAATCAGAATTTATAATCAATTGAAGTTCTTGAATGATTTGTAATTATTGTCAGTAAAGATATAAAAGGAAGAAAGTAATTTCAGAAAATGGTGTCCAAATATTCAGAGATGAAATAAAGTTGGCTTTTAAAATTATTTTTTTTTAAATCACCCATTAAAAAGATTAATTCTTTTTTGAAAAAAAAAACTTTTTTTTTCAGCAAAATGTTTTAAAAAAAAAAAAAAAAAACAAGGTATGAACCATTAAACTTATTAATCTTTATTTTATATAGTGATAGGGCCTACTATGATCACACTTTAAAGAAACTTCAACAGAGACTCTAAGAATTAGGGTTTTTACATAATTAACTTTCCAGAATTAACTTAACAGAAATGTCAAGTAAAACCTATCCGAAAAAAATATTTTTTACTGCTTATATTTGTAAACATATTTTTTTGTGTTTATAAACATATTTTATACTGCTTATGTTTGTAAACATATTTTATACTGCTTATGTTTGTAAACATAACTAAAGTCATCTTTTAAATCAAATTTAAAGATTAAAAACAAATAAATAAGTTTAAATAAGTTGAAATGTTTTCAAGTAATGAATGATTTCTAATGGTGATTTGGTGTTTATCAATAAACACCAAATCAAATATTGAGAAATCAATAAAAAAGGTCAAAATTTTGGAAGTGCTACTGACAAGTAGGTAATGCTGGGTGGTTTTAAATTATTACCTATAATACAAACTTGTTATTTCAAAATGGTATCAAAATAAAAAGTCATTATGAGGTCATTTTAAAAAAACATTCAATTTATAATAAACTGTATTGACCAATAAAATCTATAGTTATTAGTGATTGTAATTATTGAAAGTCGTTGTTTGCTACAAAATAATACCGTTGAATTTTTTTTTAAGTCATCATAAGATGTGCCTCCTCTTGATCTCTGCTTTGAAGCTTCTCTAATTTCTTCCCAGCGATTTTTTCTTTCCAATGATTTTTTTTGATAAATATTATCTTCAGTTGAAGATGGCACTATTTGAGAATGTAATCCTGAATCTGCAGTAAACTCTATATAAAAAAAATTTAAATATATATGTAAAATATGTAATTAAAAAATAAAAAAATTAAATATAGGATGTACTATCTAGTGTTTGGAATTTAAACTAACAATTATTTGACATTTCAAACGTCAAGGTCATTAAAAAAATACAGATATTTAGTATAAAGTCTGATATTTACAAAATGGGTTGCTTTTCGCTTGAACAAAGTTGAGAAATATTAAAAACTTATTTCCAAAGTGGTGAGTCTCCAACACAAACTGTGAGAAATTTGAAAAAAAAATTGGACAAAAAAGACGTGCCTTCAGAGGCATTTCTACGACAATTTGTGAATCATGTTTGTGAAACTGGTTTACTAGTGAATAAAACAATATGTAAATGCCCATTTCCAGCAAGATCAACTGAAAATATTGCTGCTGTGAGTGATAGTATTTATGAATGTCCATCAACATCCATTCGCCATTGATCTCAAGAGTTAAAGCTTTCATGGTCAACTTTGCAACAAATTTTTTTGACTATCCCAGCCATCTACACTTTGCAAATTGGACACAAGATCATTTGGAAGAAGACGCCGAATTTCGCCAAAAAATCATCTTCTCAGACAAAGCTCATTTCCACCTCGATAGTTATGTTAATAAACAAAACTGTCGCATTTGGGGAAGCGAAAACTCGCACATCATTGAGGAGAAGCCAATGCAACCACAAAGAGTGATTGTTTGGTGTGGTTTTTGGTCAGACGGCATCATTGGCTGATTTTTCTTCAAAAATGAGGCAGGAGCCACAGTAACCGTTAATGGTGAGCACTATTATGCCATGTTATCTGATTATTTTTTTGACCAAATTGAAGTCGAAGACTTTCACGATATTTGATTTCAACAAGATGGGTCATACAGCCCACATTACAATAGATCTTCTGCGCAGTGTCCTTGAAAATCAAATAATCAGCAAAAATGGTGATGTGAATTGGCCGCCAAGAAGCTGCGATCTGACACCGTTAGACTATTTTCTTTGTGGAGCAGTCAAAGACATATGTTACACCAAGCATCCAGAAACAATTGGTAATTTGAAAAATGAAATTGAAGCTGCTATTGTTGCAATTTGGCTGAAAGCAATAGAGAACGTACTGAAAAATTGGGTTGATTAAATAGGGTATTGCCAAGTCAGTCGTGGTGGACATTTGAATGAAACTATTTTCCATAAATTTTCCGTGGGACACCCTGTATATACTAAAAATACCAAACTACTTTTAGTAATAATTTATCAAAATTTGAGAGATCTAATACAAAAAAATAGATAAATAATTTCCCATCTCTTTTTGATTTGTTAACATATTCCAAACTCAGTAGCTAGCAGAGTAACAACAAGTTTAACAAAATTACAGAAGATGTTGCATGAAGTGTTGCAACATAATTATAGATGCTGCTGAAACATAAATATAAAAGATGTTGCATGAAGTGTTAAAATGTAATTATAGAAGAACTAGCATGAAGTGTTGAAACATAATTATAGAAGATGTTGCATAATGTGCTGAAACGTAATTAATGATTTATCAAAATTATTAAAATAAAGAATTAACTTTTAAGCATTTGGGAAAAGAAGAAAGGAGGGGGGGGGGGAGAGAGAGAGAGGGGGAGAAAGTATTAAGATTAAGCCATGGTGATATGATTCTGATGATCTTCTGCTAAACATTAAGTTCAGCAAAAAAGTACTTAAAACTATTCATATTTTATTAAATTTTTACAAAATGTTATTCATCAAGTTGTAGAAAAAAAGAAAAAAAAAGAAAGTATTTTGATCAACAAAACAAAGATAGACAAAAAATATATTAAAAAACCACCGATCATCGTAAAAATGTTTCAAAATAAAGAAATTAAAACACAAGGCTGCAAACACTGTATATCACATACTATGAGACTAAGGTCTGTTAAACTCTAAAAGATAAACTACCAATCCAAATCCAAGTCCAACAAAAGCTGAATATTATTTTAGCCAATTTGTTCACCAAAAAGTAACAAGGTAACAGTTGTTCACCAAAAAGTAACAAGGTAACAGTTGTTCACCAAGAAGTAACAAGGTAACAGTTGTTCACCAAGAAGTAACAAGATAACAGTTGTTTAACAAGAAGTAACAAGATAACAGTTGTTTAACAAGAAGTAACAAGGTAACAATTGTTTAACAAAAAGTAACAAGGTAACAGTTGTTTAACAAAAAGTAACAAGGTAACAGTTGTTCACCAAGAAGTAACAAGGTAACAGTTGTTTAACAAGAAGTAACAAGGTAACAGTTGTTTAACAAGAAGTAACAAGGTAAGAGTTGTTTAACAAGAAGTAACAAGGTAACAATTGTTTAACAAAAAGTAACAAGGTAACAGTTGTTTAACAAGAAGTAACAAGGTAAGAGTTGTTTAACAAGAAGTAACAAGGTAACAATTGTTTAACAAAAAGTAACAAGGTAACAGTTGTTTAACAAGAAGTAACAAGGTAACAGTTGTTTAACAAAGAGTAACAAGGTGTTGGTGTATACTCATACAGATAATCAAATCAAAACAAGAAAATTTCAAATTTTAAAGTATTAAATTATAAAACAACTGAGCAACAAGAATTTCTTATAGTACTTAGCAGAACACAGCAAGATGTGATGGGATCAGGAATCTAATGTCTATGTACAATCAAGAGTCTGATGTCTATGCAAAACACTTTGTAAAGTGACACCTCACTTTACAAAATTGATATCTAATGGGTATACTGAAACTAACATACCAATGTACCATGCACAATCACTTTATATCAATCTCATGGAAAATATTTGATCATGAATAGATTTTAAAAAATGATAGCAAACTGTATCACATCAGTTAAGAACCTCAACAATGGGTTTCGTAGTTATGCAATTAAAACATTTTCATATTTGTTTGATACAACATTAGCCAATCACACATGTTTGATGGAACATCTGTCAATCATATGTCAATGTTTGATACAACAGTCAATCATGTCAATGTTTGATACAACAGTCAATCATAGATCCTAATAAAATATTGATAAAATCATACATGTTTGATACAACATTAGACAATCATACATGTTTGATACAACATTAGCCAATTATGTATGCTTGATACAAAATTAGCCAATCATAGAAGTTGATAAAAACATTAAACAAAGAAGTGATGATACAAGTATTGCAAAAAAAATATTTAATAACAATTTATTTAAAAACTTGTTTTTTAAAGAACTCAAAAAAAAAATCTTACATACCTGTTACCTTTTCTTTAACAGGCAATCCATGCCTAAATTAATAAAGGTTCATTATAATGTGTCCATTACTGACAGATAAAACGTTGTAGGGGCCATTAAAACTTATTTAACTTTGGGTTATTGCTAAGTTTTCTAAGCAGAAACAATGCTAATCTTATCTCAATAATCTGTACACATCCAGCAGGTATTTATTGTTCCAGTAGGCATTTATTTATTGTTCCAGCAGGTATCTATTTATTGTTCTACTAGGAATTGATTTATTGTTTCAGTGGATAAAATATTGTATACATCTGTTCCACTTGGAACAAATGTGTACAATATTTTGTACACATCTGTTTCAAATATCAATACACCTGTACTTTGAGGTGAAATGTCAACACAACTTTACCAGCAGATAAAATATCAACACACCTGTATCAACATATAAAATATCAACACACCTGTATTAAAAATAGATTAATAACTCAACTGTATTAACTGACAAAACATCAACACATCAACACAATATCATTATAATTGTACAAGTCATGTGATCATCATGATCATCATGGAAAAAAAACTGCCAACCTGCATTTTTTGTAGATAAATACAATACAATATCTGCAAAGTATATAAAACCATATAACATCTACTGTCTGATGTCACCAAATTTTATCAAAAAAATCAATTTTCTTAAGCATTCAACATTGGAATAACATCTTTTAGTCATTATGTCAAATTAAGTGCCCTATTAAAGTGCGTTATAAACTAAATTTCTAAGAAATTAACTTTTAACTTTTGTTTTATAACTTCATGGGCATCATCCATAGGAAACAATATTTTGAAAATTTAAAAATTAATGAAGATAGTTAATTTAAATTTTATCACTATACAGAAAGAAAAAAAATAATGTAAGTGCTCCTCAAGGCATCAGAAATGTTAAAAATACTGACTTAATTCAGTTAAAAAACCTACAAAAATTGTTGCAAGAAAGAATTCAAAAAAAACACACAATCATTAAATACAAATAAATATCATCATCTTATTAAATGTCAACAATTGAAAGTTTCCATTGCTAGCATATCTTGGTGAAACTGTTTACTGTATTCTTAATTGACTGCACTATTATTGAAGTTTCAGCCAAAATCTAAATGAAATCAAAAAAAATCTAAATGAGTGCATCTTGATGGATATTCTGCTTTCCAGGTTTTGGTAACTACTTAAAAGCCTTTTGGAAGAAGCTAGATTGCTGCTGAGCAAACCATCCCTCTCTGGAAAACATCAAAACTCCAAGTTCTGCACTTGCAATTGCAGAATACAAGTCAAAAAATTCAATTATTCGCTTCACTTGTGGACAAAAAAAAAAAAAAATCAAAAAGTGACTTTACCTGCTGTTATTTTTAGAAATATAAAAAATCAAAACTACTTGTTGCAATTGCTTGTTTCATCTGATCTAATGCTAACAGTCATCTCTGCTATTCCAAAGACACACACAAAAACAACTGTTTAATGCATTTGCAATGGAGAATCAAAAGAAACTCAAGCATCTTAAAATCTTTGCACAATTTCTGTTTATTGTGTTCATTTAATTTTCTTGAGTAAAGCTATAACACTCTGTAGTCTTTCTTCAAATGCACAAGTGTGCAACAGGAACAGAAAAATGTAAATTGTCATTGTGAGATAGTATTGCCTTCAAACTTCTTGAGGAACCATCTATTAATAGTCTCCATTCCTCTGGCAATTGAGTTACTTGCATTTCATTAAACAGTACATTAACATTTATGTAGTGGCACAGAGACTGATGCGTTGCATAAAACGTTGCATATGCTGCATGCCTGCTCTGAAAAGCAGACACTATACTAGCAGGATCTATAAACTTCATTCCCTCAAGTATGACAATAACAAGTTTAACTTTTGATGACTTGGGTAACAACAGTAATACTAATAAGTATTATTGTTGTTACCCTTACACTGCTAATCATCATCATTGTTACTTGAACCACTATTTCTCTCACTGCTTCATAAAATGGAGGAACCAAAATGGACAGATCATCATTGTGAGGCATTGAAGCAATGGAAAAAGGTATATTAGGATACATTCTATCCTTCCATTGTTGACCCAATCTTATACCTAAATATGCTTCAGGTAAATAAATAGGCGGTAAAGTACTTTACATCAGGACTGATATTATCTTTAAATTTTTTTGGTTCAATAAAATAGAACAGAAGCAATCTAGTGATAACTGCTAACTAGTGATACCTGGTCGCAACCTTTACTTGCCATAACTAATTAAATTTTAAAAAACAATATGTGAAAATTTTATTAATGTTTGAAAATTCTTAATTCTAAAATATGTTATAGATAACAAGTTGACTAAAATAATATATCAAAAATCTAATGTTCTGCAAATTGTGTAAAATTATAAGCATTTGTTTCTAAAAAATTTTCATTCAAAAAACCACTGACATCAGTGACCTTAAATTGTATAAGAATTATTGAAACACTTATCCAAACAAAATTTTGTTATTAAATAATATGATAAACAATAAATATATAGAAAAGCAATTAACTCAACGATTATATTTTAAGACCTTTAAATATTTAAGTTGGATTTACAGTGTACGAAATTGAACAATAAAATCAGCAAAGTGAAGGAAAAAAATGCCATATGTAAAATCATGTCACCTGTCAAAACATCTCAATAAAAGATCAAAATATAGTGCAAAAAATGCAATTAGTGGGTATAATGCAAAATTAGTGGGTATAATGTTGTTAAATTATTGGGTATAATGTTATTAAATTAGTGGGTATAATGTAATTAAATTAGTATAATGTTATTAAATTAGTGGGTGTAATGTTATTAAATTAGTGGGTATAAACAAAATTAGTGGGTATAATGTAAAAATGGGTATAATGCAAAAGATTACCCATAAAACCATTCTACAGATATCAGAATAAGTTTAAAACATTTAAAACTGACACAATCTTTTTTTCAGTAATTTAAAACTGACACAATCTATTTTTCAGTAATTTAAAACTGACACAATCTATTTTTCAGTAATTTAATTTTCATAGTTCCAATTTTAAAATTAACAATTGTCAAAATTAGTAACTGTCAATAAGCTTATATAAAATATGAACAATTACCTTCTTGAAAAGTTCCGATATTGATCAGCCAGTACCGAATTTTCTAAAGCCAAAATCTTCTCTATACATTGATTGCGATAAGAGCCAACACCAAAAAAAAATCCAGCACTAAATATTCCTTAAAAAAACAACTTTACTAAATCTCTCTTTTATCATACTTCAATAAGTTTTGATCCAGCACTAAATATTCATTAAAAAAACAAACAACACTTTAAATCTCTTTTTTGTCATTCTTAAATAATTTTCATAAAAAAAGCAATATATAAGAATAACCCAAAAGCAAACAATATGTGCTCTCAAATGTTCTTATGGCTTAAATAATCTTAACCATAAGTATATGACAAAACCATGCTTAAACCATGTTAAACCATAAGTACACTTAATACAAGTTACATACCAAACTTTCACCAAAAAATATTAGATCTTAACTGCAGATACTCTTAAATACTCTAACAATACAAACCAAAATCCAGTGAGGTCAGGTCAAAACACCGAATAAAAAAAAATATCGTTGCAGCAAAGTTGAATAATAAAAAAATGTTTACCTGCATAAAATAGCAAAGATCTCTTCCTTAACAAACCTAGAAAAAATTTCCTGTTTATTCAACATAATTCAATGAGATACACCCTTTCTTGCTTTTATACAAAAAAAAGTTATTCAACATGTCATCCACTTTTTTTTTTAGCGAAAACAGTAAAAAATAATAATTTTTTCTCAAAAAAGGAATTACTAATAAATGTTTCTGAAGAATTTATTTTTCACAGGGATTGAAAGTCACAAAAAGAGCTTCATAGTTTAGAGTTAATGGTCTTTACCTGAATTCTGTAGTCTTTTGGCTTAAAAAAAAACTCCTTTTTTCTGAACTTTATAGAGAAGAAAAACAGGACTATAAGGGTCTAAAATATATAATTTTTAATGAAAAGTCTTAGACTCCCAGATTACAACAATAGGTTCTGGGTTCAAAAGCTCTGGGTTCAAAAACAATAGACTGCAAGACTCTAAAAGTATTTTTTCTTTATGGAGTTCTAAATTCCTGAATATTTCTAAAGCTTCAACATGCTAGAGCTCAGTTAAATAAGGAATATTTGGAATTCCTGAACTTCAGTTTGAAACTTTCAATCCCTAAAGTATCACTTCTATTTTAATAAAAAAATTTACCATAATTTTCTGCAGCTTTGATTAACAGAATTGAAATAGAAGCAGTAGGTAAACCTGAGCAAAGAAAAATTATAACAATTTTAACTTTATATAATATAATGGAAAATTATAACAAATTTAAATTATTTTTTATTCAGCATGTTTGCTATCTAGCAAAATATTTGTTATTTATTATTTATCATATATATTTTTAAAGCTAAAAAAATCACCCACTGAAATGCAAAGCATGAAAAAAATTTTTTTTAATGAAATATGCGTGGAATAACAAAAAAAATACCCTGAGTTTAAGTTCCAAACTCAGTCTATGTAGTTTTAATAAAAATGTCTAAAAATATTAGTTAGTAGAGTTTCATCTCCATTTAATAATGCTAAACTCAATAATAGTAGTAGTTGTAGTAGTAGTAGTAGTAATAGTAGTTGTAATAGTAGTAGTAATAGTAGTAGTAGTAGTAGTAGTAGTAGTAGTAGTAGTAGTAGTAGTAGTAGTAGTAGTAGTAGTAGTAGTAGTAGTAGTAGTAGTAGTAGTAGTAGTAGTAGTAGTAGTGCCTACACTCACTTGTATTTATAGTTTTGTATTTGCAAATATGAAAAAAACAAAAAAAAGTTTTCATGCTTAGCGATGAATATGGACTCATAAAATTGTCAGGATATTGCTACAGACGACAGCGCACTAAACCACTAAGCTACATAATATATATCTTTTAAAGAAAACAAACATTTTATAAACTTTTTATAACGTAAGCAATATATAACATCCACTTGTATAGCATTATGCACAAACATTCGTAAGTGTAAACATCAATACTACTGACAGCAGGAAAGATGATGGGATCATATATTTAAGTATGTATAATATAAGGAAAACTTAAAAGTCTTTTTGTTTAAGCTATTTTGTTTTGAATATTTGTATTAATGTTATTGTATTTAAACAAATCAGCAATATTAAAAAACAAAAAAAATATTTTATTATCTGAGTGGAAGACTTAAAACTTTGATGACTATTACCTTAATGCTCTAAGAACATTGCAATCACCGAGCTACTATTACCTAAGAACATCGCAATCACCAAGCTACTATTACCTAAGAACATCACAATCACCACTACTATTAACTAAGAACATTGCAATCACCGAGCTACTATTACCTAAGAACATCGCAATCACCAAGCTACTATTACCGAAGAACATCGCAATCACCAAGCTACTATTACCAAAGAACATCGCACATAATCACTGAGCTACTATTACCTAAGAACATCGCACATAATCACCGAGCTACTAATGCTATTTCTAAGATCTTAAAAAAATTTTATAAAAATTTATAATGATATTTTTAATTTGCTATGACTTCTCCTCCACCCCTTCCTTGATAGTTCTACTTGATAAAATTTATGTTATAATTTAATAATCACAAAAAACATTTCTTCGGAAACATTTTTCTACAAGAAAAGTCTTATAGACAGAGCTAACTCTGACACACCTAGCTCACCATGAATTGTTTTCTGGGTCCTCTTTTGTACATCTAAGGCAGCATTCTTAAATCTGCATATCTAAGGCAGCAGTCTTGGTCAGGAAGGCGTGTAATCATGCACTATTATATGACCACGGAAATAATAGTTTGTTTTGACAACTTGACCATGGCTGGTTTTGAAAATTTGAAAACTTATCCAGACTTTACAAAAAAAAAAACTTAAAAATAAAATAAAAAGTACATAACTAAACTAAAGCACAAAAAATAACAACATAACTCAGCTAAAGTAAAATTCAAAAAACCAAAACACTAAGATTATTTAAATCAAGTTTTTAATTAAGTGGAATAATAAACTTCAAATTTTTATAAAAAATCCATTAAACACAATCATTTTTTTAAAGTTGTTGAAAAAAAAAAATTAAAATTATTTTTTTAAAGATTAACTTTTATCATAACAAACATGTATAAAAAAATTCTTTATATAAAATATCATTAGCAGTGGTTTGTTTCTTTATTTAAAAGCATTTCAATAATATAAAAGCATTAGTAAAGATCAAAGTTATTTAATTATAATGGCTTTTAAAAACATTTGTTATTTTTTTTTAACAAAATTTTTTATCACTTTTAGTGTATTAACTTTAATGATTCTTACATAATCAAAAGATATTTAATTCTTATGTAATAGATATAAACATTTTAATAGATATAAATATTTTATGTTTTATGCTTTGTTTTAAGCTACAGGTATAGTTTAACAATTTAAATTGGAAGCTTCCAGAAGAAGCATCTAGAAGCATCCAGAAGTTTCCAAAAGAAGCATCTAAAAGCATCCAGAAACATTTAGAAGCATCCAGACGCATCTAGAAGCTTCTAGAAGCATCGAAAAGAAGCATCTAGAATCTTCCAGAACAGGTTCACACAGGTTCATTTTACTATATAAGAGACATGTAAACCGACATGTAATTCAGTCAGTATATGGAAGTCAATCAGTCAGTATTATCAAGACAGTTTATCGAAGTGAGTTTTATCAAAGTGTTTTATCGAAGAACATCAATACAAGAAGTGAAATACAACAAGTGTTTCATTATATCAATACAATCCACTTCCAACCAAGACGTTGTGTTCCACAGAGCATTATTGTATCATCACAAGGTAAATATAACACGGTAAGCCTTGAGAGCGTGATTATTTATTTTTATTTTTTTTATGACTTTAGGTGCAATTATGGCTCCCGACAGTCTTGGATTGGAACTAAGAAAGAAAATTATTGGCGATTACGTAAGTAGAGTGTCACAAAAAAGTATTTGTGATAAATATCGTGTGAAAAAATGGACGGTATCAAGACAAGAAAGCAGAAAATAAAGGTGGAAGACCGCGTTCCACCACTTCTAGAGAGGATTCTATGATCGTCAGATCCGTCAAGAAGGATCCCTTGATATCATCAGTCGAGATACAAAAGCAATTAGAGCTGCCTGTATCGGACCGAACAATCAGACAACGTGCTGTTGAAGCTGGATTGTTTTTTCGACGCCCTGCAAAGAAACCGCTGATTTCACTAAAGAATCAGAAAAAAACTCCTATTTGCTATATCTCATATTGACTGGAATGTGTAGAAATGGTGAACTGTCATGTTCAGCGATGAATTGAAGTTCAACATCATTGGGAGCAATGGCATTTGCCATGTATGTCGACCGGCCGGAAAACACCTTAATTTACGTTACTGCCATAAGACCGTGAAGCATGGTGGAGGCAATGTAATCGTTTGGGGATGTTTTTCAGCTAAGGGTCTAGGTCTAATACATCGAATCGACAGAATAATGAACTGTTTCATGTATAAAAATATCCTGAAAGATGTTATGTTACCTCATAAAACACACTGCAAAAGTAGTCAAGCAGTGGTTTCAAGACAACCACCTATCAGTGATGGATTGGCCGCCTAAATCTCTGGATCTCAACCCTATCAAGAACCTGTGGGAGATCGTCAACCGCAGAATTAATCGTGAAAGTGTTCGTAATAAGGATCAACTGTTGAACAAATCCAAAAGGCCTGGGCAGCGATTCCACAAAGTTTCATTGATCACCTAATCGAATCTATGCCTCGAAGATGCAAGGCTGCGATCGACAACAAAGGATTCACCACGAAATATTGCTAGCAAAATACAGCTTGGTTAACATTTTGTGGAGTTGCATATGTTTTGTCTAGAAGGAAATCAACTTTTTAATACTTTTGATTAATTTATTAATTTTCGTGTACAAATAATGAACTTTGTTATGAATAAAACTTGAAGAACGTTGTCTCTAAACAGTTACATAGTTATTTCTTTAAATTGAAAAAATGCAGCACTTTTATATAAAGAAACTAAATTAGCATTATTTGGTTGCACTTGTTTTGTCTGATACTGTATATGCTATATGTTTTTTTTTCTTCTTCCTTATTTTTATTTTATTCTTATTTTTATTCTTATTTTATTCTTATTTTTATTTTATTCTTATTTTATTCTTATTTCTTAAAACTTTCATCAGCTTTTTCGTATAGCATATCAAAATAAAATTTAAATAAAAATTTGGTTGAGACTTGATGATTAAGTTAAATAAGCTGGTTTCAACCGAGCATCAAAATAGTTATAACCACGGAACGCACTTGGTAATTCATGCAAATTTAATATTTCATCCCATTGTTGATTCTCTTAAACATGTCGATTTGCCTTCATACTGCTGAGAAAAATTTCAGAGGTGAAACAATCTTGTAAGCTTGTACAGCTTTCTCAAACAGAATGATTATCATACATTATTATTATTATTATTATTATTATTATAGTTGTAGCCGTAAATTTACATAGAATGTACACATACAGCGAGCAGGGAAAACACCCCACTATAAACAACCAGTTTTATAAATATTTGTTCCAAACTTATTCCACAACCAGGAGTCTAGTCTATTTTTGAAGGAAATTACAGTGGAGTACAAAGTTATTTGCTCTGGTAGTTCGTTCCAGTATTTTGCTGATCTATTATACAAATGATTATATCTTGGAAGACAGTTTGGAACATACTCACGCCTTATTTTAGAATGGTGACCACGAGACATGGAGTTAATATATTTTGGTAGATATCATTAACTATATCAAAACAATGTATTAATTTAAAAATTTTGATTAAATCGCATCGAAGGCGTTGAAACTCAAGTGATGGTAGATTTAATCTTTTTAGCCTTTTGCAGTATTGAAGATGCCTCAAGCTGTAAGCCCATTTTGTTGCTTTGCGTTGAACAGATTCAACCAAAGCCATTAAAGAGTTTAAACTTTTCATTTTGTATTTAAAGTTATTTCTTTAAAACATGTGGTAAATTATTAGTTTACTAATTATATAATCTCTTTATTGATTAATTATCTTTTACCATAATGCTTAGATATTACTGTTGAATAAAATTTATTATACAGCATCACTAAATTTTTTAAATACACTAAAAAAAAAAAAAAAAAAAAAATGCTTTTGTGAATATTTCTTTTTTTGTAAATTTTTTTACCAATTTACAAGTAAATTTTGATTTTTTTAACCATTTTCCAAGTAAGTTTAAATCGGTAAAAGCTCAACCCTGATAAATCATTTCAATGTTTAATTATTTAACAGAAGTTATAAATTAATAATAAATACATTTCTACTAAATGTATGTGTTTTAAACTTTGTTATTTGACTTTTTAAAACTTTGTTATTCACTTTTCCATCATTCACTTTAATTTCTCATCAGATTAATATTCTTGATAAAAAGTAATAATAAAAAATGTAATATTAATTTTCAATAAGATTTTTCAATACTAAAATTATTAAATAACTTTAAATAAATATTAAAAAAAAAAATCACCTCGATAAAAAATGCTGTTGAATCGACATTCTTTTAAAACTTTTAGCTCTTCTTGGCTTAGCTGAAAAAAAAAATTTAATTATTTTTTTTTATAATTTCTTAATAAAAATTATTTTTCTGTAACAGAAACCCTTGCTCGAAATCTCATCCAAAGAGAATTTTGACATTTCGATAAATAAATTTGTAAATTTGAATATAAAAACTTGATTGCAGTTGGAGCAAGCAGATGTACTGTATTATCTTACAAGTTTTTAAAATTTCATAAATTCGTTTTTATAAACCTAAACTATTTTTTATAATTTTACTATTTAAAACATAATCATAAAAAAAATATTACTTAAAAATGATAATTTTTAAATACTGAGAAATTTCTTTATAGAAACGCTATCACAATTATGTTAATCAACCAATGAAAAATATTGTAACAAATCAAAATTAAATTTATAAACTACATTTATTTATAAGCATTACTTTCCAAACCAAAATAAAAATAATAAAAATCAACTGCAAAATAAAAAAAATTTAAAAAATGGGTTGTAAAAAAATCTTTCACTTAACATGAACTCTTCCTCAACTTTTTTTGTCGTCTAAGGGACTCATAAAAGTAACCTTTTATATAGAAACTTGCTTTTAAACTGCTTGCAAGTTTGTCTTATTAAAAAATAATCTTTCTTTATAGAAAAATATTTGTTTGGTTAAAATCGGCTAATATTGCGCTTGTGGGTTTGTATCTTTTGAAAATCTTTTTTTTAATACTTACTTTTTGAAAAAACAATTTTTAAATAAACTTGAAAAATATAACTTTCAACATAATTTTGTCTAATATTAATATAAAAATGTATTACATATGTGGGAGGACGAGGGTGGCAATGGTATTTGTATGTTATTTTACTTTTATATAAAAAAAATTTATCCTATAAAAAAATATATTCCACTATTTTAATCCAAGAGGCTTAATAAGCACGAACTGGCATAAATGCAAACTAGCATAAGTGCAAGGCGTTGCAAAAACTGGCACAAGTGCGAAGTGGCATAAGTGCGAAGTATAATAAGTTACGTTACACCAATATTTGCAATTTTGTTTGGCAAGTTCGCACTTATGCCAATGTTTCCAAATTCTTTTGGCTCACTTATGCCAATTCGCATTTATGCCAATTTTTGTAACTGCTTTGCACTTATGCCAGTTCGCACTTATGAAATTCACGCTTATTCAGTCGTCCCCTTTAATCAGGAAATACTCTGTTTCTTTAATAAGGATAAAAAGCTTGATTTAATTTCAAATGTCTTGACATTGCTAAATATTGTGACTCTCTGTAAAGACTAAAAAGAAGAAAATAAAATATAGCAATATCATTTGCTAAAAAATTTAATATTTTATAATCTTTTCCTTTACTTATATAATTTTTTTCCTTAACTTTTATTGTTGTCCATGACGCTCTAAAAAATAAACATTTAATAGAAAAATTTGCTACTAAATTGCTTGCCGGTTTGTTTATGATAGTAATAATTATTAATTAACAAATCTTTTCATTTTTAAAATAGGCTAATATTGCTTGTGGGTTTGTAACTTTTTTTTAATTTACTATGTTCTTTTTTAAAAATAAATTTTTTTATTTTTAAAATCGGCTAAGATTGCTTGTGGGTTTGTATTTCTTTTTAACTTTTTTTTTAATTTTTTTTTTGAAAAACTATTTTTTTAATAAAATTGAAAAAGTAACTTACAAGTTATGTTAACTTTGTTTAATATTAGTATAAAAATATAATACTTCTGTGGGAGGACGCGGGTTGCAATGCAAATGAAATATTTGTACTTTATGTTATTTTAACTTTTATATAAAAAATTGTTATCTTTTAAAAGAAAAATATTCCGCTCTTTTAATCAGCAAATACTTCAATTCTTTAGGATAAAAAGCTTGACTTAATTACAAATATCTAGACAAACGCATTGCTAAATATCGTGACTCTCTGTAAAGAATAAAAAGTAGAAAATAAAATATAGCAAAAATATTTACTAAAAACATAATCTTTTTGTACTAAAAAGTAAAAAATAAACTTTTTAATCTAAATTTAATAGTTCTGTAAACTAAAGATTGGCAGGTATTTTCTAAATAAACCTTGCGCAGACCTGTCAATCTTTAGTTTACGGAACTATTAAACTTAAATTAAAAAGTTTATTTTCTACTTTTTAGTATAAATAGATTATATTATTAGCAAATGTTCTTGCTATATTTTATTTTTATTTTTCAAAACTAATTCACTCCCAATAAAGCTACAATTACATTGGGAGTTATTGCAATTAGATTGGGAGTTAATAGAAAACAAAGAATATTGTTAAAGAGCAAAGAAATTGTTGAGAACTCATACAACCTACACCTTTTTAACCAAAAAAATGGTTAAAAAATTGTAGATTGTATGAGTTTTTTTTTTTGTAAAACATCTTCACTTTCATCAAGGCTGCAAGCAACCACAATTAGAGTTGAAAGTTACAGGAAGAGAAAAGATGAGGTTTATAAAGCAAGATAACAATTAACGGACAACTTGAAAGATTGCAAATTATATGAATCAAGAGAACAAGCTGAAGGAAGCAAATTAGGTTTGAATCTACAGACTATTCATTTATGTGCTTTCGTTTAGCACAACTTCACTCTATCGCCTTTCTCTTTGTTCTATATCGCTCTCCTTCATCCCAAGACTGCACTATTCTTGATGTTATTTCTGATCAAATTGACCAAGCCCTCTCTCTTTATCCATCGGCCAATATCGTCGTTGTTGGTGACTTTAATGCCCATCACACCAATTGGCTTGGCTCTAGTGTCAGTGACTCTGCTGGCGTTAAGGCCCTCAACTTTTGCCTTTCTCAATCTCTAACTCAAATAGTCAACTTTCCAACTCGTTTTCCAGACAACCCTAATCATTTACCTTCTCTACTCGACTTATGTCTTGTTTTGGATCCTAGTCAGTGCTCAATTTCTCCACATTCACCCTTAGGTACTTCTGATCACGGTTTGATCTCTCTAAAACTATTATCAAATTCTTCTACTTCATCAGAATCCCCCTATCATCGTACCACATACAACTACCTTAAAGCTGACTGGGACTCTTTCCGTGATTTTCTTCGTGATGGCCCTTGGGTAGAAATCTTTCGTCTTCCTGCTGACAAATGTGCTTCTTACATAACTTCGTGGATTCAGGCTGGCATGGAATCTTTTATTCCCTCTCGACGATTCCAGGTCAAGCCTCACTCTTCTCCTTGGTTTTCCTCACATTGCGCTGCAGCAATTTCTAATCGAAACTGTTACTTCCATATCTATCAGCAAAACAATTCTCCAGAAAACAGACATCTGTTCATTATCGCCAGAAACCATTGTAAAAAGGTTTTGTCTGACGCCAAAGCTCGCTATTCCCAGGTCATTAAATCTCGTATCTCATCACAAAAATTAGGCTCTCGAGACTTCTGGAGAATCTTTAACAGTATCAATAATAAGGGCAAATCTGTTATTCCTTCTCTCTTGTATGGTTCAGTCTTTGTCACCTCACCTAAAGACAAAGCTGAATTGTTTGCTAAGAACTTTTCATCAATATCATCTCTTGATTCCACTAGTTGCGTTTTACCTGACATAGCCGTCAAACAGGTTGATCCCTTGCTCGACATTCGCATCACTTCAGCTTCTGTATCTAAAGTAATTTCCTGCTTAGACTCTTCAACAGCTTGTGGTCCTGACAACATTCCTGTTGTAGTCTTGCAGAGGTGTTCTCCTGAGCTTTCATCCATACTCTCTAAACTATTTAACAAGTGCTTATCAGAGTCTTGTTTTCCATCATGCTGGAAAGCAGCATCTGTTATCCCTATTTTCAAAAATTCTGGAGAGCGATCTGATTCATCTAACTACCGTCCCATTAGTCTTCTTCCTGTCATAAGCAAGGTTTTTGAATCTTTAATCAACAAACACTTAATCTCTCATCTTGAATCAAATAACTTACTTTCTGATCATCAATATGGATTTCGGTCTTCTCGTTCTACAGCTGATGTGCTAACAGTAATAACCGATAGGTTTTACCGTGCATTAGATAGAGGTGGAGAGGTTAAGGCTATCGCACTTGACATTTCTAAAGCTTTTGATAAAGTTTGGCATGCTGGTCTTCTCCATAAGCTTTCTTCTTATGGTGTAGCTGGTAACGTCTTTAAGATTATTGAGTCCTTTCTTTCCAATCGTAGTATAAAAGTTGTCCTCGATGGACAACACTCTTCTTCACATCCTGTAACTTCAGGGGTTCCTCAAGGTTCAATCCTTGGCCCTATACTCTTTTTAATTTACATTAACGATCTTCCAGATATTCTCACATCTAAGGTGGCATTATTCGCTGACGACACTACCATTTACTCTTGTCATGATAAGAAGCCTACACTCTCTGATTGCTTGGAGGGGGTATCTGAGCTTGAAAAGGATCTCACTTCTGCTACAGCATGGGGTTCACAGTGGCTGGTGAACTTTAATTCAGATAAAACTCAATTTTATTCGGCCAATCGTTATCGTAATAATTTAGATCTTCCTATATTTATGAATGGTAATGTACTAGATGAGTCATCTACCATTCATCTTCTAGGATTAACTCTTACTTCTGATCTTTCTTTTAAACCGTATATCAAATCCATTGCAAAATTAGCATCTGCTAAGGTTGCATCTCTTTATCGAGCTCGACACTTTCTTACTCCAGATTCTATTCTCTATCTCTATAAATCTCAAATCCGTCCCTGTATGGAATACTGTTGCCACATCTGGGGCGGATCTTCTAATGATGCTCTTTCTCTTTTAGACAAGGTGCAAAAACGAATTGTAAACATAGTTGGACCTGCTCTTGCAGCCAATCTCCAACCTTTGTCACATCGTCGTAATGTTGCTTCTCTTTCTCTTTTCTACAAATACTATAATGGGCACTGCTCTAAAGAGCTAGCGTCCCTTGTGCCATCTACTAAAATTCATTCTCGTGTTACTCGCCATTCAATTAAGTCTCATTCTTTTTCTGTGACTGTTCCTAAGTGCTTCAAAAACTCTTATTCTTCTAGTTTTTTTCCTCGAACATCAGTTCTTTGGAATTCGCTTCCTTCATCTTGCTTTCCTGATTCATATAATTTGCAATCTTTTAAGTCATCAGTCAATCGTTATCTTGCTCTACAGATTTAGTCTTTTCTCTTCCAGTAACTTCCAATTCTTATAGTGGTTGCTTGCAGCCTTGTTGGAAGTGAAGATGTTTAAAAAAAAAAAAAAAAAAAAAAAAAATTCCAAAGAACTGATATTTGAGGAAAAAATACTAGACGAATAAGAATTTTAGTCTCAATCCTTTAATTGAAAGACAGTTCCAACTATGTTTACCATCCGTTTTTGCACCTTGTCTAAAAGAGAAAGGACATCATTCAAAGATCCGCTCCAGATATGGCAATAGTATTCCATACAAGGGCAGATTTGAGATTTATAGAGATAAAGAATAGAATCCAGAGTAAAAAAGTGAGATACAGAGTAAAAAAAGAGTTCACCAGCCACTGAGACAAGCCACAGAAGATACTTTTCAAGCTCAAATGTCCTCTCCAAGCAACCAGAGAGTGCTGGGTTCTTATCAAGACAAGAATAAATGGTAGTATCATCAGTAAACAATACCACCTTCAATGTGAGAATTTCTGGGAGATTGGTAATGCAAATTTAAAAAAAGTATAGGGCTAAGGATAGAATCTTGAGATACCCCTCAAAAGTTACAGGAAATGAAGAAGAATGCTGTCCATCCAGGATAAATTTTATACTACAATCGACAAGGAAGGGTTCAATAGTTTTAAAGATGTAACTTGATATACCATAAGAAGAGAGCTTATAGATAAGACCAGCATGCCAAACTTCAAAAAACAATTAAAAGCTTTAGAAATGTCGAGAGCAATAGCCTTAACCTCTCTACACTTATCTAATGCACAATAAAACTTGTTGGTTATTACTGTTAACAAAGCAGCAGTAGAGCGAGAAAATCAAAATCAATATCGATGATCAGAAAATAAGTTATTAGATTCAATGAGTTAGGAAAACATGAAGATGGTAAAGAGTTCTAAATCATTTTTTTGTTTATGGAACTAGAAATGATACCTCATTGACCATGATAGTATTTGTAGAAAAGTGAAACCAATGCAACCATACACAGTAGCGCCAGCTTTGCAGATAGAACTGGTCACTAGAACAATTACGTGTAAAAGTAATCTGTAAAGCAGTAAGTAATAATCTTCTCAGAGATGTGTCTTTTACTACTAGCAGTTTAAAGAACCCCATCACATCATAGCTACTTTACCTTTTAAATCAATAATATTGCAAATAATCAAAATTAAAAAAAAACATAAATAAAAAAACAAAAAAATAAATTTGAAAAATTGCTATAATATTGTTTGTAATTTTAGTCGGTTAAAGGTTTTTTAGCTGTTTTTTACTGTTAAACTTTTCCTTTTATTATTATTTTAAACACAAACATTTTCAGTATTGTATAACAATATTTCACAAACTGAGCATAAGTTTATGTGTACAGGTACAAATACATTGAAATAGCTTTTAGTTATATAATATAGAAAAGTGAATAAATTATAACATCTCAATTTAAAAATTACATTTTATAAAATGAATAACAATATATTAATGTTGAAGATATAAATTGAATTTATGTGAGCAATACTGCCCTATTACAAAATAGACAGTATGTGAAAAAAAAATGAAAAAAAGACTTAGGACCTGAATTTACTTCATTAACATATATTCTCTCATGGTATAAAGCAAAAAGAATGTATTCACTTTCTTACCTAAAACATGCTAACAAATTAATTAATAATTTTAGTACATAGCAAAAAGATTGTATGTGCTTAATTATGTAATTTAATAAAAAATTAAAAAAATCATTAAAACCTCAGGACCCAAGAAAAAAAAGTTCTATAGAACTTCTATAAACTTTTGAAACATATGGCCTATAGAAATTCTATCGAAATTTTATAGAATTTCTATAGAATGTCTATTAACTTCTATAGAAATTAATATAAAACTTTTTTTTTTATAGAAAGAAAAGTAGAAAAAAAAGTTCTATAGAAATTTCTATAGAAATTAACAGAGATTCTATAGAAATTTTATAGAATTCTATAGAAATTCTATAGGACTTTTTTTTCCTGGGTAAAGCTCTTTTTTGAAGTCAATTCATGATATTAAAAGTTTCTGACATGACACTAAGCTGACTGGTAAACTAAATATGTTAATTGTTTTTAAAAAATATCTCAGAATGGAAATTTTGCACTTACAAACTATTTTATAAGTAGGGCAGAATATTTATCCCTTTATTTAATTTTTTAAATGAAATTTAGAAAATATTTTTTTCATTAGCATTATGATCAACAATATTTGAGTGACTGGTAGAAATCAATTACAACAACAAATAACAATGACATTTGAATGAAATGTAGAACTTGAATACAGTTTATGATTTAGAAAAAAGAAAAAACTACTTTATACCGGAATTCGTTGTTGATCATTTGGATTGGCATTAGATTCCATTATTTCATTTTATTTAAGCTTAGTATTTTCTAAAAAAAAAAAGATTTATGCAAGTATATATGTTCATACTGTCAAAGATATATAGGCAAGTATATTTGCTCATACTGTCATAAGTATATATGCTCATACTGTCAAAGATATATATGCAAGTATATATGCTCATGCTGTCAAAGAGAAATATATACACACATAAAAAGTCTTCATAAAACACATTTGCAGCACACTTTTTTTGTCACTACACGTTTTGAAACAAAATTTTGCTTGCTTTGCTTAAAGTACCTTTTATTTAAACAAATAAACTCATTCATAAACTAATTTAGTACATACATCAATTGACTTGTTAGAGACATTTACAGGGAAATATACAAAAACTAAATAAAGGGTCTGAGTTCAAGAGTTTGGACAGAAAGTATACTTATTTTTATTATCATACTTTTGTACTAAATAATTATACAATACAATAAAATTTAACTTTGTACATAGATACTACTTTCCCTCAGTAACCATCAGTAAATGCATTTACAAAAGCCCCTATACCTATTCCAGTATGGTATCATTAGTGATATTTTATGAGCACGACCCAGGCGCTAAAAGATATATAAATATATACATATAAAAATATCTTTGCATACTTAGGCTTGCATGAAACATGAATGAAAAAACTTTCTGGATTCAAGTCAGCATTTTAAAACTTAGTTGGGCAAAAAATCACAGACCCAACTTAATTACAAATGAATATATACACAGTTCGAGGGCTTAGTTTCAAATAACATCAAAATTTATTTTTTGAGTCACTACTTACTGAGGGCTATATATATACTCTACTGGGAACAAACTTTGTTCCCAGTAAATATCAAAAGTTGCTTTTTAGTATCTTTGCTCAACATCAAAATTTAGGCCCAGCAAATGTCAAAAATATTATTATTTCAAAAAATGAAATTTAAAACAATATTATATTTTATATTTTTGTTATCTTTTAGTTAAAAAACTTTAGTGGGATGTATGTACATACATCCCACTTTTAGGGGTCTTTTAAGGCCCTTAAACATCAGACAGGTCCCTAATATCATAAAAAAAGTTCTTTAAAAATATATTATGTTAGGTCTTAAAAGAAGTGTAGTTTTATAAAAATTTAAAAAATCATTATAATTTTATAAAATTACATTTTTGGCAAAAAAAACTGTATTAAATTTTTTTTTTTTTATTGTTTTTTTAAATTTTAATTCCAGTATTATTCCTTTATATAGAACACATTTAGAAGGTGAGAACAGGTATTTTTTTAAAAAGTTGTTTAATGGGACACCCTAATATTTATTTTTTAATTATTTTTTTTCATAATTGATTTTTTAAAATTATATGCATATATATATATATATATATATATATATATATATATATATATATATATATATATATATATATATATATATATGTATATATATATATATATATATATATATATATATATATATATATATATATATATACACATAATTTATATGCATAAAATACACAAATTATATGCATATATTTTATGCATAATTTATATGCATTAATACACAAATTATATGCATATATATACATACATACATATATATATATATATATATATATATATATATATACACATTTATATACATACATATTAGTGATGTACCGATTGCACATTTTTGGCCGATGCCGATGGATAGGAAAAGGCCGATACCGATAGATTAACTAGCTATTATAATTTTGAAAATATAAAACCATACAACTTTAAATCGTGTAAAATTTTTCATGGAATCAGAACTGGTAAGCAAATACGTGGACCCAAATCAGAGTCAAACCTTTATTTTTAAAGATATTAGAAAAGCTCAATTAAATAAATATACATTTTTTACTTTTTTTTAACTATGAAAAGAAAACTTTCAAAAAATAAATACAATTTTAGAGGAACACTTTTTATTTCAATTTTAAAAAGAAAATGGTATTAAGATAAGCAGTTTACTTAGAATTTTAGGCTCTTTATAAAAAATAAATAAAAATAACCTTTATAACATGAAATATATACATTTTCTTAAAATAAAATAAGAGACTTCAAAATCAAATACAAAAGAAAATAATAGCTTTAAGATTCTAAAGGAAGCACCAATAGCAGTTGTAACAATATTTAGTATTTAAAATTGTGTATACGAATATTGTAATGTAAAAACATAAGCATTTCTCCTGTTTCCGGAGCCAAACTACTTCATTGTGGAGAATAAATTTGTCCTCCACAACTAAATAATCGTTCACTTTCAACAGAAGATGGAGGGCATGATAAATACTTCTGAGCTATTGGAGCTAGTTGTTTAAAGTTATTTCTATTTGCTCCCCACCATACTATAGGACTATCTTGTTGCATGATTATGTCTTGACTCAAATACATTAAAAACTTCATTTTTCAATTTTATATAATGTTTGCTTTCTGTTTCTTGCAGAACTTCAGATATGGATGTGTTTTCAATTAAAGTGTTTTTATTTTTAATAAAATTTTCAAAGCATTTTGAAAAATCAAAATCTAGATTTGTTGTACTTGATGAAGAACTAACCTCAGGTTGAAATTCAATTTGATCATTTTGTTGAAAACTTTTTGAGCAATCTACAAGCCATTTAATAATATTTTCAAGATAACTGTCAGCTTCTTCGGTTGGAAAAAAATCTTTAATTTGTTTTTACATTCTTTTAAAATTGTTCCTAATCCAAAAAACAAGGGAAACTTTTCAGCTTGAATTAACATGGTTTGTATAACTTGTACAGTTGGAATCATAGCAGATGCAATTGCTTCACACTTACTTAATAAATTTGTTATATCATTAAACATTTTTAAAAATCGTTGTAATTTTTCTAAAATAATCCATTCATTGTTTTCCAAGGACTTTAGTTTAGAGTTATCATTATCACAACAAAATGGGATTAAAGCACGCTTCTGTTCAAAAATTCTTTTAAACATAAAGTATTGACTATTCCATCTTGTCGCAATGTCTTGTTTAAACCTATTTTGTGGCACTTGATATTGAGTTTGATATTTTCGATACGCTTCAAAAGAAGATGGAGAATGATTAAAATGGGTTACTATGTTTTTACAAGTTGTTGATATATTTTTGATATATATCTGGGCAAATACAGTGTCATTCAACACAAGTTGCAAAGTGTGTAAAAAACACGGCAAGCTATTGTAACCTGCCTCTCTTATTCCAGCTGCCATATTAGCTGAATTATCTCTAGCAACTAAATGTACCTTTGAAGCTGGAATAAAAAAATCATTCATAGAACTTTGAATTGCTTCGCATATATTTTTGGCAGTATGAGATACATTAAATTGACAAACTCGAAGAACTGCTGACTTTTGATGAAATTCATTAGTTAACCAATGAGCAGTCAAGCTAAGAAATGAGCATTTTCCGTTGGTAGATGCCCAATCATCAGTTGTAAATTAAATGTAAGAAGCATCATTTATCTCTTTTTGGATATTTTTTCTGACTTTGTCATATATATTTTGAAAAACTGTACTTTCTACCTGATATACACTAGTTAGGACATATATGATTTAGCAATCTTTGAAATCCGATGTCTTCTACTATTGAAAAAGGTTGAATATCAACTGCAATTATTTCTGCAATATAGTTATTAATTAATTTAGATCTGTGATCATTAATGTCCCAGGGTTTTTTTCTCGCAAGTGTTTCAAACAAAGTTTGTTGGGACTGTTTTAAGCAACTTGCTTCAGTTGACTTGATTTTCTTTAACACATTTTTTTCACTTTCTGCTTTCCTTTTGTTTTCTTCTTCGTTAAGTTTTAACTCTTTACTTGCTATTTCTTTATGTTTAAAAGATGTGTTAAAAGATTTAGATTTTTTTTTCTTTGTTACCTCTTGAAACCTTCAGTTTGCATGTATTACATATTGCAATTGAGGTATCTTCAGGAGAAATGGTAAAATATTTCCACACCCTACTACGTGATTTTATTGGAATACCTTTTCCAAACAAAGCTGCTGTCATTCTGAGTATATTTTTGATTCAGTAACTTTATTAATTTATTACTTATTAATTTATTAATTTAGATATCTAAACAACAATCATATAGAAATATAGAAGCCAATACTTGGATACATAAAGATAACAATGCTTAAATAGGTTACTTTTAAGTATAACAATAGAACAATACTAAGTAAAATTATTTTAAAAACAACATTACGGTAATAAAAGTATAAATACATTCAGCTGTTAAATTAAAGCTTATAAACATCATCTTAAGAAAAACAAATTTGCCTGTAAACAAAGTCATTATAAAAAATTTCTCAAAAAAAATCTAAGTAATGTATAAAGTTTAGTTTATTTATTATTTAGTTTTTATCATAATGTGGGATAAAAATATAAAAATGCCATCGGTTGAAAAATCGGTAAATTGATAAGGAAAAACGATGCTGATACCGATACCGATTGTACAAAAAGTGGCCGATTAAGCTGATGCCGATTAATCGGTACATCTCTAATACATATACAGATATACAAGTAAAAATATATATGCACATACCTACTTATATATACACACATATAAATATATATATATATATATATATATATATATATATATATATATATATATATATTATACAAGTATATATATATGTATATATACATACATACATACATATATATATATATATATATATATATATATATATACATATATATATATATATATATACAAGTATATATATGTATATATACATACATACATATATATATATATATATATATATATATATATATATATATATATATATATATATATACTTGTATATATATAATTATATATATATATATACATATATATATATATATATATATATATATATATATATATATATATATATATATATATATATTATTTAATTCTAATTTATAATTTGTTTTGTAAGATACTAATATTTTTCTGAAGTTAAAACACAACTATTTAGGAGCAAATTCTATATTTTAGCAATTATGGCTCCAGCAAAACAATATCTGAATGAGAATCAATTAAAATTAATTTTGAATTTAGTTAAACAAAAAAAAAAAAAAAACTTACAGAACTATTGAAAAAGAGACTGGAGTTCCATAATACACCTTTTCAAACATTGTAAAAATGTTTGAAAAGGTGTATCGTATAAATGTCACCAAACTGTAAAGATTTTGAAAAGACATGGGGGCAAAAGTAAGACTACTGTCAAATAAGATCACTTGATTGTAAGATTATATAAGAAAAATAGATTTGAGTCATCCAGAAAAGTTGCAGAATATATTGAAAATAACACTGGAATCAAAATAACTGATAAAACAATCCGAAATAATTTACATGAAAATGTGTTTATAAGATACATACCATTAAAAATTACTACAATTGTAAAAAACCATTTTTGATACAGCAACATAAGAAAAAATGATTATTATTTGCTAGAACTCATTATAAAAAGCCAATTTCTTTTTGGAAGATAATACTGTGGTTGGATAAATCCAAATTTAATTTGGTACATTCTGATGGTAAACAAATTATTTGAAGAAAAACTGGCAAAGCTTACCGTTTAAGTTGCTGCAAGGAACCCTAAAACATGGAGGTGGTAATATAATGGTATGGTGGTAATATAATGAATTTCAATATGTATATTGATAGTTTGAATAATAATTTGACAATTTTTATATTTTAACATGACAATGATCCAAAACATAAGTTGAAAAAAACAACAGAATTTTTACAAACGAAATCCATATATGTTTTTTAATAACCAGTACAAAGTCCAGATATAAATCCTACCAAAATTTTTTAGTCAATTTTAGATGAATAAATAGGTAATCATCACACTTTGTAACAGCAGTTTCTAACTCTGCAAAAGGCAGAGTTAGAAACTGCTGTTACAAAGGCTTGGGATGAAATAAGTTTTGATATTACAAAAAAATTAGTGGAATCTATACCAGTTCTACCGTAAGTCTTTCCAATAAATTATTTATGTTATGTGTTCCTATTATTTTTTCAAAATTTAGTCAAAAAATTGATATGTTCACTTATTATAAAATATATATTACTTATTTTATATATATATATATATATATATATATATATATATACATATATATATATATATACATATATATATATATATATATATATATATATATATATATATATATATATATATATATATATATACATATATATATATATATACATATATATATATATATATATATATATATATATATATATATATATATATATATATACATATATATATATATATATATATATATATATATATATATATATATATATACATATATTTTTTCTTTATTCTTCATTTTTTCTGAAAAGCGGTATACAATACTAGTAAGCATATGCTTATTTAAACACGCTATTATTAGATATGTATCTATATGTTTATATATATGTTTATATATATATATATATATATATATATATATATATATATATATATATATATATATATATATATATAAATATATAAATATATATAAATATATATATATATATATATATATATATATATATATATATATATATTATATATATATATATATTATATATATTATATATATATTATATATATAATATATTATATATATATATATATGTATATATATATATATACATATATATATATATATATATATATATATATATATATATATATATATATATATATATATATATATATATATATATATATATATATATATATATATATATATATATATATATATATATATATATATAATTCAGCTGTAGCTGAACATTCCAAAATTTGCCAAGGAAAATTCAACTGGAATGGTCGCAATACGTTAAAAATCGAAACAAATAGTTTTAATAGGAAAGTTAGGGAAGCCTTGGAAATACAACTCAACGAGGTAAGCAAAAGATACTATGACTCAAAATGAGCTTTTGACTTTTTTTAAAAACGAAGACCAGATATATTACTGATTTGAGGAGAAATGTAGTAGATTGCTGCTACATCGATTAATCTATACCTGTCTTAACCCAAACCCTCAGTCGATGTAGCAGCATTCCCTTGCATGTTATCCCTAAATTAGTCAATGTAGAAGCACTCTCCACATTTCTCCCCAATTCAGTAATATATCTGGTCTTCGTTTTTTAAAAAATCAAAACCTCATTTTGACTCTTAGTATCTTTCGACGAAAGTACGTTTCGCGACATAAGCCGTTCCAACGGCATGTTAGCAAAAATTCGACATTACGTTAACTTTGAAACATTGCTCTCTACATATCACTCAATTTTTGGTTCACTTTTACGATACGCATGTCAAGTTTGGGGACAATCTAAAACCGTATGTGTCTGTTGTTTCACTTCAAAATAGTCGGGTACGGATTATTTATTTTTGTCCGAGAAATTTTCCTACTGACATCCTATATCTTACATCCAAAATTCTTCGTTTCTATGACTTAATTCAGTTCTTAAATTGTTCATTTGTCTGGGATCAACAACATGGTGTCCTTCCTACTTTATTTCACAACTACTTTAATAACAGAACAACATGTGGGCAAAGCCTAAGATCAGTTACCTATAACAACTTAACTCTTCCACTAAAACAGACAAGTAAACATGGAATTAATTCCATTACATACCAGTGTATCCTTTCTTGGAACTCCCTTCCGAACACCCTAAAATCTGGTCTCATCCATAGGTTCAAAAGTCTGTTCTTAAAGTCACTCCATCATTTCTACCTAAAAGGTTACGCTTAACTTTACTTTTTACTTTTCTTTCTTTCTACCTTTTAACTTATTTTTTATTTTTATTGTTTATTTTTAATATTTTATTTTAAATTATAATTTTTATTATAATTTACTAATTTTATTATAATTCTTGTTAAAGTATATGTGCATATATAAATGTACATTATACTAATTATGTTATATATATTCTAAATAAATTTTTATGCAATTTTACTTTTATTAGCTAATATTATGTTATTTAACTTCCTTTTGACTTGTGTTTTTGTAACATCTGTAACACGAAATATATTGTTATTGTTTGTTTGACAATGGTCTTAATCGAGATGATGGCGATTATGTGACGACGTCATTTTGGAAACCCATGTTTAAATTCTTACGTCACAAAAAACTCACTTAAATAACTCTCTTAAAAAGAAGCTCTTACAAAGAACATTGTTTCGTTAATTTAAACAGTTTTTTTATAATATAGCGGTTTTGTTTTTTTTTTATAACAGTTTTTATATACGTGATAACGAGGGTATCCATATTCCCTCGAAATATCGTAAAAATAAATATAATTTTTGCAAATAGAAATCAATCCATAAAAAGAAGTTTTATTTTAATATATATATATATATATATATATATATATATATATATATATATATATATATATGTCAATCAACTATCTTATAGCCTGCTGCCACAAAGGAGTGCCACTACATTGACTGAGGGTTTGGCATGGTGTATATATATATATATATATATATATATATATATATATATATATATATATATATATATATATATATATATATATATATATATGTATATATATATATATATATATATATATGTATATATATATATATATATATATATATATATATATATATATATATATATATATATATATATATATATATATATATATATATATATATATTTACAAGTGACATTATGAACACCTAAATCTTATATATAAATGTTTCAGAAATTGTTTAATATACCTCAGTATTTAATTGAACATTGAATTTAACACAATTTTATTTCTGATCTGTTTACAAAATATAAATGATATTTTAAATAACAAATACAAATTTTCAACAAACTTGTAAAATATATAACTTTCTTTACAATATTCATAATTAGTTTCACTTTAACATTTTAAATGTAAAATAATTGATTTAAATCAGAAAATTAAATTTATAATAAATACTATTTCTTTATACATTTAAAATTAAGATCTTTTAAAATTAATAAAGAATCATATTAAATTTCATAAGCCAAGATGCAAAATAGAAAATAAGAAAAAAAAAACACAAAATAAAATTTTTTTATATACAAAGAAATATTTAAATATTTTAATTTAAATTCTAAAAATTTATTTCTAAAATTTATAAACTACATTCACAATTCATCGATCTTTTATCTATAAACTACATTTTCAATTCATGGAACTATGACCACAACTCATGGATCAACTACTTTTACGAAACGTCATTAGAGCAGCAACAGTTTATATCATGTATGCAACTATATAGCATGCACGCAATTATATAGGCAACAGTAACAGTTACCAAAGTGGATTTCTATGAAACATTCCTTGCCATTTTACGTCAGAAGCAACCTAAAAAAAAAATGAATAAATAACTATTGATGTTATTTAAATAAATGAATTCAAAAAAATTAATAATGCATTTCTAGCTTTCCAAAAATGAATATAAAAAAATAAACAATTCACTTCTAGCTTTCGATCCAAAACTTTCATTTTCTCTACTAAATCATTATAACTCTAAAGAAATTATCAGCAAAAATATTTTTATAAATATTGCATTGAAAATTGTAATTAAAAAAAAAAAAATGTTGAAAAAAGATGTTTAATTAAACTTTTTAAAGATTTTAAGAATGACATTATAAAAAAAGAAAAACCTCTTCAATTCTTAGGCGCTGCCTCTCTGGAAGTGTAGGTAAACCCATCTCTAACTTAGATAACTGAAAAGAGAAAAACCTACAATTAGACAGCATTCTTCTAAAATAAATAAAAAATTTTGATTTAAAAGTTTTTAACCTTAAAAAACAAGTCTTTTGTTATTATTTTGTCAAAAAAAAAAGACTTTTCAATATTTGTAAATTTTTATATCAGCTTGCTTTATGCTTCATTATTTATGTAAAAGAACTTATACAAGAAATATCAAATTAACTCCATTCTGCATGATTTTGAGAAAAACTAATTTTTTTAATGTGCATTTTATGGAGCAGAAACAAAATTTGCTGATGTGAAAAAAAATTTTTTCTCCTAAATATGGATTTTCATGATTTTTAAAATTTTATTATATATGACACAGTATGCATAAATAGTATAACATCATATTATTATAAAACAAAACTTGACAGGAAAGTTTTATTTCAATAAAATAACTATATAAACAAAACATTATGCATGAGAGCAATCAATAATTAGACATGAAACATTTTAAAACAATTCTTTTCTTTGTTCAGACAAAGTCCAACTAATTTTTCACATATTATATAATGCCAAGCAGCCATGAAGTTTACACAGAGAACGAATACTACCTACAATTGGCCAATGCCCAACAGTATCATTTTGTACACAAATATGAGATATATGATGTTTGAATCCTTTTTCTTCATTAAAGAATTAGTAGGTATATCAGATTCAATGTCACTATGTTCGGATTCCCTCTCTTCTTCAGATTCACTGCTTGATTCATACATTTCATTTGGTCTTTTTAAAGTCTGCCACTTATGAGTCTTCATTAGATGATAGCTAATTATCAGAACTTCTACCTACAGGTATTCGAACATTTGTTGACCTAACAATCAGAGCCGACAACATTGGGGGGAAAAGGGGCCCCCTCCCCCCATCACCACCACCAACAACACACTTTTTTTCTAAAGGACCTTTTTTTTTATTATTGAGAAAATTCTAGATATAGAAGACTTGTTAAAAATTTACTATTGTCATCGGCATGACCATGCGAGTAGAATATTTTCCATAAAATGAATCAGTAGTTATTGCTAAAAATGCATTTTTAACTTAATTTTATTTAATAAGTTTCACAGAACTCAAAATAAAAAGATTACTTTTAAAATACGCATAATAAATAAAATTATGTTTACATAAACAAACTTCTAACGCATGTTGTATCATATCTGATACAATTATATATAACAAAATTACATATGGTTACAAGTTTGAGAAAACTCTAAACTAACTTTTTTTAATAGAGACATGGATATTTCCATCTAATTTTTATAATCTTAGTTTTCTAGATTCTATGAACATATTATAGTTGAAGAACAAGAACAGCGCTTGTTGACTGTAGTCTCCATTTTGATAATTTATAAATAAAATATTTGCTATGTAACAAGATAATTGAAAATTTTTATGGTTAAACATGGAAATAAATTATTAATAATAAATACCATTAAAATATATTGTCGAAATCATAGTTTGTCTAACCATGCTATCCTTTATTATAAACTGTTTCATATGTGATACTCTATGCGGAAAGGGGTTAAGTTTTGCTATTATCTATTTGGTCCCCACATGCTAATCCAATATATGCAATGTAATTGTAATATATATACAATGTAAAAAATATAACTTTATACAATGAACTTCAGCCAGTTCATGTTATTGCCAAATTTTCTAGACAGGAACCAAGACTTTTTGTCCTTTGTCATCCAGCTGTGGTTCTCTGAATTCTCCTTTGGTATTTGGAATTGTTGCAAAAATGTCAAGATATTATCCTGATATAGACTTTTCTAGTATATAATAAACATATATATATATATATGTTTTTCTAGTATATAGTAAACAGTTTGTAAATTGAAGATATTCCCTTCAAATCTTTTGTACACCAGCAAAAGCTTTGACCATGTCAGTGTCTGTATCATTCAACAAGCAAAAAATCTTACCTTGTAACGTTTGCAGTGATCTAAAATGGTGAAGATGTAATTTTTCAAAACTTTACTTCCATGTAATGTAAGCAAGTACCTGTCATATAGTATTCACTAATCCATTTTGCAAACAGTATGAAAGTACATAAAAGCAACTAACAGCTGAGATCACTAATGTTTTGATATCAATTTTGAATGTTCACTTGAATCAACTTACCAAAAGTTCTTCAAGCCCCACTTACTTATTTTTTCTATTTCAATATTTTGGTTGAGGCTAAATTGAATAATTTGTTTTTATTTTCAAATTTCTCGAAAAATATTTGACAGTTGCTAAAAATTTTAGCAGCTGTGGTCACAATAGTTAACTTCGGCTGCTTTGGTACATTTTTCTCTCTCCATTGATTAATATACCATAGTAACTGTTGCCTAAAAATTCTCCATTTGTTTTGATAAAATTCGAAGTAAAAACATAGGTCTGTTAATAATAATCACAAAAAAAATTGGTCTCTAGTAAATTTTTTTAAATATATTTTTATAAACTACATGCACAACAAAAACATATTTATATTTTTTTACAGGGTGGGAAAAGGGCAAGGGCTCTAAACAAGTTATTTTTTTTAATTTCTCATTTTTCACGCTTTTATTGTTTATTTTGGATCTTAGTCGCACCACAGTTTTCAAGACAAAAAATGAAATAAAAAGTGTATTCCTAATATACCGTGAAAAATACTAATTTTGCTTTGATTGTAGAGAAGCTCAGATTAATACATTAGATTTTGATAAAAAGCAACCTCGTGTATACACAATTGCTAATACATCCTCACTAATGCGCATAGATTTTGATAGAAAACAACCTCCTATATACACCTTTGCTAATACATTCTCACTATTACCCATAGATTTTAAAAGCAACCTCGTGTATACACCTTTGCTAATACATCCTCACTAATACACTCAGATTATAAAGTATATTTTTTTATCAATAAGTAATACTTTTTTCCTAAGAAGGAAAAACAAAATCAAAAAGTCTTACCCTTTTATCAATAAGAAGAATTTTTTTTTTAAGTACTTCTTCGTAAGTGATTATGCTTGCTGTTCTTTTCAAAGGTAGAACTAAAATTTTTTTAAATAACTAACAATTTAGAATAATAGAAGACTAAAAAAAGGTAATAATACAAAATTAAAAAGGTTTTTTCTGTTCATTTATGCTATTATTTTTTCACTAAAATTAAATTAAAAAAAAAAGGAACTTTTAGAAAGTAAAATATTTCAAAATTACTTAAAACTCTAAATATTTTTTTATTAATTACAAAAATAGTAGGATAATCTTGGTACAGTCAAAATATTTTTTATTAGTTACGATATTAGGACAATCGTGTAAAATTTTTCGATCCTAAGGCATCTTTATTTATTCAATAACATCAATTTTTTGCTACAAGAAGAATGTAAGATATCTGTTTTTATGTTTTTATATAATAGTGAAAATACAATACAATTGTTACAATTTTTTTGGACTGAAAAAAATCAAATAATGAGATAACTACTTCGTTTAGTCTAGCAATTCATTATCAATGGTATTTGCCAAAATTTAGCTTTATTATATTTCTGTAGCAAATTTACCACTTTCTGTTTTTGGTAAACAATTGTAAATAACTGCAAATAACAATTGTTGATCAGCAACTACTAACCTTCCAAACATTGTTCATTAAGCTCCATCTATAAAAGCTGCCATGACTTTGTATAAATCAAGTCTATATTAAAATTTTTTTTTTTTTCTAAAAGCACAATGTAATTTTTTGCTGGCATTGACCCTGTTACTTGCAATAAAAACAAACTCCAGAACTGTGAGTTCTTTCAATCCATTTAATCTATGAACATTTGTAACAATTTATATAACAATTAAGAAGTTTGTAAAAAAAGACAAGAAAAAACTCTCTCCTACCTCAAATTATGTTTTTCTTTTTTTTAAACTAACTGATTTTATCTATTTGGTGTATTCCACTACATGATTACTATATTCTTCCAGTAAATGATTACTATATTATTCCACTACATGATTACTATATTCTTATACTACATGATTACTATATTCTTCCACTATATGATTACTATATTATTCTACTACACGAGTACTACATTTTTCCACTACATAATTACTAATTTTTCCACTTCATGATTACTATATTATTCTACTACACAATTACTATACTCTTCCACTTCATGATCACTATATTATTCCACTACATGATTACTATATTCTTCTACTACATGATTACTATATTATTCTACTACATGATTACTATATTCTTCTACTACATGATTACTATATTCTTCAACTTCATGATTACTATATTATTCTACTACACAATTACTATATTATTCCACTTCATGATTACTATATTATTCCACTACATGATTACTACATTCTTCCACTACATGATTACTATATTATTCTACTACATGATTATGAATTGTGGTTATAATTGTTGGTAGATTTCTGAATCCCATAGCTGTTGAAGGTTCACATGGATTGTAGAGTTAGAATTGTATTTAAAACTTTAGAAGAACATAACATTAAATAAAAGTCCATTGTACAGTGGTAGACGAGCAAGTAAAAAGAAAAAAAGATTCAGTAAAAGATTTTTCTGATTTTTCAGTTTCCGAAACAAAAGAATATTCTATTAAAGCATTAGATTTTTTTTATTGGTGGATCATCTGATGTGCTTGGTTAAATTGCATTGTTAAAATTTAAACTACCAACTTAAATACTATGCAATTAAAACATGTGAAGAGCTAAATCTATTTAGCTATATATTAACACTGCTGTTTGACCATACTTCAAGATAATGCAAATCCAATCATTATACAACATGTTTGTTTTTTGTTTTAATGTAATAAACATTAGTAAAAAAATTTGTTTAAATAAGTTTGTAAAGATTAAATTAAAATCAAAAGATTTTTCTAAAATATTTATAAATATTTTTAATTATAATTTAATTAAATATTTAGAAACTTACAATGAAACCCTCTTCTGATATTTTCTTTAAGTGATATGTTTCTTTATAACTGTTTAAATGCTTTTATAAATGTTTAAATACTTAAATAAAAAATGCTTTTCAACAGTTATTTGCTCGACTAATTTGTCTTCAATCTTTCTTATATGTTTAATAATTTGCTCTGCAATATTGTTGTAACAGGAAAGTTTGCACCAAAAAGTTTTTTAAGACATTAAAGTCTTCCATTTTTTTTCAATTTACAATGTAGGGAACTTAAAAATTAAATGTTTAATTAAACTTTATCTAATGCTTACATTTCATCATCTTTTTTTTTTTTTTTTTTTTTTGTATTCAAACTGTTTATGCATAAACATCATATATGATGAACATTTGTGATTTGCTTGACTGAAAAGTAATATTTGTACATGTACTTACAAACAATAATCGAACTTATGAACCAATTACCTGCAATAAAAAGTGTTATTTTTCAATAAATACTATTTATTATTACTGTGACTATGTACAGTATTTTTCAATTGAAATTTCATTAATAGTTTATGCAAAAAAAAAGCAACCAGCATTATTTCAAACACAGTAGTTGTAGGGTAACATGGTCAGCATAGATATGGGATAGTATGAGCATATAAATAACACAACCACATATTAGTTTATTTTTAACTAGATTATGACTTGACTGCTTTTAAATTTCTGTTAATTATTTCATTCCGAAAACATAAAAGTAATCACCATAGTACATTGATATACCATAGCACCCATGGCAAACACCATTGTGATCGCCATGGGTATTTCTTATGTATAATTACAAAACAAAATGATAATAGTAAAAGAATTTTAATAAAATAACTTTTAATCTGGTATTTTTTAGTAAAATATTATGGTAAGAAAGTAAATTGATTTACACAAAAATTATACACAAAAAATCATTGAATTTAAGTAAAGATCACGCATATGTATCATTAAATTTAAACAAAAATTGCACACATGAATTATTGAATTTAAGTAAAGTTCAAACACATAAATAAATGGATCTAAGTTTAGTTATTATTTTAAAAAAAATTAATTTTAGGATTATGGTGTCCCACTTTCCCCTAAATACTATTTTGTAAAAGAAATACATACCATTTTGATATAATTTACAAGCTTCCAAAAGATAAGGGCTAAAATTTAAAAGATGCTTAATTATTAAGATGAACTGTTTTAAATAAATAAATAAATAAATAAATTTGAAGTACTTATCAGGAGTTGTGGGTTCAAGTTTGTTATAGAATGGTACTAAAAATCCTCTTTTATTCCGAAGCTAAAATAAATAAATATTTAAGCAAAATTTTAAACAAGTTTAATTTCAAAACATTAAAAAAAATTAGAGAGTCAATTATACCTTAATAACAATGGAAGAATCTACCAAACCAAAGGATTCTCTGAGCATCTTACAAAAAAATATAACAATTATTGAATAAACTGACAATGCCAGAAAGTTTTCTTCTTATATATGACACTTTGTACAGGTTGTTGACTTTAAATACCTTTTTTATCGATTTATATGTCATATCTGACTTCAAAGTGAAAGATTTAATGCTACCTAAATAGGAATTTGAAAAAAATAGTTTTAACAAAAAGAAAAAAATTTTAATTAAAATTCTTATTGAAGAAAATATTTCTTATAAATATATTCTTCATAAATATACTTCTTATAAAATTATATATTTAATTGTATAAATATATGTTTCTTATAAAATTTCTTTTAAAAGTCTCCATAATGATGTAGAATTCAGTTTGAATTAAAAAATATATATTAAAATATTTTCAAAAGTAAAAAAACTTAAAAAACTTGATTCAAATAAAATAAAATAAAAATTTAAAATAAATAACCTTCTTCAAAATCTTTTTCAATGTTTTCATTATTAAAGCATAATTTTAATTGAACAAAAATGACACTTAAGCAAGTTGAACATTTTTCATTATCTTCCATTTTTATTAATATTTGCAAAAATATTTACTAGCTAAAAAAAAATTTGCAATGATATTATAGAACAATATAGTATATATATATATATATATATATATATATATATATATATATATATATATATATATATATATATATATATATATATATATATATATATATATCAAATCAAGTATATTCTGAAATAGATTTCACATTTCATGGAATATTAACATATACTACAAGTACTATTTTTAAGTAAACATCATAATAAGAAACTAAAAAAAAACAACAAACTTAAAACAGTAAAATACTTTAACAAAAAACTTTATGGAATAATAATTAAGAAGTTTGATAAATTTAGGACAAAATTCAATTTATTTTTATAAATCTATCTAGGACTTTTATATACCTAATTAAAATATAGCAATAAAAGAGAAGTAGATTACAATAATATACAGTAACAGCATTATAAATAATATAGTAATATAAGTATTAGTAATAATAATAGACAATAATAATAAAAACTCCAGTTATTAGTATTAATAATCAAGATAATAATAAAAACTAACGAGAAAAATAACAATTCTATTAATAAGAATAATAATAATAATAATAATAATAATAATAATAATAATAATAATAATAATAACAATAATAATAATAATAATAATAATAATAATATCAATGATAAAAATATCAATGTTTATAATAGTGAGAGTTGGAAATAGAATAGTGATATAAAAATAGTATTAATTTGAGAAAAAGTTATGAAAGAGCAAGTATTAATTGTAATAAACCAGCATTGAAATGAAGAAAGTAGTAGAAAAGTATTTAAAAAAGATCAGGTATTAGTAGCTATAAACCAGCATTGAAGCAATATATATATATATATATATATATATATATATATATATATATATATATATATAAACAAATGTATATATATACACACATATGTATATATACATATGTATATATATATATATATATATATATATATATATATATATATATATATATATATATATATATATATATATATATATATATATATATATATATATATATATATATATATATATATTCAAAACATCAATAAATCAAATTATTATATAATTGCTTTAAAGAAACCAAAACTTATTGTTGTTTGTAAACTGTATTTTTTTGAAATAGTTCATACTTTAGTTCATATCTCAAAAAAATTGTATTAATTAACAATCTGGTTTTTTTTATTAATGTTAGCATTTCAATTGATTATTTTAATATTAAAAAAATGTATAAAATATTTATGATTTTATTAAATCTGTTAAACAAATATGTTAAATATGTATACTTTAATATGCTATTTACCTTTTTATATGAAATTATTTTATATAAACAGTTTTAAGCATACTCATTAAAAGTAGTATAATTAGTAAAGTTAGATGAAGTCATGTAATTAAATTAAATGGTAAATGGTGATTTCTAAATCATTAATCTTCGCTTAAACTTAAGTTAAAAATTCAAGTAATTCAATTTTTATAAAGCTTCAGAAGCTTTCGTGATAAACTTATTTCAATTGATCAGAATTGCAAAAATTAAGTTCATGAAAGGGGTTTAGTTTAACTACAAAAGGTTCATGACAGGGGTTTTGTTAGACAAACTCCAAGATTGGTTATACTCATGCTTATGTTATCAAAGGCTTAGGATAAAGCCCCACTTCCTCTACTATAGATGTGAAAATGAAAAATATTTTTGTAATTTAAAACTAAATTTATATATAACAAAACTTCTTAATCTCTTAGTGTTGTGATCATGAAAAGTTTACATAACAAAATATTTTTCAACAGTTTAGATCAAAACCAAACTCTAATATAATTTAATGTAGTAGTGATATATATGTGGAGAGGTTGGTGGAGAGGTTACTTTATAAACAAGGAGTTCCAAGGTTTATCTCCACCTTGTCCTCAACTGTAACAAACCTCTCAGCCTTAAGAAGCAAAAACAGTAAATATAAATAAATTATAGAATCAAAAGCAGAAATAAAAAAGATAAACTATAAAATTTATTTTAATATTGTTTGTTTCACAATAAAAATTTTTTTTTTTAAATTTAGAAAAATAAAGTTTTTAATAATAGTCTTTGTTAAAGTAGATTATTGTCTTGTTTAATTTTTCTAATCACAATATTTATTAAAGTACTAATAGGAGATATAAGTATAAACTAAAGAAAACTACTAAAGAATAACTATATTCTATCAACAATAAGATTTTTGTAAAATGTTAAAAAAAGTACATAAATAAAGGGCAAAACTAGGTAAAAAAAGATTAGGTAAAAACAAATAACTTGTTGTTTCCTAAACAAATATTTATGTTTAGTAAATATAAATTATGCTACTAAGAAACTAGAGGTAACACTCATCAATACCTTAAAAGAAATTCCTAATAAAACCCAAAAACAACATAGTTATATTTATTTTTACTTTATTATTATTATTATTATTGTTATTTTTTTCAGTTTTTTTTTTAAATTTCAATCAGATTCCTCATCACTATCTTCCTCGTCTGCCTCGTTCAACCAGGTAATAAACTTAACAAGAGTCTAAATTAAAGTAATAAAAATCAGTAAATAAAAACTAAAGTGATTAAAATTAAAAAAAATTAAAACATAAATAAAAAATACTCAAAAAAAAAATTTAATAATTTATACATAATAAATAATATTTACAGGATTTTGACGTAATTGGTTATAATTATCTTGTAAAGTAAACTCTTCTGTAAAAGGAGGTTTTTTGTACCACCTTAAAATGACTACTTCATCAATTATATCTTTGTCATACATTTTGTGGAGAAATGTTGGAAACAAGCCACCCATATTCAACATGGTAGCAAAAAAACTCTAAAAATGAAACTCGTTATGTTCTTATCTTGCAACTTATAATTTTATAACCATTTATAAAATTTCGCTTACCTCTGCAACAGACACTGCATTCATTTGTGACTCATCACTGTTGAAATATTTAAGAAGTAATGGTCGCAGACAAGTTATATTCTTAAATTAAATTATAAGCTTATTGCATTTAAATAAGTATTTCTATAAATATTTCACATCATTAATACACTATAAAATCAATTTACTTTTTCAAGTGCAACTAAGGATTCCTGCTTTGATCCTTCAATAATAGATAACTCTAACAAACCTTTGATTACAGCTTCATAAAGTTCTGGGATGCTTATGTTGAATTTAAACCTAATAAAAATATTAAATTTTGAAAATTTCTAAAAAATAGGCTAGATTTTTTAAAGCAATGTGTGTAAATATATATATATATATATATATATATATACATATATATATATATATATATATATATATATATATATATATATATATATATATATATATATATATATATATATATATATATATATATATATATATATATATATATATATTGTTTTTCTCAAAATAGTATAATAGAGAAAGGGGAGAAGATTAAGATCTAGAGTTTATTTTATAAAATATTACTAAAATAAAAAAACCAAATTTTAGTAGCTACAAAAATATATATAAAAAAATAACTATCATTATAATGATACTTTTTTTTTTTTTAGAGTAAAAATGCAAAGATTTTAAAAACATTAATTTTAGCTCTATGACTTCTATATTCCAAATAATCTATCAAAAAAAGTTGACAATGAAAACATTGTGAAAACAATGATGATGGTGAAAACATTTTAAAGATGATGACGATGATGATTGAACATCAACAAGAAAATATAAAAGGAAAATTTTCAAAACAATACTTTAAAAATTAAAGTATTCAAATCAATGTTTATTATTATTACTATTATTTTGTGAAACAACAATAATAAACCATTTTTTTTAAAAAAAAAATCATTGTTAATAAAACACATAGACAAAAAGAAATTTTAAACATGCAAATAAATTTTAAACATGCAAATAAATAAATTTTAAATATTACAATAGCTTTCAGGAACATTTTATGAATGGAATATTAAAAAACAAAAAAACTTATATTACTTTGAAGCATTAATTTCCAAAGAAATGTTATCTGCAGCAATGTTCTCCATAACACCACATCTCAAATTCTCAACAACTTCAACATAAAATTGATGAACTGAAAGACAAAAAAGCAACAATAAACAAACTAAAATAAGATCAGTATAATTGGTAAATAAAAGTTTAAAATTTACTGTACTGGCCTCCCCAATGTAAAGGGGCCAATACAGTTAAAAAACTTCATTTTATTATTATCAAGTTATTTTAAGTTATCGCTACAATCCTCTGTAAACCCTGTAGTTCCAAAACAATTCTAGCTACTTTAGTACTGCTATGAATTTGATTTGAACTCAGCACTTCTTGCTTGCAAAGCAAGTGCTACACCACAACTGCAAATTACCAAAAAAGTTAATTCAAAAAAAAAAAAAAAAAAAACACAACTTACAATTGTTCTGTTCATTAGGAGGACTTGGAGGTAATGATTCCTCATCATCTTCTTCACTACTTTCTTCATCAGTGGACTCAAAAACATTTCCTAAAGAATAGAATTTCTTAAAAATAGATTAAGTTTTCATAATTAACATTAAAATAATACAATTCATGAAACACTTTGTGATAGAATAAAAATTACTAATTTATATGTTAAAGTTCAAATTTTATTGAAATAAAACTTTATAGAGAATTAAAAAAAAACTTCAATTAAAAAGATGTTATCTTATTTCAATTGAAAAGATGTTATCTTATTATCTCACTATTAATTTATGCTATATTTAAGAGAAATCTACCATTATTGTTTAACATCTAAATAAACATTTAAAATTTTATAGGCTACAAGATTTTGAAAAATTTAATGGATTAACTGATGGTATATAATGATATATAATTAACTGATGGTATATAATGATATATAATAGTATAAGATGGTATGATAATATAATATAATTAACTGATGGAATACTACCATATAAAAAAAATTAAAGAAATTTCAAAAGAAAAATTTAATTAAAAATTTTTATTGTTATTTACAAATAGTACAATTATTTATATTAGGTAAACACATAATAATAATGATTACATCAATAATGGTTGTAATAATAAAATGATAACAATAAGAATAAGAAGCCACTTAGGTTTATAAATATACTAGTTATGTAAGTATTTATTGTATTATGCTGTACATGTTCTATGTAAAACATTTATAAGATTTATCTATAAAATAATTTCTTAAATATTAAATTAAAAATAAGAGAAACTAAAATAGGTAACCAGCTAGACTAGGAACATTTGCATCTTCCTCGTCATTATCTTCATGGCGCGGCCAAAGGAAACCTTTGCCATCTGTTCCAACTTCTTTATCATAATCTAAAAAATTTAAAGGATTTTTTAAAATATTATTAAATACTCATACTATTAAGTATTCATACTAAGTACTCGTGTTTAAGTCATCTATTTTAGGTGTTTGTGATGTAGCCAGTTATACTAAGTAATGTCTTGTGGTTAATCTTGTGGTCAAAACTCATATTGTGGTCAGCTATACAAAGTACTCAAGTATACTGTGGTTTTTTAACCATTATAAAATAAAAAAATAAAAACAAATTAATTTTTAGTAAAATGTTTTGAAACCTATTTTCTACAGCTTTTAATTTAAACATATTAATAACAAATTATTTCTAAATATCCAAATATTTGTTTCTTTTTCTGTGAACAAGCTGTTTGATTTGTTTTTGTTACTTTTAAACTTATAATAATGACAGAATATTCTTATTTTGAAGCTTCAAATCTTGTTAATGTTTTTTTTTCTTAATTTAAATTTTTATTGTGACTAATCTTAAATAGTGAAATGAAAAAAAAAGTGAAACAAAAAGATAATTTCTTGTTTTCTTACTTTCTAACTTCTTTTTCAATAATAATTAACTTTCTGGTAAACTTGTTCAATCTAATAACTTTCAATAATTTCATGACATAACAATAACTTTTTATTTAATTAAATTCCAAATTATTTTTTCTAAATCCTAGAAAATTTTTAAAAAAATAATAAAAATACTGCATTGCTTGTTTAGATCCAATTTTTCAAGATGGATTCCAATATTTTCTGGTTTAATAAGTGAGAGTCTTGTACGCTCAACCAAGGTTATTCCTTCTCCAACACAAACCTTAAATAATTCAAAAAAAAAAATTATATAAAACATAAACATCTTGTATACAGAAGCATTTTTAAAAAATTATTTTGGTCAGTCGTGTTTTCGGAAGACGGAACCCGAAAACTGCAATTATTGTTATTAAACTATATTAAGAGCTTCTAATCAACAAAATTTTTATTTTTAATATTCGCATGATAATTTAAATGCAAATCTAAATTTAAATAAACTTTTGATGTTAAAGTATTGAGGAGTTAATTATAAAACATATTTGTTAATTATTAAAGAATATAAAAAATACTTGTAAATTAACAAAATAGAGAATCAAAAAAAACAAAAAAAAACAATCAGTTTTGATTCTTTAAGAATAAAAACGTTTTGAGTCTTTATTTTAAAAAGTAAATTTAATTTTGAATTAAATTTTAATTTTAGTTAAATTACACGGAACAGACATATTCAGTAAGCCCATCAACAGGTAACCAAGCTAGCTCATGCATAAGTGCACAGATGATGTGCTGTAGTAATTATAGTAATAGCTAATCGAATTTTGCTTTGAAGTAGTTGACACTAAAAGCACTGACAACTTCATTTGGTAGTGCATTCCATGGGTGAGCAATGCAGTTGTTAAAAAAGTTGAACTGAACGAGGCAATTGCTGTCTATTTCACAATGAAAGCGCTTGTGATGCTTAATGGGATGTTAAATAGAGCAATATGCCACCTAACTGAGTTAATGTTATTCTTGATTTTGTATTTTTGGATGAAGTCGCTGCATAAACTTCTATTGAGTAGTGAGGTGAGTTCAAGTTTGATTCAACTCATCTCGTAGTTGAAGCACTTCATTTTGTGTAGTATTTTGGCAGCCCTATGGTATTTATGTCTTTTTTATTGTGCCGGCACCAGGCGGTAATTTTAAACTCATGATGTGAGCATATGTAGGTGATGTAAAACTTATTCCATACCTTGGTGTCTCTGCTGATGAAGGTGTATACTAAGATTCCAAAGACATTATTGGCCTTGGCAGCTGCAACTTTGGCTTGATTCTCATTCTTTAAGTTGTTCATAATTTGAATGCCTAGATCTTTTTTGAATTTTGTTGACTCAAGTTCTGTTCTGCTGTTAGCGCTATGCTTGTTCATTGAGTAACTGTGAGGTAAAATATTGCATTTGTTGATATGCATAACCTTGCATTTTTTGAAATTGAGCTCCATCAACCAGGTTCATGTCCAGGTTACAATGCTATCTGTATCAGCTTGCAGACAAGCTTTGTCTTCTGTGAATCTGACGACACTCAGAATTTTAGTATCATCTGCGTACATTTTATACATAGTTTCACTACTTCCTGTTCTGGTAAGTCATTGATGAAGATAATGAAAAGCATAAGACCTACACTGAAACTTGCAGAACACCACAAGTAACTTGTTCCCAGTTGGATATGGTGCTACCAAAAAGAATGTATTGTGATCTATTTGAAAGAAAAGTTTTAATCCAGTCAAGAACTTAAACTTCAATTCAGATTTTAATTTTTGTAATAGTCTTCTGTGAGGGACAAAAGACAAAATTGTCAAAAGCAAGAAGGAGCACAGTCTTTAGCAAAGTCAAGAAAGAGCAGGTCTACAGAAAGTTTATGAGATGTATTCTCGACACTATTTTTTTATTGATGAAGTGTTGACATTTGGCAATAAGTTTGCTGGCTACAAGGTGCTCCATGATCTTCTCTTTTACCATTTTTTCCATTATTTTGCATGATACAGAGATGATGGAGATGGGCCTGTTATTTGTTGGGTCAAGTCTGGAGCTTTTTTTGAACAGTGGTGTTACCTACATCGAAAGCCACAACTCTAGGTCTATGCCTTGATCTAACAACTTCTGAAAAATAATAGCAAATGGGGCAGCTGCCAAAGGTAGCTGCCCCACTTGCCATTATTTTTCACATTCTTTAAGCACAAATGGGCTAATATGGTCACCTCCAGTTGATTTGAAGAGCAGATAAGTGTTTGTGAACAGAATCATAAGTGAAGATAACAGAGGAAATAAAAGCGGTTGTGCGTTTGATGAGGGGTGGTAGAGATTGATCTGCCAGTTGAACTGTGAATACTGACTGAAACTGATTGTTTTGTATATTGGGGATGAATCCTTGGTCGCTGCTTATTTCCCCAGAGGGTAAACAGATTGAAGTTATTTGATTGCTGAAAACGCATTTGCTGTTAACATAAGCATAGAGACATTGAGGATTCCATTTCTTGTTGGCTACTTTGTGTTCGAATGCTCTAATCACAATGCAGGAGACTTTTTTGACGAGGTTTCGAGTGAAATTATACTCTCTGACAAGAAGAACTATTTGCCATTTGCTGTTGCGGTTGAGATACCAAATTTTTTTTTTGAGTTTGGTTAACAAGAGATGTTAGCTAGCCAGCCACGACTGCCTGCATTTGGTTGGTTTGGAAAGGGCGTGTGGAATGAATTTGTGGTAGCATTCAATAAAATTGTCACAGAAGATTTGGTAGCATTTATTGGCATATCGGTCTTTAAATAGATTTACCCAATTGACTTGAGAGAATTTCTCGCTTAGTTTGGCTCAGTTACCTTTCTTATAAATAAATTTCAAGCTGTAAAAATGTGGAGAGTCATAAGAGTTTTTGGCTAATTAGTGTTGCCATGCCACCAAGGGAGCTACCAAGTTGCCATGCCACAGTGTAGTGGTCTTGTGTGGGGAGCTACCAAGAGGAGGACCAATATTAATGTGGCTTATTCGATTGTCCGCTTCACTAATTATGAGGTCTATTTATGAGAGATTTTTGAATAGACCATTAGCTTTGATGAAGATGGGATTGATAACGTGCTGGTGTTGATGTAGGTCAAAAAAAAAGAGATTTTTTTAAATATTCGCACCTTTTTTTGAAACTCAAAATTTTTTTTTGAAAAATTCATGAAACAACATTTTTTTTTAAGTTTACATATTTTAACACATTTAGCATATTTAAAGTTTACATATTTTAGCATATAATCTAAACACATTTTTATATTTTAAAAACAATTTTTAAAATTTAAATATTTAAAGCAACTAATTAAAAATTAAAATCCCCCCTTTTAAAATATAAACCAAAGAGAACCCCCTCAAAAAATATTTTACTTTTTATATGTTAGGAACAGCTACAAGTAAAAACTGAGTTTTAATAAAAATATGAATTTTTGTAAAAATGGAACATTTTAAACTTCATTATGATGTATATATTTGAAATGTAATTTTAAAGTGTTTATTGAAATTTATTCTTCAATAAAAATACATTAAAAAAAGTCATTTGATTACAATTATCTTTTAACATACCTGCATTTGGCTCACATTAGTTTAGAGTGTGGCATAATTTTGGAAAGTTCCTGCAAGTCTTCCTCAGTCTGATACCACTCCCTGACAACACTAGTGGTATTGGTAAGAATAAAGAGAAGCCAGTTCTCCTGCTTCCAGTTCTCCTTTGTAATTAAGCTTTCAAGTTTACTTTGAGATGGTTCTAGGAGTCTCAAAGTTTAAATCTTTCTTTTTTTGGTATAGGGAGTGTAAGTAGTTTCCCTATGACAGCAATTTTGGGTAGGCCTGTCAAGATCAGGATTACATGACGCCACAGTAACACACTTTGGGGAAAGATCCCAAGTATGGTTGTTAAGTGGTTGTTATGGTTGTTAAGTGGTTGTTATGGTTGTTAAGTGGTTGTTATGGTTGTTAAGACTTTTCAATAAAGCACTATAAGCATTATAACCCTGATTCTTTTGAGTGTTTTTACGAGTTTTGTCTCAAGGACACTTCTGCATGTTCAGCTTTGCTGGATTTCAAAAATGAAGGAGAAAAAAATAGGGGAACAATAAAGTTAGAAACTAGTCTTTTGATCATGGAAGTTAATAATTTGAAACTTATTGTCCTGACATCAGTATTAATCACCTGGTTGATACAAACTTTACTTTTTAAGCTTGGATGAATTGGCATCCATATAGAATGCAAGGTATTCTATTAAATGATTATAATCATTTCTCAGAAGACAACATGCTCAATGGTACAAGCAATGAATTTCTTAGACTTGAGTTATAAACCATGAAGATTAATTGCAATAACCGGCTCACTTTCAAGAAACTTCTTGAATTTCTTCAGACTTCATGCAATAGAGTTATAACTATCAATAGAGTTATAACTATCCATTTATATTTTTAGAGTTATAACTATCCATTTATAACTAATCATCCAATCAAACCTGCTTTAAATCTTAATGCATCTGTTTAGAAGGTCCTGCAGTTTTTTTTTTAAAAATAGCTTCGATGCTCTATTTTATATAGAGTAATTTAATGTCAATAGGACAGTTAGTTATGCTGGTCCTAGCTGACAATCATCTTCAATAGTAGGTAATGAAAATGGTGCAGAAGATGGTCAAGTGTGATGTTTCTGAGCAGTTTCATAACGGTAAACCAAAGCTTATGATTATTAGAAGGTCAACGGTGCTTACTGAACTTGTAGGTTCCCAGAGCTAGATCTTATTCAAGGTAACTAAGATGTCTTTTAAAGAAAATGGAAAAGTTAATCAAGAGTAATGTCAGTCAAACATTTGGTATATTTAAAAGGTTTACGAATCTGATTGAATGTTTTAATGACTGTGCTGAAAAAACACCTGACTGATCAAGGACTTTCCTAGAAACTATCATGGCTAACCTTAACTAATGTTAGGTTTTTTGAATTGTGTCCAAATTAATTTCAACGTTTTCTGAGAAAGTATAGTTTACTTATCACTATGTATATAGTCCACCAAATCAGAAAACTCCTATTAAGTAATTATGGGGTTTTAAAGATTTTTTCGCGCCTTTTTTGTCTTTTACAGCCATCTTTAATCCGCCATTTTTTCTGCTACTGATTTAATTGCAAAAGACAATCATAGAACAAATTTTGTTAAAAAAATGTTAAGAATTGGTAAATCACATCCTCAGACTATTTTAGATCATCAAAAGAACAGAGAAAAAGTATGCCTTTTTTGAAATC